TTCTATCCTATCCTAAAAAAATATAAAGTAAACCAATCTGTGCAAATTTAGTTCGTTTTTTATTATCCTGAAACTGAAACCTATCATTCAATGATTTATGGATATCGTAATAGTAAAGTTGTTAGGCTGAATGTTAAATAAATTATAAGATAAGTACTTAAAAATTTTACTAAACTAATTTTCCTTAATGTAAATAAATTTGTTTTTTAAATGATAATGATTTTTAATAACTATTCCTACTATCGTATATATTTCGGTACTCGTTGTCTATTTTTATATAACATAAATAAAAGAAATTGTAACTATTTTTTTTTTGTAATGACTGTTTGTACCAAACTAAAATAAAAAAAAAATTGAATAATTTTTAAAATTATAGCAGTAAAATGTGTAGACTTTTTGTTTTAATTAAAGTTTATTATCTCATGTTTATTTAAACAGAATAATAATATTGCAAGATAGATTTATATGCACCGTATGCACTGTGAATATTTAATGTATAATGACAAGTAAAACCCGGTATTACATCACTATACCTCTACCTACTTAAGTACCTGAACATTTTTATATTTGGGATTTTTAAACTTGGACACTCTCCAGATAAAGTATTTTATTTATTTTGCCACAAATATTTATGATCCTTATAAAGCGTAATTAAAAAAAAAATTATTAATTTACTCTAAGAATAAGATAACAACAATTTTGATAGCACACATAATGCATTGAACTATGTTGTGTACATACATAGATACATTAGACATAACTAAATGATATTGTTTTATCGTACTGACGTCAACTCAGCTCATCATCAGGCCGTCATCACAGCAGGGAATCTGATATCCATAGGTCCATAGGCTTGATGATTGTCTTTAAAAATATCCATAGATTACTTGTAACCATGTAGATGACGCAGCAGCACAGTACATATATGAGAAAATTCTTCATTACAATATTTGTGTGCCTTTCAATAATCGGATAAAATTTTCATGTATTTTCTTTTAAGTTTACATGAATTCTAAAGTAAAGGGGTTAACTTTTAAGCTGTTCTATTTCTCATAATAAGTAACTTAATATACAATTGGCTAAATAATATTATTTGAGATTTACGATTATGCAATTGATTTAGGTATATGTCATTAAAAAGACTTCAACAACACCTTTTTTGAATGTGATTTAATGATTTTTTATTTTATGTATATGATATATATATATATATACATGTTTTTTTATGAAATTTTTAAAATTTGTATAAGTTTTAGTGGTATAATTATATAAATATTTCTACTTCCCTTATCGTGAAAGAATATTCTAAAATTGTACATTCAATTTTTATAAAAATATTTATGTAGCCAACATGATTTTTACTATATTTTTTATATTAACAAAATTCGTTCAGAAGATATTGATTAAACTATATACAAAAACCGAATTAAAAACCTATTTCTCGTTGAAGTTAAAAATAAATATTGTGAAATAATAAATGATCAGACAGAAAATCAGAAAGAGAGAGAGATAATAAATATGATAAAGAGACGAGTGTTCCTTGATTGAAAGATTCATCAAATTCAAATTCACTAAGATTTTCATTAAGAAATATAAAGCGAAATATATATATATATTTCGATTTATATTTTTATTTGGCTCTTAAAGTATACATGATAGCTAGATTACGCAAAAAGTGAATTTGTATTTGCTTGTAAATCAACATACATATACTTTTTATGAGTTATCGTTTAGAATACACGTTATTGTCTCATATTGCATGAACACGATTTATTTAAATATTTCATTTTTAACCCAAATTTAGAAAATGGTTCTAAACTGTCGATCATACGAAGTGACGTAAATTTTCGTAGATATGTTGCCAACCGTAGAGTTTTATTTTTATCTTACTGTGATGGCAAAATAGAGTCGTAACGTTGAATTAAAACTCAAAAAATTATATATATATATATATATATATATATATATATATATATATTATATATATATTATATATATATATATATATATATATATATATATATATATAATATAATATCAGTGAATTTTTAATACAAGTATGCAATTTTTCTTGGGTATTGTGTCAACAAATATGCTATTAATAGCATGGACGATTTAATATTACCATGGTTTTAAACTATATTCATTCATACCTTATATTCGTCATGGAATGTAATTTTCTATAATAAAGGCATAACGACGTATAATGAAATACAGGTGCCTATACTGTGTAATTTTTTTTGCCTATGCCCACGCGTAAATGTAAAGCTTGCGAGTGACCTAAAATTTTATCTCGATATACATTCACAATGAGTTTGTAGTTAATAGTCTGTTTCTTTGGCTCGTTTTGCTGTAACTACTGTCTGTAAAAGTAAGTACATTGTAATATGTCTTACATTACATTCAATTGATCTAAGTATGGCACCAGCTTCAAATAATATGATACACGTAAAGTACTGCTATTGTTCTCTTCCTTTTTAGGGCTGCCTACGCGTAGATAGGTAGGTGCTCCCGTAAAAATAATCAGCATTTGATCAAATATGGCCATTCAAAAATACATTGAATTACATCAAGATAATAGTTTTCGAAGCAACGTCTAATGTTTTGGACGATCGTACAAAGATTGAGTTTGTATGAAAATCTGAGTTTCTAAAACTATCCATTAAAGCAGTAGTTTCAATACAAATTTTATGATTATATGTGTGTGATATACCTATATTTTGTCTATGTAAATGTATTTTCAAGTTACACTAAGAACACAATGTAAGTATTTTAAGTTAACTACTATATTCTTATTAGATAAAATTGTGTGCTTGATTTTCTATTATAAGCTCGATAATAATTTATTGACTTAGATTAATCTATACTAATATAAAAAGCGGAAAAGTACTTTTTTATTTGTTGGAATGCACTGATCTCTTGAACTATCAGTAGGATTAGATTTATTTTGCATTTCATAGCATATTCCTCGGTTATGGGCTAATCAATATCATAATACGACTACGGATGAAGCCACGGATTACTACGAGTAGTTAAATAATAAAAAAAATCAATATACTTAAATACTTAAATGACATATCGATATATCTTAAATGTTTTTATATAATTTTAATTAAATTATATAAAAACATTTAAGATATATCGATATTATTTTAAACTTTACTGACCAGTATAAAGTGATACAAAATGCGAGCTTAATACTTTTGCATTATCTACTAGCCAGTTTTTGAGTAATATGCTTTAGATGCTAATAGTTTTTTTTTTTTTTTGTTATTATAATATCAATGATAACCTTAATATTCATATTTTAAGTTATATTTAAATATATTTTCATGAAAATGCAAATTAATAATTTTATATTTTTCAAACTTTGAATATTTTTAAAACTTTAGAGGATAACATTTCGAAATTTACTTTAATGTTCAATAACATTTAGTCTTGCACATTACTGTAGTAGGTTTAGTTTAAATATATTTTGTGTATCTAACTAATGCATGTTTGCATTTTGAAGAACAGACAAAAAAACTCAGCTGCTGCTTTTATCATATAAAAGTTGAGTTTACAACAAAAAAATATAAATGGATAAAGTGACAATAACTTTATAAAAAAAAATACAATAAATTACAGCATTCTTGAACAGATTCCACCTTACTAGAAGCACCCATATACGTGTATGACGGCGAAGCTAGCCATTGCTCTTGCTTTGTGTTCATTTATATTATAGGGAACCCAACGACTCGGCCCAATACGCTGCAATCAGAAAAAATATCTAGTACTCGAATAAGGGTAACTCGGTATTTTTAGAAACCAGATAAGGACTCTAAAGCTACCCTCCAGAATAAGACGGAATTATTTCTAGAACAATATCGTTATTATAAAATGAAAATCGCCCTCATTACAGGATTTGTAGAATATATTTATAGATGAGGGTTTAGGTAACGTTAGTGTTCAATTTTAAATAATTTGTAAAGTAAATAAAGTAGGTACATAAAATTTTAGTGTGCCTGGCAACGCTGCAACGTTTAGCGACTGCATGTAAACGATTGCATCACGTATGCGATACGATTCGTGGTTAATCCATCGAGGCATCGCACATTAAATTTATTAGCAAGTCATATTTGCATTTGTAAAGATTTCTACATATGTATATATATGGCACAGCAGAGGGGTCAGAATTTAGTATTGAAATTAAAGTAATAAAATACACATTTGATTTAAATAACCGTTTATTGCAACGACACGATATAGTGTAGGTTACTACTAATAATATTTTTTTTAAATGTAGATACAAACAACAGTTACATAGAGCTTCTGTAACATTATTAAGTATAATACTTAAATAAGACTAGACTAGTTATCAAGTATATAAAATACTTTGGATACATTTATGCTCTTTCATTTCACATAAATTTGAGTTATAACAATTTATATGTGGCATTTTATAGCATCTTTAGTTTCCAAAATTATCATGTAGAATATTAAATATAGCGAATTTTCAATAATTATTTTATAAGATAGTAATTATATTACTACTTAACAAACTTCTTAGTACAGTACCTAACATAAAAGCAGCTGTCATTTATTAATTTGCATCAGGTAACTGCTTCCACGCTATTTTTCAAGAAGATTTTCAAGTTACTATATCCTAAATGTATCCTTTCATCATCATCAAATGTCATCACGTGTGTTCAGACTTTACAATATATAATGTATTATTAATTAACATAATGCTAAAACAATACAATAACATTAATATCTGTTTAAATACAATGAAGTTCTTTGTAATGATTGACGTTGCCTGATTGAAAACTAATTTGTAACACAATGGACAAGTACTCCTTAAAATGTTCCTAATACATATTAAATATTAACTTACCCACAATGGAAATCACCTTTAATATGGACGGAATGTTGTTCTATATATATATATATATATATATATATATATATATATATATATATATATATATATAATGTGTGTGTGTGTGTGTATATATATGTATATATAACTACTAAATTTATATAATTATAAAATTTTATTAAACTGTTTATGAAATGTATGTATTAATCGAAATGAGTAAGTACACACTTTTAGGCTGATTTCTAATGGAAATACAAATAGATGAATCCCACATTATATAATAATAAAATATCATATCAATATCAAATAATTAAAATCTACTATTACAGTATTACAGTTTCGAGACAAATAACATTATTTTCTATATTCGATCGTACACGCATATTTTATATGCTTAAGTCTTCAATATAAAATTTTTGTTTATTTCTTTTCGTTTTGGTGTTACTGAAAATAATAAAAACAATATTTTTTGGTAATATTTTAAATATTTTTGACACTACGTATTTTTTTATCCATATAAGTATATGTTTATATGGCTCTATTTTTTATTATTCGAAACCAAAGTGACAACAAAAATTTAAGGTAAAATTAATCGATTAATGGCGATTTGAAATATAAGAATATATTGTATATCTGATACACTACGCAGCTCAATAACATATTACTCAGTAATATATTTTGCATTGTAAAAAATAAAATACAAATTTTAGAAACGTCTCTTCTGGTAATCATTACTATTTATTCATACAATCTTACTATCACGAAACTAACTCTAATATAAAATCTAGAATAATAAAAACATTATTTATTGTTTGATAATATTCATGAGATAAATAGATTACCCGTACATGCTCCATATTATGAATGTAATTGTTTTTATAATTTAATTGAAAATATAATATTAGTAATAAGATATCTTGGTATAATGTAGACCACATATGCTACGATATATTGATACTCTACAGTTTAACATATAACGATGAATTGTAACATATTATGTTTACAAAAATAAAAACAGAATATGCATACCTAACTCATGTTAGTATTCGATAGTGTTCATGAAATAGAATAACTTTCTAATATAGTTGAAATCACAAAATAGCTTTTGAAAATTTTAATCCAACTCTATATCGCGTATTTGTTTTATAGTATGAAACTGTGCTTGAGGAAAATTTTAGTTGCATGGATACTTAGTTTCTAATTAGAATTGGGTATTCTTAATTATGAATATAACGCTGCAAATACCATAAGTATCCTCAACGGAAAAGTGTAAAATGTTGATACATAAATAAATAGTCACGTGATCATACACTTTGCACCCATCCATTACAGTTTTCCACATGTGTAAATATGTTACGTTCACCATTGTTATGATATAGTAGACATACGATACGACGACCAACACCTATATATGAGTATGAAGATTTATTTAATCAGTTGCATATTACATTGTTATACGTTTACCAGATACAATGCCGATAAGTGTATAGTGTATTATAAGATATAATTAATGTAGAGAACGAGAGAGAATGTAATGTCTAGAGAAGCTACAGAGATAACTATTTTTAGACGTAACTTAGTGCTATATAGTCACAATCAAATATTCATTTTTTTTTATTTTGGTACAAACATGATTGTTTACATACGGCCCACCCAACACGCTTTTTTGTAATGATTTACAAAAAAAAATTGTTTAATTTACATTACAATTATAAAATGACAGAACCTAAATGTAATAAGAGCAGATAACATAGTTTTGTGGTGTCTTCCTTCCTAAAAAGAAAAACATAAGATTTTTTTTATAAATAGTAATTCTCATATATCTTTATATATGGTATGCGTCTATGGCGTTCTTATGTAGTGTCTTTAGGAATGAGTTCCTCATACTAATTCTGAGTTGTAGTTCAATATAACAATTATCTACGAGTAAATGAATAATAAATATCAGATGAATAATGCAATGCTATATCTAAAAGAAATATGTGCCTAGTGAATTAATTTTAATAATTAACAATATTTATAAAACATTTATAAAATACAATGCCCTTAGTGAAACATCGTTTACATACGGCCCACCCAACACACTCAAGTGAGATTAACTATCATGTAACTTTGATTGTTGAGGTATGAATCTGAAGTACAAAGTTTTAGACTATAATATTTGTGAAATTTGCAAACAATTTTTACATGATACCCATAAAAAATGTATACATGAAACGGTAGTCATAAAATATTGGTAAGTTAAAACAAAATAATTATAAACATATATGTAAATACAGACTAAAGATGATGACTTTTGATAAGAGGTGGGTAAGTTTGCATTTAAGAGAAAATGATATTTTTTGCGAAAACAAAATTTTTATTTCATAGAGTTTATTATTTTTTAGATTTTTAAGGAAACAAGAGCTATACTGTTTGCTTAGAAGCTATTAGTTTTAGTTTGTATTGTATTGTATTATGTGTTAAACTCTTTTCTAAGCTGAATTCTACTTGTAGGACAATAGTTACTCTTAACGATTTACTTATATAATAATTACATTGCTAGGTAATAGCTACATCTAATAACTACTAATACTGTACAACAATCTTAGAATTTATTAAATGCATTACATCTTTAATATATTATTTAGTTAACATATCAAATTAAATCTTAAAAAATACAATTATAATACATGTCCAATTTAATAAACACTTCAACTTGTCGTGATAACTTTATGAACTTAAGATTTTAATGCGGACGTATTATGTGGTATTTGTTTGGCAAGATAACGCACACACTGACAGTATAATATATACATACAATTGTGCAAATTATGTATAATCCGGGAAATATTCCCAGATTGGTATCTACGATTTGCCTGTGTCATTATGTGTAGTGGCAGGTATATCGACATAGTCTATGACTTCCCAGTTGCGTTCAGATTCTTCGGGGATGTTAGGCGGGAAGGCGGTGCGGACTAAGGGAGCGCCTTGCGCGTCCAGCGATAGGTAGGAGCGTATGGCAGCTGCCACTTCATCGTCATCAGCCGACGTTCGCGCTCTAGCATTGAACGGTCCTCCGATATCCTCGCTCGGCAATTCCCAAATATGCCATTGCGCCGTCATCTTGAAGTTCTGTACAATATAATCACACATAATAAGCGGTGATGACTCAACGTTCCATAGTCAAATGCCTATCTACTTTGCTTAATGACAGTATTTATTTCACTAACTTTGCATAAAACGTCAATATAGAAATGCTCGTCAATTATGTAGTTTAAAATAGACCATGTTCTTTGTTTTAATGACTTCACTACCTACTTATTTAGCAACAAATCGAGAACTATTGTTACAACCGACATAAGAACACTATTATTACAATACAATTATTATTTAAAAATATTGTTTACTCCAAATACATAATGTCGTAGCTATCAAGTTAAAATGGGAGGTTTTAAATTTTTTTGTCGGTTTCATAAATTTGGTTACACTAATGTCCATTCTTTTCTACCTACGTAAGACATATTTGTTGTTGATTTTCTTCTATCAATAAAACACGTATCATAAAACATTGCTCGTACACAAACCATGAGACTTAGATTCATAAAAATGATATTTTACTTATAGCACAACATTGCTCATTGTAGACTGATTATTGAAAAAAAAAAAACACCCATCGCCTTCTCAGTTAGGTAATTAACAAATAATAATAGTGATTTATTGAATTAATTAAACTAAAATCGGTGTTTGTACTGCTAAATGACAAACATTTTATTAATTAAAGTAAAATATGGTTATGCGTAGATCGAATTTTACTTTTCGTTGAAGTATATCGATATATATGAAGGGGTAAAGAGGTGTCTCCAGGGTAAGCAACGCGCTTGGTATTACAAGCGTTCATAGGCAACGACGAGTAAAAAATACCTTAAATCAAAATCAAAATCTGTTCTAAATATGGAAGAGTTTCCATATCATACGAACAAAAAAAATACTTTATTAAACTGAGAACCTTTTTTTTGAAGACAGTTAAACAAATCATTAAGTCGTTCGCTTAAAAGTCCTTTTAAGTGACAGCCCAAGAACACAGAGTTTCAGAAATTTTTTGGTTGCAAATAGACAGAACATAATTCTGTGCCTCTAGTGAGAAAGGGTTCAATTCAAAATGGCCACTTTTCAGGAGAGCCAAAAAACTATTTTAAATAAAGAAAAAAAATTCTGCTGCTTTTATTATTTGCTAATTGAACAAGTCAATGATTGCATTTATAGTAATTTTTTCTCCTCTTTCTTATGAAATTGTTGGTTTTTGTGTAAAACCTATAGTTTTAAAAATAATTCTATTATACCTAATCACACTTAAAAAAAATATTAAAATTATGATGTGAAAATAGTTTTAAGTTGAATTAAAACTATTTTATTGAAGTATTGAAAAAAACAATGTTGTGTATTTTTATTAAAAAATAATCGCTATTAAATGGTGTAAAAGGGTTCAAATCGAACTGATTCATTTTACAAAAATATTTTTTGTAAAATATTGTAGTTTTATTTCTAATTATGACTTTTTTACCACAAATATTTTGTTAATTGTAGCCTTTTACATGTTTACTATCTCTATTGTTTTTAAAGATATCGTTACGATTCTTATACCATTCGAAAGAGAAAAATTTGCTTATTTGGTAGCCTAAAAAAGAAAAAGGCTATAATGAGTTATACCCTTTCTCACAGAACAGAATTGTGATTAGATAGAAGAGACAGTGCGGGTTAAACAAATAAGATTGATATAATAATAGCCTATGTGTAACATGAGATTTTAATTTTATCTCGCATTTTGTTGTAGCAATAACAACGAAGTTCAGTGCCATGTTTAAACATTAAACTTTTTGATGGGGTTACCTGTAATTTTTAGCTATTAATTACTTATAACAATGTACTAATTACTAAGTTGCAGCACCTACACTGATGCCGCTAATAAACAGTCGACTTTCTAGCTACCTAGCAACTGCAGCCCAAGACGGAGCATAGTGTATATTGTCAATCACAACTACTCAAGTTGCATCATGTGATTAATAAAGATGTAATGTAATGTACCTATATGTATAACTTGTTTTGCATATTACAATACACAGATTATAATAGCTCTAGCAAAGTACTGGAGGTCAGTAAGTTCTAGTGTTCTTTAATATCTACCGTTTATAATTCTTAGGTGTACCTAATGTCGTTGCAGCCAATTAATGTGACCCTCAAAACCTACCTAATTGAATATTATATGGTCATAATAACGACATTGACATAACTTCCTGTTGGCTACTTAATTTATAGAAATTACTAAATCCTAAGTCCTTTCCGTGAGGTGACGAAGTAAGAATACGAAATGTCGCCTCTCGTTTATAATATCTCTCGTCATGATACACATAACTTTAATATACAAATGTATACGCAGGAAACTTTAAATAAAACCCTGTATTACACAGCTTGGCCAACGTGATAAAGTAAGTTAATATAGGGGGAATCCCGTACCCAATAATACCTAAGATGTTATGGTAAAGCCCAAATATAGCCTGATAATCAGGTTCCTTTCCTTTAGGAAACAAATTTAAAAAGTTAGCTTAAACATTTACGTAACAGATTAGAGTTGCCCGGTATGCTATCTTATAACCATCCGAAATTAGAATACTTAATCGAATGTTACAAAATTAAAAGCATACAGGAATAAACTTATTTGAACTCCTATATTAAATGACAATAATAATGATAAATAAACGACAATGTTCGACAAAAAACTTAGAATTTGATTCAATTAGCAACCATGGACTCTTATGCACTTGTCCTATATAGTGTAGGTACAGTATGCAGTACGAGGCTTCATAATAACCGCAATAAATGGTCTGTCTATGCCCTTGTATACTTCCGCTATGCTTATATTACAATCTCAAGTTAATCATATGTACCGCATAATGCATCACACTGTCACGGTAGTACTTACAGGTACCTCTATAATATTGATGTTGAATGTACTTACCAAGTGATAAATCCGTGTAAATTATTTTGAAACAACTATTAATATATTTTTTATAACTAGCTTTTTAAAATAACAAAATTATTTTAGGAAGAAATAATAATGAAACGAAAATAACAACAATCTATTAGAAATGGCTAAAGTAAATTATCATAAGAAAAAAAACAACGATTAAAAATTGAAGAATTCAGCCATAAAAAGGCAAAGCAAACAAATCAACCAAAGAATATAGAATATAGGAGGTAGAAGTACTAGGTTCAAACGATAAATTTTATAGACTACGTATATATTATATTAGTAACGCTAAACACTAAGGTATATAGATTCAAGCTTCAAGATTTATTTATTTGTAAAACATGCGTATAAATACATGCAGATGTTGACAATATAATATCGTTCGACATGTTTAGTTACACAGACAGTCCAAAATTATACATCAAGTTTATTTTATACAATAAATCGTCATCACATTCCAATTTTAAATACATTTATATAAATAAAAATTGTTAGGCAAGAATAAAAGAACGATGTAACAATGATGTTAATAAATATAAATATCACTGTTAAATAAGTTAATACATAATATTTTTTCTATGTTAATTACTGCAAACCACCCATATAGTCATTTCAGCCGTTAACTGTCCACTGCTGAACATAAGGAGAGGCTACAGGCAAAACTTCCCCATAAGGTTAATAATGTTTTGCCAGTAGTTACCACGCTTGGTAGGTGAGTTGGCAACCGCAGTTAGGCTTTTAGAGATGTTTTAAGAGGGACGCTATTGCCAATCTACATACTATTAAATTTCTTCAGTCGTCTTTTACGACACCCACAAGAAATGAATGTATACCGAATAGAAACCGATAGGAGTGGCTTATTACATTTCGGAACAACACGGCTCTTGTAATGTCTCGTTTAAAAGATTATTTTGCGACGAGTGCAATAACAATGACTGTGTTTAATAAAATATAATTTATTACTATATATCAGATTAGTCCTGTAATGTAAAAAATAAATATGGAAAAAATAGATAATTAATAGGAAAAGTATAATTAATTAATAATTATAACAATACTTACTATGAAACCATAATAGCCCTAATTCTATTTGATTTTGTCCAAACCTTTCCAAGTGGCTGATTCCACAGAGGGAGTGAAGGGGGGGGGGGACAATTGGACCTTATTTGTTAAATCGCTATCATTATCATGTGCAAACATGACTTTTACTACGTCAGATTTCGGTAAGAACAATTTATCATGTCCAATTTTAAACGTCTTGATAATAAATATCATGACAAATTGCCGACTGATTTACGGCAAATTAGCAAATATAATCTAACCAAGTGTGACGCACTGCCGCTGGTTTTGTTGTTCAAACTAAGACAGGTACGGTTAATTCACCCAGTAGACGTTTTATGAGACTATTTTGATTGAACAAAGCACGTGATAGTGATGTAATATATTGACATACAATGGGATTAGTCTCCACAGTCTTAGGTACAGTTATTTAATGTTTCAATATAAGTACCATAAGAATTATCAAAAGCCTCCGATAAGAGTATCTATTACAGTAAAACAATGGCCAAGTCCGTCATTCTCAAAGTGTGCTCCGCGGGGACATGCGTTATACTCGTACCTGAACTCCGTCTTTCTGCAAATGATCCGCCGTAATACGAGTACTTCCCAAGAAACGTTACAGTTTATATTTTGTCAGTTACATAAATAAAAGTGCGTTTGAATAATCTGTGAATATTATAACGATTAAATGTTAATAATTCCATTTATTTATAAAGAAATCGATAAAAATTTAATCAATGTACCTACCTAATTTTGTATAATTTTTAACTTAACTTATAAACAGACTTTCTTGTTTTAGGGCTTAGTAAAATAATTATGTAGTATCTCAAAAGTTTGAAAATCACTGGCCTATGTAATTATACAGATACTACCTAATGTAATCATGAGCGTGTTAGATAAATTTGTTTAACATTCTTTTGTCTGGCTTTTAAATTTTCATAGGCAAGCTCTAATCATAAAAGTATTAGTCTGCCTTAAATTTGTAAGGAGTGACAAAGCATTTATAGTTTGTGATATAATAATATAGGTACTTATCTAAGTAATGTGTCTACATTACCTTTAAACTATTTATGTGTTCAACTTCTTTCCTACTGGTTCGGTAAAGTAACGCATCTCCGCTTAATGACGGAGTAAAAATAAAGTATGTCACTATTCTTTTTCATCCGTAGAATATACCGTAAGAGGCATCCAAGAGAACTAAGCATAATATACCATTATGAGTATAAGCAAAGCAAAATTCAAAATAATCTGACTTACATTATATGAAAAAAAAACCAAAATAATCTATAGTACCTATAAAAGATAAAAAGAGAGAAACTGATGATGTACAATTAAAACTACCGAACCCATTTGTTTCCACAGGGTAACATCCTATATATATTATTTATTTTACCATTTATTGCACCATTCATAAAAATATTAAATACAGTAAATTTTAATGTGAAGTGATAAAAAATGCTGCCTTATCGCTAAACAATCTTTTTAGCAAAACTTTAGATATAGGACAGAAAAAAAGAAAAAAGAGTAGGTAGCGCACTGTTATATAGATACATACATAATACATATATAAATAAATATATACATAATAACAGTTCAACAGAAGAGAATTAAGGGGGAAGATAAAAAAGAACACAGGAAAACAATACTTAAAGGATATAAGAACTCAACAGACGTTTCGGAGCTAGCGAATGTTTGAAGGCACCGAATAGAAGCAGAAAGTGAGTTCCACAGGCAAACTGTCTAAACAGTGCAGGATTCAAAATAAAAAAAAGAAAAATAAGCGGAAAATTTGAGGCTGTATACAAACACAGCGCGAAGTATGGTCTTACTGAGTGTATATTGTGTGTTTAAAGATACTACATATGAGTATTAAACTAAATAAGACTGAATAATACGATCTAATTTTTAGTATTTACTTTGATTTGTTTCTTGAATATCAAGCAATTACTACTTGATATTCAAGTAATATTTTTGTGAAACGTAACAAAAATATGACAAACCATATAACTATTATTGTGGTGTGTTAGTATCAATATTATTGACATAGTAATACCTCGTGTATTGTTGTATTGTAACGAATGACACAAACAGTTGCGGCCTAGTCACACAACGCTTCAAACTCGCGGCTTTACTACACAAACAAGAAACCTGTTACATACATAGATTGTAATAAACATCCAAAATATCCTTGATCCCAGATAACGTAAGTTTACTTGATTATAGGAAACTTACTACATTTTTATCAAAATAAATCTCTGATATCCTGTGAGCAGTAACTACAACAGAGACCTTCATGTTTATAATCTTATAGAAGATCTTAGATATATTGTTCTGAAAAGGCGAATAAAGATATTATATTTTATGAGGGGTAGTAAAATATATTCGTCTTTAATATAAGCAAAATGGTAAGTGACAAAATTTTATTATTAATTTTATATTATATATATTATACCTATATTGTGACTATTGATTTAAATTTTATTTAACAAATTACAATACACTATTTCATAACCGAAAAACCATTAACCTCACCATTAATCACCTAAAGAGATTTTCATACAAAAGTTATCTGTATAGGCAGTTCTGCCCTATTCGTGTTTCTACCTCTATATTTGTATAATTATGTTTAGGTTTGATAATTTGGATATGGCAGTAAGCTTATAGGGAACAGAGTTCTCAGAAATAGCAAAGTTTGAAACGATGCTTTGCCTTCCTTTGCATATTCTGTATAACAAATTTAGTTAGAGACATATCCTATGAAATCACTTTACATGATGTGATAATCGTCTTCTATCATCTCATCGCTTGCCATCAACAAAAGTCACACATACTGCAGTTTCATAGGTTTTACCTCCCGCGAATATTCTAGTTGTTGAAGTAGTTGTGAAATTTACTTTCTGGCGAAGTTTTACTCTAGAAATTACAGCATGATATTGCTAAAAAAGGTGTGGTAAGGTTATTGAGGACAAGAAAACACATTGTGTTACAGATGCAGCAAATCTGCAATGCCTTTGGTTGTTGTAGGTAATCATGGGCGGCGGTAGTCACTTACCATCAGATGAGCCACATGATTGTTTGCTCCTTGTATTATTAAAAAAAAGTGGGTTTATACTTGTTTGTTACCATTGTAGTATAAAATAATCAACTGTTGCTTAAATATATTTGACAAAAGTCTGACCTCGGGCAAGCAATGGTGCTGGAGACAGTAGTAGTCGTGCGTGCCGTCGTGGTGGCACCACGTGCCGTCCGGGAAGTACGGGTCGAGGCCGGCGTCGTTGAGCTCCACACGCGGCGCGTAGAACCCGCCACCCATAGCCCGCCGACAGAAAACCGCGCACCCCATCCACATACGAGCTGCTCGCACCAACAACATATTAAATTATATAGACACCTGTGTTTTTTATATGAAATGAGATATATAAATATTACGATAGTCTTCACAGATTAAGGATAGTATATGGAAATTGTCATATATCTTTTTGTCTAACTTCCAAACAATACACTGCATGCGCATGCAAATAGATATAATAACAAGAGTACAATATCGCTGAGTATAAATGGATATGCTACAAAATCTTTTTTTTTTCAAACTTTTTTTTAGAAAACATTAACGTTAGTTTTCATTGATCTCGCCTATGTACAGAAATCGTCTAGATATACTATTATACTATAAAAACCATTATGGATTGTCATGGTGTATATACGCCCAAATATTTTTATTCTAGAATATACTCTAGATACAATACAATATATAGTTTTATTTTCTATTTATCCTACTTCCATGCCGTGTAAAGTGCTTCGTTCCCTTAGTCATTTTTACGATATCCTGAGGATGAAAAGGAATAATATTCCAATAGTCATGCATAGACGAAACAGTAGCACATATAAAATATATAAAAAAATAGACTCTATACTAAACCCTATCAGTTAAATGGCTTAATAAATTTTAATAACTAGCCTTATGTATACTACTATCTATAAAACTAAATATGGCGATCGCAAACTGTCATTTGAGGTTTTCTGTGATTGTGTCACGTTCACTTATTTTTAATGTTCATTCAGGGTTTAAGGAAAATTTGATATGACGATTAAGTTCATTTTATTTAAGTAAATAAACAACATTTAATGTCCATAAATACTGTATTATAAGGAAGTCCGAGACGCATAATATACATTGATCCCTACAGGTTGTGACAGTAGTTTATACTTTTACACTTATTTTTATTCGTGGCTTTGTTTTTGTTTTATGACCGGGATATAAAGTAGCCCGTATTCTTCTCCGTTTAAAATATTACGTGTACTAAATTTCATGACATTGGTTAAGACAAATTCGCTTTTGTATTAATTTAATAAGGATGTAGAAATATTCATGTCATAATGTGGAAAATCGCTTACTCGGATCATGTGGTGCTTGCAATCCTCCACCGCGAGGATCTAATTCCGGCAGTTTCATAGCATACTCGCTGCATTTCCTAGATGCCAATTCGTTCGCACTCACGCGTGTTTTTTTTCCACAAACCTACGAACACATAAATAAAATATTAGGTATTTAAAAATATATTTCCCGTTTGGAATTCCAGATGCAGTAATTGGAGTTATTTTATTGGTCAGTTCCACTTGTTCCTACCAACTTTCCTCCCTTGGGGGGGGAAAGAGCGGAATTTTTTTCCACTTGCGCCTACGAATATATGTACATTAAGTAAGGATAAATGGAATAAATACGCCACTTTTCCCTATCGATATTTTTTAATAATAGTAAGTAGGTACAGTCTGTTAGAAAATATTGACCGTTATCGTTATGGTGAATAAAACGCTCGAGTGACTTCTTGCATCACAAACAATAAAACGAGTCATCATCATCATATAAGTCGTTAACTGTCCACTGCTGAACATAGGCTTACCCTTATTGGTATTAATGTTTTACCAGTTATTTCCACGCTTAGCAGCCAGTAACCGCAGTTAGACTTTGATGATGTTTTAAAAAGGACGCTACCATCCTTTGACAATTAAATTCCCTTAGTCGCCTTTTACGACTCCCACGAGAAAGAAAGGAGTGGCCGATTCTATACCGAGACCACAGGGCATATAATATGAGAACGACATGATTAATATGATTTTCCTATTTGTCAATGAGAATTTTCCCGAATATGAGTTCTACGTTAGATTTTTACAATTAATGTAAAAAAGTGTTAGAGGGAGATTTTGTACAAAAGTCGATTGCTTGGGTATCTTTGTCCCATTCGTGTTTCAACCGTGAAGCAGTCGTGTTTGCGTGGCTGTGTTTCGGTTTGAAGGGTGGGATATGGCGTGAATTTACTGGGTACAGAGGAATAACACCTGAGTCCTCAGGAATGGCAACGCATGGGGGTATCATGGGCGAAACAGTATACTCTGTTATGTTCATGGTACTACTCATGTCTTTAGGCGACGGTTACCACTTTCCATCAGGTGGGCCGTCAGCTTGTTTGCCATTCTAAGTTGTATAAAAAAAAAAGATTTTTCGATAATAATTTCAACACTATAAAAGTAGTTCTAAACCATACGTTGCATCGACAGTAATAATTACGAATTGTATATATTAGTACAATAATTTGTTTATACTCGTATATATACAAATATATTATTATGCTTAAAAGTTTTTTGCCATTTATTTAAAAAAAAAAATTTCCTTGTGTGCAAATATATAGGAACTGTAATATAAATAGTACACGACTAGAAAAACTTGTTTTTCGGAAACCTATAATAATATTAATAAATGTAAGACATAATACTAAACCTTGATTCACAAGAAACAGAATCGAATCCTCATCTGTATTGCGAAGTTCATTAAATTATTTTAATAATTTATCAATGATAATAAACACACTTAAACAAAGGGTGTTTATTATCAAACAATGATACGTGCCTTCGAATCGTCGCATAGCACGACGTCATATGCGGTACCATGGCAGCCTGTTTGAGACATACACGAACGTCGCCGTTCCCGGAAGCCCCGCGCCCGGGACGTACAACCAGATCGACAAGCAGCTTCCCGCCACTCGCTCCAGCCCCCAGAGCCTGAATTACTTCCGCCATTGCCTGCGTCGTTAGACATAGACCCACCAGCATTGCCGCCAGATGTTGAGGGTACCCCTGTGCTTGTAGGTACAGTACCTGCTGCCACACACTCTCCCCCTTGACACCACTGAAATAAATACAACTTCAAAATAGATTGGAGGGCCGTAGAAACTAATACATACATGTTGGAAGGAAAATATATATAAATAGGTAATATTTATTTATTTATTATAATTACCAATTTGCTCGTTTAGAATTCACAATATACAAAACCTAATCATATATTTTTTGTTACTTATTACAAAAATTCACAATTACAGAAAACATGTTCTATTAGCATTCATTACTGGGCACTTTCTAAATAATTTATTGGCATTTTGCGAAACTCGACAAGTTTACAAGTTAATATATCCAAGTCCGAATACTGACTTATAACCTGTTGAGTAGAGTTAATACCAGTGGAAGAGGAGCCTGTTTTGTTAGCTCTATTCTTCTCAGTGGAACATGGAAAATGCTCGAGTATAATAAGAAGACACGTTATAAACACAAATAAAAGAATATTCTTCTAAAATAATTTTAAAAAGAAACAATTTCATATTTGTAATGGAGACTAACAGCTAAATTACTGACGATATACCCTGTTAAGTCGATCTCTATCTGATACTCCCTGAAAATCATCGCAATTTATTCCCAATAAATTTGTTACAACGGGCAACTGACCTGAGTTCATCTTCACCTATCGTCTCTTATTGGTACCCCGCCAGCGTATACCAATAGTGAGGTTATATCACCAATACATACATTAAACTTTTTAAAATGCGTTCATAATGTGTCCATAGTGGCTTTAACGGAATATCAATTGGTACTACTGCAATTAAATGTATCACAGCACATGCTGAGTAGCGTTTAGTTTGGTAACAAAACATGTACGATGTCTTAACAATTTTTTACTGTTCGTAATAAAAGTTTTCATTCTAAAAGACGAACGGTTCATGGAGAATTCAATATATTTACTTGTATCTGGCAGAACTTACTTCTACGAAGACTCAAGATTACTTTTATGGATTTAAGTCTTTAATAATTTATAAAATCGTGTATCATCAGACGAATTATTCAACTGCTATCCATTTAGTGACTAATCACTTGCTGGCACCTATAATAACATGACAAGACCGATTACGAATCTTGTAATGTAAACATTGCGTTTAAGCAAATTCTAAATTGGCATTCGTGCATAACAAAGATGATCTAGAATCTACCAAAAAGCTAAAACTCTCACACGAGTTATAATAGTAGAAAGTTATAATAAAGTATTACAAACCATTCGAGGTCCACATGGGGTGCCGGGCAACGCGGGTCCAGCATAGTAGAAGCCGGCGCGATGTGGTGAGCGGCACGCTAACTGCACACAGTGCTCGTTGGATACTGCCGACGGTGAGGGTGCAGCGTCCACGTCACGTAGGAACACCTGATATTATGTTAACTAAGTAGATAAACTGCATTTCATTATGATAATAATAGCATATATTGAAAGCGTCGTGAGATCGTAACCTAGTGATTTACTACCCCGATTTATAATGTGAAACACGAAGCTTAAATGTGGCTAATTTAGACGAGCCCTGGCAGTAGGATTGCCCCTGTCACCTCGGCTTAGTGTGGGCATGTTATTTCCTGAGGAATCAGGTGTTATTCCTCTGTACCCAGTAAATTCACGCTATACAGCTTTATTTATAGTCGTTATTAAGTAAAAATTACCTCACATTGCTTCTTAGCACCCCAGAGAGCACCAGGAGCTCCACCAAATCTCTCATGCTGCAATTCACTCGGAGTATCTAAATCATCACCTCCATCCAAAAGACATGTTGCCCATCTGAAATCAACCATTATTTTTCTGTAAATATAATTTAGTAAATAAAAACCATCACCAATAAAGATAGAATCATTGGAGAAACTGAACTCTCTAGCATTAGCTAAGTCCTTGTCCTTAGTACTATAGAAATGGATATAGCGTAGGTATATATAAAAAAATAAACGAGTAGAATTTGTTTACCAAGTTCTTAACAATATATTGTTTATACATACTGTAGCAAGGTATGTATCTGTGCAAGCATAAATTGCATAATTGTATGTCCAAATATCTTAATTTACTTCATATTTAAACTTACTGCAGATTATTGAGATTTTTATGCGATACTTATTTAGTTTTAGAACGACAAAGGTATTGTTATTAACGGGAAATAAAGGCACCATTGCTAACAATTGCTTGTCAGATCGACGTCCATACAGCTCCCCTGGAAACTATCATGGTGAATACATGAATTCGTCACGATGAGCCAACTGATCTGCTTTCATCCTCACCTATCACCTCTCATTCGTACTTCGCCAGTCTATGCTGTCCGCGTAGGCAAAGTTACAATTCCATTTTCACATCATTAAAATTTACCACTCGATGTAATTGCAAAGCATTAAATTAAGCAAAGTTTGTATATACCATGAGGAATAGATGAGTTATGATAACATTTTTTTCGCCTATACATAAAAACAGACGTATTTATGAATATTAATTTTATATTAATAATTATGTCTATAAATCATTAATATAATTTACATAGTACAAGAATCAAACCGGTGACCATCGCAGTATAAGGCGGTGTTTTAAACTGCTAAACCATCGAAGTAATTAAAGTTTTATCAATTAAGAATAGATAGTCATTGAAGTTGAAAAAGGAGATGTGCTGGGAACGTACTGTAAGTCGGCGACAACGCGGGCACTGCACGGGGACCAGGTGGCCTCCCCGCTGGTGCCGCGCGACGGTGACATGATGTAGCCGTCGCGGGCGCACGTGTTGCCCGCGCCGTCGTGGTGCATACCCAAACTGAAAAAACAACGACATCATTATTCAAAACAAATAACGTTTAAGAATGTTAAAAATTTCTTAAGTATAAAATTAATTTAGGTATATTTTGTTTGATAAGTTTAATGTTCTCAATTGACATAGTAATATCCAGTTCAGTCAATAAACTTTTATTCTGATCACTCAACAACAAATTGGAATTGAAATCTTCGTTCTGGATTAATAATGTAATAACTGTTTTATTTAAGAAGGTTATAATATATTCAATATCGCGATTCAACCACGAGCGACGACAGGGAGTACAGCTGACTTTTAAAAATTAAAGCCAAGGAACAATGTTGTTAAGAGCGTTCATACCGAAGTGTGACAACACTTGAATTCGACAGTGAACGTTAGTCTTGTAGCAAGATTTTTGTTACTATTACATACATTACTATTTTTGATTTTGATGATAAAATTGCATGTGGAATTTTTAACAGCAAAATTTGAAGTAACTGCAAAATATCTATTCGGTAGTAGATTATAGTGCATGTTATTGATGATTTTTTAATTAGCTACCAAATAAATTATTCAGGAATAATGCAAATAAATTACAATATACTGCCTATCCCTGAATGGTAGAGAATGCCTAGTAGAAGAATTGTCATTAAGACCACCTTTTGAATTTTTGAATTCCACATTTTGAACATCACACATTGAATGAAATTTTAATAAATAAATAAACAATAATACGGACTTATGTCCAATCTCGTGAGCGAGGATGTAGACGGAGGTGAATCCTGCTGATGGATAAGGCCGGCCGAGAACATCGGCGGCGCCGAACTCCGCTACAACGCAAGCGTGGGGCATCAGGCACACGCCGCCCACTGGCGCCAGGCCCATCGTCACACCATTGCGCCTTCCGCCCTCGTCCGAGTAGAAGTCTAGCCTGTAATTATAAACGTCATATTAAATGCATGTAAAAGAGATACTCAATGCGCGTAAAAATTGAAAGGATTTCATACCATATCGTATCGCAAGTAAATTGTATGAAAATTAAAGAATCCTGATCTTTACAAATATTAGGTTTACATGTGAAAGCGACTTTGTTACTTTTTAGCACCTTAATGGTATAATCAATGTTTGGAATACACATACTATATGCTATATATATATTATACACTGCTTTAATACCTTCTACCCAAAGGTTGTCTGGAAGAGATTGCTTAGCAATAAGACCGCCTTTTGTACTATATTATACGTATTGAAAATTGTTCAACAAATCCTGTTATGTTGGTGCAATAAAGTGTTAAATAAATAAATAAATATATGGAATAAAAAAGAACATAGACTACTATTTACTCCAGTCTAAATTTTTTCGTATATTGAATATTTATAAAGTAATAGAGATATCTTACTATTTACATACTGCGTGATATAGCCATGATATCACATCACGAGGTCATAAATTTATTTTATGTCAAATATTAATTTGTAAACCGAAGAAACTGACAAACTGAAGTCTCTACAGGAGTGGGAAATAAAACATTCAATATAACAACATTAAAAAATATATCATCTACTGAAGAAGCCAGTGAGGGTTTACGGTCAATAAATAGCTTTTATTACATCACGGCAACTAGTTTAGTTTTCAACGTGAGCACGTTATACTGCGTCTTGATTTTCATATAAATTGACGTTTTGGGTCAATTTATTCAAATCAGAATAATTTATAAAAGTGTTGTTTTGCACGATGCACTTTTTTGATACTTTCCTTTGATTTCTTTTTTATATAGTATTATTTTTTACATCAAGTTGTTATAATAATTTTGTATAATTCATTGCTTTTGTTTAATTTATATTTTAAAATTATATTACCTTTCCAAAACATCGTATTTTATGCCAATCTACAGTTCTTTCACCCGTGCCTATAATAATGCTTCCTATTGCGATTCCGGAAATTGGAGAAATGTTTCATTTCGGGCGTATCATATTTATACGAAACCGTACTAACCCAGACAGTAACAAAGCCATGTCCCAATGTTCTGGATCATCATCGTCCTCTACATTTAGTGATCGTTGGTAAGCGCAGAATGAGTCTAACAGGCGTCCTCTCTCAGCGTGAGCCGGCAACCCGGGTGGTTGACTACGTAGTAATGTCATCCGCACCAGTGATAATTGGATGTGTGTACCCAGAGACGAGTGCTGGTATAACGCTTGGACCTGCAGACACATAGGGAGTCGAACATGCACGACTTCGTTGGAGATAATATGTTTAATACAAGGTAGAAATAAACTTTGTAATCATCTACCAACAGATTTGTTTGTTTAATATTAAACTTTAATTTAAAATTAGCTAAACTTAAAATTAGCTAGAAATGAATATATATATATATATATATATATATATATATATATATATATATATATATATATATATATATATATATATATATATATATATATATATATATATTCAACATTTCTAGCTAAATCATCTAACATACATTAAATGTTAATAATACTTACACCATTTATATACGCCAGTAGCATGTCACGTACATCAGCTTCATTATAGTTTAGAAAAGGGTAAAATATTTTATAGGCGGCTTCGTCCAAGAATAAAGCTATTTCGATGGTGTAACTCGCCGGGCCCGGTTTAATTCGCGGCTGGAAGCGAGGTCGACGGAATCGCGGCCGCAGCGGGCGTGCATCGTCGAACGGTGCGGGCGGCGGCGGCGCGCGCCTTATCACGTGTGCTGTACGGTCACCGCCATTTTCCGCTCTACCCGTACTCCACGGTAAGGGCCGTACTTCGTATGTAGAATTGTCTACCACAATTAATCCATGCTGTAAAATTAGGAAAAACAAATTCAGGATACCGGTGATTGTGTTTTAATATTAACGTTAGTTAAGTTTTAACATAAATAGAGATCGTCATGCGACAAATCACAAAATGTGTTTTATGCACTCCATGATTATAGTAAAGGAATGCGTAAAACACAACTTGTCACCACTTTTTGTACTAAGAGTATCCGATAACAGAATAACTGAATAAAACCTTGTGCGTGGCCATCTAGTAGCAGTTTTCTTTTAAGGCAGACGAATAAGACATCTATTTTTATTACGTACCCATTCTAATTCTTTTTTGCTTTGTCCATTGCTATGAACACTTATTTTCTGTAGTTAATTGAACGCGCTTAGTTCATCCTACCTCTTACTATCTTTGCAATCTACGGTCTGCCTCGATAGATTTTACATTATATAAGTAACATAGACATAGAAATAACAACTCACCAGAGCATGATCCTTGCAAGCAGAAAACGCAGCAACAGACCCAGGGCCTGAGTGCAGAAAATGACAGGTCGCATCAACTGTGGATAGTGGCTCCTCTTGTCCAGCATCAGACCAAACGCGAAACTGTGGTGACACCAGACGTCTATTCGGGACCAATTGAAGCTCGAAGCTTCTGGAATCCAATATATTGTTGTTATGTAAAAAAAGTTTCGTGGACGATAATAGGAGAACGCAATTTTTTTTCAATTTGCAAATACCTATTACACATTATGTAACTATAAGATATACAGGACAAGGAAAATGAGCGTGACAAGATGTAAATTGGAAACATAGGTCAGTACTAGTACATAGTTATATATGTAGAATAGTATTTTTCGTTTTTAGAAATAAGAATTTATAGAAATTTTATAAAATAAAAATCGAAGTAACTATAAAATATAATATTTTAGTTTTTTGTTGTTATTATTACAACAACATGAGTACACAAAAGGTAAACAACTAAATTCGAGTTAATTAAAAAAAAATATCTACATTAAAAAAACTACATTGTTGTGATATCATCAAACCTTAGTCTCAAAACGAAATTTTATGAGAATAGCTACTGTGAAAGCAAAATTAATTACGAGTTGTTTATTTATGCATTAAATACAAATTATATTAAATAAATGTTTTAAACTTTCATGGTTGTTTACTTCATTTGAAGACAATAATAAAACGACCTATTATATATTTATCACGATTATCTTTCATTATATAGCCATTAAAATGCTATTTACAGATTGATGTATGTGTTTACATGGAAAATTAATATACTAAACAGTAATATAATATTTTTTGATGCGATTGGTTACTCACACTACGCCTCCAGCGTTACTCAAACTTGAAGATCAAAGTGTCTACAAACCTATGTGGTAAACCAATAAATATCTATCACATTCACTGAAAAAATTGTTAAATGTAAATATATATTTTTAATATAAAAACATCCCACACATCATCATCAACATCATAACACGATTGACTCTACAATATGATATTTATTTATAATGTTACTGATAAAATACAATTGTAATTAGACGATGTATCATGGGAAATATTTATGAAAAAATAATATGAGCAGTCTTAATAAAACCAATAGATGCTAAAACAATAACTTTTAGAAATTTTGACTATATGTCTGTATATATGTTACGGCATTTCGAAAAACTACTGCTGCAAATTGGATGCAGTTTTAACAGTTGTGTTCCTGAAGGTGTAAATTAAAATATGGCGTAGGTTTTATCTTAATACACTATCCAGAAGGAGCATTTTTTCTTCTTCTATAATCCACACATATTAAATAGCAAGCAAAAAGTTTAATATAGGTACAATAAGAAAGAAAATTATCGCATGAAAAAAAAAATTGTCATATAATTACGCTAATTTAGTGATGTTTAATGTATCGATTTACTTTAACTCACCGTCCAAAAGCATCGAAGCTGTAGGGTAGAGGTACGTCGTCTTGAAACTTGTCAGCGGCAGACTGTGCCTCCCGCGGTAGTAGGGCCGGTAAATACACTACTTGCACATCAGTGCCATCTGTCTCACGTGGCTCGACCTCTTCCTCGCCCCGCCCGACGCCCGACCACCAACTCTGCACCGGCAATATATCCTGCTGATCACCACATATCATATTTGTCACAATGAAATAGAAAAAAACTTGCATTCAGTTAAGTTCGGCCATTATTATTATTGTTAGTAACAGATAAGCGTAGATATTGAAATTGTTTAATGGATGAAAAAGGAATGTTATCCCTGACTGCACTGCTACTGGTGTGGCACCAGTGGATAAAAGCAGGTCAGTTGGTCCATCGTAACGAATTCATCAGTAATTAACCACGATAGTTTCTAGGGTGAACAGCGTCGAGGGCAACCTTAAAGGGTATATTGCTAGCAAAGGGGCTGTTAAAATCCATTTCAAACAATCTCTTTCTTTCAATTTATATCTGAACAGTAAGACAACCAGTACAATTTCTTAAAAGACATACCTAACACAGGCGTTGGAGCGGCAATAGGTTAGGTAGGTCTTATTGAATTCTATACGTGGACCAACTAGCCCTGGATTTCAACCTCATCTATCATATTTTACTTATACCCCGCTAGAGTACCAGCCAGCTAAATAAACTTCCCGTTGCATGATTCCTGTAAGTATGGTACAATCAACATCATCGGCAAAAAATACAGGAACAAGAAATAATTTTCTAATTTTTATTTGCCAAAATTACAAACTCTTTTTGTTTGACAAAAAATATAAAAAGCTTTATTATAAAGTTTACAAAGCTATTAAATATACCTACTCGTATTTGTGACACACAGGACCTCTATGAGTAGTCACTTAACCCACGATACCATCAATGGTTGACCGGTAAAGTTCTAACTCATTGTGGATTACTCAGCAACTCTAATATTTGAAATCTTTATTTGACAATGCAATCAATGTGGGTATCAGGAACGCGACTAAATGATAATAAATGCTATATATCAAACGAGGTCGAGTGGAACATGGGTGACAAGGCGCGCGACATCTCACTACCACTTTCGCACCATTGTAGTGTCCATGACGCATTCTGGCAAATTCCCACACCAGTTTTGTTTAATAGACCACAAGGCATTCAATTAACAAATATACCTATACATAACATCTATGTGATTTTAAGCTTTCGTGTTCGATCGTTCTCTGTTTACTGGCTATTCTGGAATAAGTTTAATGATTTTTCGGTCATAATTCTATTTTTTAGCTGATGGTTATAATGTTCAATCTACGAGTAAGAAATGTTCGGAGTAACACTTCTTTTCTTTCTTCGGGAAATTTTTTAAAATTTGTTAAAAGCCAGATAATAAATTAATATTATAAATAAGAATTTGTAAGATGGATGGATGAGCTAATAAATGATTATTTGATATTTTTTGCACAAAATCTACTGGTCGGATTTGAATAAAATTTGGTACACGAATAGGTTATATTGTAACTATATTGTAGCACATAAGATACTTCATGTAATAATATAAATAATAATGTAAATTTTTTATTCACGAATTTTCTCTTAATTTATTTTTTAGCACGGGTAGATTCTTAGTTTTACGCAAGAAAAATTAAGAATATGTATAACATTTATGAATTCGTAAAAAGGACTAATCCGGTCCATAGAACGAGAAAGTGTCGATCGGACTAACAATATTTCAAGCTCTCTCGTTCTGTATTCATAAGTAAAATATCACAGAAACTAATTTCATAATCTTCATAATCAGTAAGCAAAGTATAAACCGACTCACTGTTACCCATTAGCTATTTTTAATATAAAAAGCAGCAATTTCTGATACAAAAGGCGTCTGAAATACTTTAGACCTCAGTATTGGTAGAAAATCTTATTTATATAGTAGGTTATATAGTATTTGCTTGTCTATACTAATATTATAAGGAGAAAATTTGTATGTTTGCCCGTTTGTTTATAATGGATAACAACCTGACTTATAGAATATGTATTCAAAAGAACATACATTAAAAATTTTTTCAAGCCAATACGATTCTTCTACGAAAATTACAACAATGTAACCCTAGATATCAAAAATTTACCTATTAAAACTGATATAAAATATTAATTCATCTTTTTATTTAAATAAAGGTACATCACCCTTATTTAATACCCGTTAGAAGCTAGAGGAAATAGCTAGTTATAAATATACCACCAAAATGTTGCGATATGTCGCAGTTATAATGCTTTCAATATAAACATGATTGAACTTTGTCTATAAACAATGGCGTTGAATGAAAATGTAAGTTTGTTTGTTCTTCTTATTTTAACCTATGGTACCTACTAATATAGTAATTTTAGCAAGTCAGTTGTACTGATAGAGACGAGTGAAACCGAAATCAACACGTGAGTCAGCGAACTGTAGGTTCGACATTAGCGGATGCGAGAGAACTAAAGGGGAAAGTAAAACTATTTGTTTTTCCGTTTCTTCGACTCAAGACAATGAGGTAGTGTATTACTAAACCCGACAGGTGCTGTGCAATTGTGGAGTCATTAATTTTGATATACAAATTGTAAGTTACGTTGATGTAAGACAGATGATGAAAGTTATTCACATCGATCTCAATTACATGAAGTGTGGTGATCACGTCGACACAGCGGGAGGCGCGCGCGCATCGGTGACCGTCTCTGAGGAAGCGAGCGATACAGCAGCGCCAGCAGCGCGGTGAACGCTGCGATGCGCGACGCAGTGCTCTCATAATGGAGTTCGCTATGCAATGTGAATCATCGACAGACAATTGAAAAACTGTACGTGACGTTTGCGCTTGTGTAACTCGCTACGTGATCCAGTGCGGGAAAGACCTAAACTTAATTTTATTACGTAATGTAATTGACAAAATAAAATTATACACCCAGTTACCGACAAACTAGAATTTTGTGAAAGTTTTATTAGTTTACGAGTGGTAAATAACCAAAACAATAATTTATTTTTACAAAAAATTGTCGTAACATTTTTGCATGTATCTAATACTTTAGTGATGATTATTAAATTGTCGTCTAGATAATATCAGTTAATTTCAAATGCCATTAGATATTAGTCTAATTAAATACACCAAACAAATAATTCTAATTTGTAAGTTGTAGTAATAAATACAATTAAACTAGAATATTTTGTATTATAAAAAATAAAGTTAGTATTTTGGGGAAAAACGTAGTATATTACAGTGTAAGAGGTCTTTACTATAGATTCGAGCCAAATTACAATAGGTAAATATTTTTTTAATTTACCTTGCTCCAAATCGAACTTGAAACCTCATTTAGCAAACAAAGGAAATTGCTGGGATAGACTTGATGTCTCGTTACAGAATAAAATAAAGGACAGTATTACTTGCACAAACAAATTAACCCTTTGTGCCAACCGTGATTCATTATGAAGCGTCATACTATCGTATACATTATTGTTGCCACTATATTTAACTTAATTTCGCCAAATTAGATGCAGGTAGATCAATTTGCAAAAAAGAAACAAAAATCGAACACAAGAACAAATTTAGGTAATGACAACAGTCACGAAAATGTCTCTCATCAGAGATCGCATCTCTTTAACATGCAGTTTTGTGTCAACATAAAATTTGTACCTAATCGTCAATGTATGAGCCAGAGCCCACGTTACAAGAATGAGTATTTTTTTTCGCAATTTTGGGTAAATACTTTTGTATTTATTTTATTTTTTCAACATCCGCTTTGTGGTACTTGTATACAAGTTTATGATTGGGTTAAAGCCCTGGAAAATGTATTAATTTGGAGTACACATATTTGGCGTTTGTTGTTTTGAAGTGTCCTTTTTATCCCCTGGATATCATAAAAACGATAATACGTCAGTATAAGAGAAACAAAACTCAATGTAAAATTCGGTAAAAGACTTAAACCAACGTGATTAGATTATATAGACTTCAAAATTTAGTTAGCTAATCTGATGTTTGGTTGACAAAATATTTTTTAAATCAAAACACACTTATTATGTTGCAAGGACAGCTTCCAGATCAGGTCGTTTATTTGAATTTGGAACTATTTTTTCTGATATAATATAAATATATTATATGTTCGTATTAGTTACAAATTAATATTCGTGTATTACCTATACTAGTTTAAAAATAATTGTGATGGTATAATATGTTATATAATAATCAGGATGTGATAATCTATATTTTCATGTTTGATGTATATTTTAATTAAAAGTTCAACCAAATGCTAATGTTCACCTGTATTTAACATACTTCTATCAATTTTGTCAAGCTATGTGAAAACTGTGACTGACGAAGTTCGAGAATATTTATTTACCTTGCATGATAAACATTCTCACAATTCTAAATTCAAGTGAATATAGCTCTAAGTATCACTAGTTCTAGATTAGTATTTCAACATACTTTTATTCAAATCATCTTTATTAAAATAGACTTGTTTATAAGCACTTCATAATCGGCATGTTTTATGAATCTACTGCAGAATTCAAAATGTAGTTATTTGTTGAGAAATGTAATAGTTACTTTTTTAATCTATTAATTATTATGAATTATTATATTAAGCGTATTTATTTTAATGTAATATGTCTTGAATTGTACGATTAATTAACACTGCATGTCTATTATTCAAGTAATCGATAAAGGAGCGATAAGCTCTATTTAATAAATGTTTCTTAATAACAGTTTTAAATTTATTAAAAGGTAGATCCAAAATATCGTTCGGTATCTTATTAGAAAATACATAAAAAAATATTAACAGAGGTGAATAAAATAATATAAAATTTGCATAAATATTTTTGGAGTAACAACGAGACATGAGAATTCTATACAGTATACGAGTAGTATGTTATTTATTACTGTAATAATATGTATATATATATATATATATATATATATATATATATATATATATATATATATATATATATATATATATGTATATATTTTCTACATTCACAGGTTTGTAAATAAATTAGATTATTTTTAATAATTTTAATACCTCTAGTATTTCTTAATAATACAAATAAAAATATTTTTTACCACAAATATTTGCTTCATAAAATTGTAAATATTAGTACATTTATTGAAAAAAGAAATAATGCAGAAATTTATAAATGATCCTTTAATATATCGCGGCATTTGCCGCCCGCCCTAGTAGCGGTCGCTACTCACAGGGAAATGCGCAGGCGCACCGGCTCGTAGCACGAAAAACAACGCTACAGTCACTATCTCAGCACGCGCCATTACTGCCCTCTGACATTGCACTTCACAAGCTATAAGCCGAATCGCCGCTTCACACCCGATGCACCACTTTATTATAAACTTGCACGGAAGTTGCATGCAGGTGCTTTGAATATCAGTAAGCGCGATGCACTGTGCGAGAAACGAAGGACCGTTGTAATGTCGCGATTACAACGCGTACACTTATGCGGCGCCAGCTACCGAATAAGCGCTGCGAGCCCCCAATGAACACCTTTCGCACCTCGGAGAGAAAGTCATAGGAAAGTGCAGATTTTGGCTGTCAAGGCACCGCCCACACGCGTCCCCGGAGGAGCATTGTCGCGAGTCATCCATCACCCGAAGCAGGCAGGCGGCTTACGCTAATCAAAACAAATGAACAATATCGCCACAAGATCACTCGCTTGCTCGAAGCGACCATGCACGAGGCATTACATACGCAAACAAACACCAAGCACGACATTATACACATTCAGTACGATCATAGCAAGCAATAAAAATAACAATCACAATATAAAGAACTATGGTATTATTTTACTGTAAATGAAAAATACAAATTTATGCTTAGTGATAGTTACACAAGATTAACTATTCAAAATATTAATATCAGTTACCGTCTCTTTTAGATCTCGTTTATTGTATAGATAAATATTTACAATACAAATAAAATCATAATAATATAATACTATAATAACTTTATTAATGTACGTAGTATGTACGGGTACTAGATTCTACATATTCAGTACTTAGAATTTTAAGTTATTTTCATTGGACTGATTGGGTTCACCTTCTTCAGCCGTATCTTATCTTGTGACAGAGAGTTATGTAAAAACAATGCATGACGTCTCTACCCGCATATTATGCATTACCTACACACACAAGTTCACTTAACTTTGTTTATACGTGTTTATTGATTTTCCTGAAAATCTTACTATAATACTTTAAATTAATATTCCCAATAAAGTCAATCTAGTATGCTAACTGAAGTATACATATATTTCTTTTAAATGTACTAGATTGATTGTTCCTCCAAACCCGTTCTTTCAATTCCAGTTTGTAAAATTAATAATCTAACATAATACGCATAGCAATTATTATTGTTTTATTTACTTATTTAAATATAATCTTGGTATTTATATTTTATCTATTAAAATGGTTAATAAATTTTAATTCTAACTTGATTATTCAGAATTTGGGATGTTTGCTGTAATTTTCAATAGCTGTCTTTTCTTTTTGTATGTTTTTATTATTTGTATTAAGATTTGTGCAAACTTTATTGGTTGATAAATTATTTGATTGTGTAATTGTTATAGATGTTGTTAAAGTTGTATATTTGTCTAAAATAAACATGTATAATAATAATGTAACAATCGTGTTAATCGTGACCGAGTTCATATCAATTGACTACAACATTAATAAATTGAACCGCTGACTCATTATAAACCGGCTACAAACAAATGCACAGAACTACATTCAAACGTTTGGTAGACATTTTTGCAGTTAGCCTACATCTTTTATAGTATATATGATTGATACAATTGTAGACTACTGTAAGACTGCGTTTTAACTAAAATACTTCCCGTAGAACATACTAATGATTTTTTTTATGAGATAATTAAAACCCTTAGTCCTGTTGATATATTAGCAAATGTAATCAAATACAAGACTTATCTAACTAAATATATATATTAATTGAGGAATTTGAACTTCGTCACTTAACATTAATATTTTTCACCTGTAGATTTTGGCAAGTGTTGAGTTTACTAATTAGTACCGGTTGTTCATTTTGAATAATCAGTTTACTCAAGTCATTCTTGAATCTGTTGGTATAGCCAGGTATAACGGAACGGGAACCCTACACAATGTAGCTCTTTGTTTATGACGATTTATGACTAACGTACCTCGGAAATACCACAAATTTTTAAACACTGTTTTTATTTTACAATATTTTTTTTAAACCCCTGCCACATTACAATTGTCTGTCTACTTATTAAACTTTTTTAGATATAGGTACTTTAAGGACATAGTTATTTTTTATCCCCACTTGTCTTTATTATTAATATTATAAAAGTGAAAGTGAAATTGTTTGTTACCTCTTGGCGTTTTGGCGCCTTAACCAATTACCAAGAAATTTAGAATACAGATACTATATGGGATGGAGTAGACTACTTTATATTCAGGTTAGTGAACATATTCCGGTCAGACGAAGTTGCGAGTATGAGCCAGTTATAATATAAACAATATAAGAAAAACTTTCTGTACATTATCACTTGGTTTTAAATGATAATGTACGTCTTATTAATAATATTATCTTTAAATATTCATATTATGTTAACATGGGTTAGAACAGATTGTGTAACCCAGTCCGTGTTATTGGTTTTTACTGTTGGGGCACTAGTGAGGGATGACATTAAGGATAAAGTCAATTGGATCATCGTAACGAATTTATCACTACTACGATGGTTTCCAAGGGAGATGGTTTACAGGTGGAAGTCGACTAGACAGGATTTATTGCAAGAAATTTCTAATGTATAGAAGTAAAAGCAGTTATTTAAATTATATTCTATATAATATATTACATTAGTAAAATGATTCTATTATTCTATGTTCCGTAAATACGAGTACGATAGGTGCTTTAAACATTTAATTTTTTTCTTTCTACACACGCGAAGCCGCAATTTTGTTAATTCAGTTTCTGATGGTGATATATAAAAAAGGATAGCATAGGCTGTTACGTCTTTCTTAAGTAGAAAACAAAGTGAAAAAGAAAGTGAGAGCCGTACTGTAAAGAGAAGATTTGGTCTCATTTTCTTTATTTGTATACGCATGCGAAGCCGGGCCGGGTAGCTAATTTATAATATTAGTATCTAACTTAGAATCTCTTGCATTTTATGAAATTAATCATGTTTTGTAAAAATTGTCATAGAAACATGAAATGTAATTAGTTATGAATCGAAACTTTAATGAACTAATCGAATTCATATTTGTACCTATTGGGCATCAACAACTTTATAGTCAGTAATTATATTTTCTATAGAAATAGGCCATAGTAGGTTACAAAAAAGAAACAGAATTGGCGACGTAGTTACCATAGTCGCTATTGTATAGCGACTATGATTATACTATACGATAATTTATAAAATCACATACACAGATTGAGTTAATATTTGAACTGTTTATGGAAGTGTTACCTACCTCTAATATATATTTTATAGTTTTTAAGTTAGTTTTAGGTCTTTGAGCATTTCCGTCTACCATCTTTAATTTAGATTACTTTTATTGTATTGATATTAATTATCGATAAATTTATCCTCCACATATTAAAACACTATAATTATATCAAGATATGCATTTTTTACTAATCACTGAGAGAATATTGTTTTGTAACAAACTAGTATATATATTTCGTTGTTAGGCACTGTTTTTATTTTATTTTTTTTATTTATTTATGCTTTATTGACCACATTACAAAAAAAAATGTCTGGTACAAAAGGCGGACTTAATACTATATAGCATTCTCTCCCAGTCAACCTTTGCCTAAACAAAAATTTTAATATGCGGTGAAAAAAATTACAACACATACAATAGAGATTATAAAAATATACATACATGAATATATTAAACAAATATTACATAAATATACAAATATGTAATAAAAATACATATATACAAATATAAATATACATATATAAATATACCTACTTATAGATTATATACGATAACACAAATAAACAACGATAGAGATCAAAGTTATCACTGTTATCACTCCTATCATATTATATGCTAATAGGTAGAAATATTCAAGTTTCTTCTTTCTTAAATTCTGAACTAAACATTTTTTTTTCTTAAAATAAAAAGAGAAAACAATTTGAAATATTTATACATATTCCCCACACAAGTGCACCATACGACATTTATTATTTTCCAAAAAATATTTAGGGAAGAGAAAAGTACCTATATATTATTCTTTTTAAATACATTCTTAATATATATGTATATAGTACATACTATATATTTATAGTATGTAAAAAACATAGACATAGAAAGGAAGACTAGAATATGTATGTAGGTAACATGGACTTCAGTGGAATTAACGGACAGCGCATAACTGATGTTAACTCAGTCGTCGAAATAAGTCGAAAGTTTGTTAGTTGTATGATCACTACATGAGTGATTCATAGTTTGTAGATAGGTAGGTTATAAAGCACCTGCTTAATATATTGGCATACACTTTAAATTTTTATTTTCTTATAGTTTGTGGACTATTTAATCAAATATATTTGCGCTGGTCTGAGCCAATTACCGTTAACAAGTCTTACTTAAACATACTTTTGAGTGAATGTTTTATCTAGCCAGTATAATCCCGTTCCGTCCCACGCATGTTTTTTACGTACGGAAATTGCAGCTCAATTACATATACAATTGACACGAACTGTGTAAACAACGTTTAAATAGGTACGTACATATTGTTAAAAATAAATAATAATTTTTACTGCAAAATCAAAGGAAAATTATTTATCTCATTTGTATTAAGTAAAATTAGTTATAATTAATAATTACCCATATATGTACATCATTTCCCTTAATCTATAGGCATTTATTTAAATTATATTTGAACACTTGACGTTTATATTTTGTAAAGTTAGAATTTGGAATTAAAACTTTTTATTTCCATGCAATGTGTTTTCTGTTTTCATTACTTAATTGTTTTGATCTGATTTCTGACAAGACTACTCTAAATAACTGCCTTTCTTATTGTGAATATATTGATACAGATTGATACAAAGTACTACAAGTTTAAATAAGAATTAAAAATAAATTCCAGGTTAAAAATGAATTTTCATGTTTATGTTGTATCTCGTTATCTTAAAATTAAAACGTAGGTTAGTACGTCCCTTAAATAGGAGGAAGTGGCCACTTTCCAAACCTACAGATTTTTTGTACATTTGAGTTGTAAACGTGAATTGTGACCGCCATTCCTTTACTCTTGTCTGGTTAATAGCCCGTACTGTAAGTACCTACCTACTTAGTCAAATGAGAAAAACCACATCCGTTTTTGCGGCTGTCGATCAGTCAGATTCAATTATATAACCTTTGGTAGGTTAGAAAATTCTTGTTTTTAAGGTATCTATGATATAATAGAATTGCCATTGCCAACCAGCATCTTCTCATTTACAGGTATTTTCCAACCGACTTAAAAAAGATGAAAAATCTCAATTCGATAGTATTTTTTTTATATTTATTGCCTCATCACTCCATCAGTTGTAAACCGATTTGGAAATTTTTTTCTTTATCTGAAAGTATATACTTGCAGATTTTCTCAAAATCAATTCAATGATTTAGTTTTTAAACTTAAATAATTGGTTATGCCACAATTGAAGTCGGTTTTTTGTGGAACACAATCTTAATTAACAAAGTAGTATAGTAGTATAATGGAGTGTTTCATTATCATCATATCAGCTCTTAACCATCCACTTCCGAATATAAAGCCTCCCCCTCGGGGAGTTTTGCCAGAAGTTGCCACGCTTGGCAAGCGGATTGGCAACCGCAGCCAGACTTTAGAAAAGTTTTAAAAGAGACGCTGTTACCCATCTCTCGCTGTTTCTTAGTCGACTTTTACGCCACCCACGGAAAAGGAAGGGGTGGCCTATTCTATGCCGGGACCACACGGTTTCTTTGTATCGAGTTATTATTTATTTACAGCTTATTCATAATTAAGTCCTTAAGACGAATGATAGTACAATATACAATCTTATTATAATCTCACTAATATGCACAAGTCAAAATTTTCAACTGCTTTACTAAAAATAATTAAATTAAGCAAAATTAAATTATGGAAACCAATTATGTAGTTTGCTACACCTAACTTAACGTTGATATGATATTGATAAAGTTTTATACCAACCATTTTGCAAAGTACAGTTCATTGCGGACGTTGCCGTTTGAATCTAACAACGATCGAATAATAATGAACAGTAACTTATTATTTTGCATGTAACTTCCACATATCCTGTCACCACGTTCACACAATGTCTATCGTGTCATATGTTCTTGACACAAATGCTAAGCTGACTATGTAGATCTTTACACTTTTATTTATTCAAAACAAACAACTTAGGTCAAGGAACCCTATAAAGATTAACAACTCTAACCATAACCGAATATACTGTAATGCTCATAGTACCCTTCTTGTGTTGCCATTCCTCCTCTATCCGCAAGAGTCTTCAACATAGATAATAGATACAATACTGTTCTAATATCCTCTATAACCTAAATATATTTATGTTTTCGTGTGTAATCTTTAATAATCGTCTATGTACATAGACTTTGTAGTTTTCTATATATCCAGTAATTTCACTGTCACCGAACCAAAACAATCATATAAACATGGCCGTTTAGTGATTCATGTATTTTAAATGGAATATCTACGCATACTTTGAATTAATTGTAATAAATGCTTTTTCTATCGCTTGGGTTTAAAATAGGTGTTAATAACTATGTATTAATTTTGCACAATTAAAGTTACGCACAATTAAAGAACATTTTTTCAATGTAACCAAAAGAAGCTCTTAAAAAGTAAAAAAAGGTATTATTTTACTTTTTAAGAGCTCTTTATTTTGTACTCTTAAAAAGTACAAAATAAGTAATATATTATAAATGTAAACGTTTGCAATAATGTTGTTTTAAATGTTTGGCGATATGGCCACTTATGCAATAATTCAAAACAAAATATAGTATATAAAATTTTATCTAATTTCTATAATTTGTTAAAATCCTTTCGCGAGATGGGGCTCACAATGTACCTAATATTTACCAATATGTGGTACCGTTCGACAATTTTTGGAAAAGACATGATTCCGTGATATTCCAACAGATTCTGTGATATCGGCTCAGAGTGGCCAGCTTATCGATATTCTACATTTTGAAGAGTATGCGCAAGAGTTGCACAATCTGATCTTGCCATCTCCTTCCTAACATCGACCTAGGTTGAAAACCAAGATTCATCCTTACGTCGTCTCTAATACGAACTGCTAAGGAATGGAATGCCCTTGTTGCTTCTGTATGTCAGAAGAAATACAATCTGGGATTTTCTAAGTTGATAATGAATAAAAATATTCTGAGTAAGCGCGCCCTATCCTTGATTTTGTTATCACTTTTATTATTTTATTATCACCAGGTAAGGTAAAATCAAGCGCAACTCATCTTGTAATATAAAAATACAGACGCCACTTGCTTATCCTAATTTACCTGCCTTCTCCCTCCATATATCTCTTCAGCCAGGTTCGACAATTTCTATTTTTCATTTATACAAGAAGCATACGCCTCACCTGATAATAATCAGCAATCCCACGCTAATGAACAATCCACGAACGCTTGCAATTTTAGAAATAGATGCATTACTTGTTTGTAACATGAGAGTCACAAAACTCAATATCATCTTGGTTATCTCATTTCAGAACACGGCAAACTAGCAGACTGGTATCAGCAGACAGAATATATTAAATTTGATTGAAGTAAGTTTTATTAAATGCAAGTAAATTGTTTTAACTTCTTAATTTGAAGTGAACTGCATTTCGCGTGCATTATCTACATATATACTTAATCTATTCTAGTATGTTTGTCATTTCAATTTTATATTATTAAATCCAAGTCCATTCATAGTTACTCGTACATTTAGTTGATACAATCAATAAAATGTGATTTATTTATGTACACTTAGATACCTTTTTACTTATCAGAAATAAAGGTTTATAGACAATATGCTTGCGTTTTCTCATGTCATGTACACATGTTATTAAGGAGGCGAGGATGATTCACAATGGAAGAAAAAAACACACGGCGAGGGACGGCGGCGGAGAACGCGGGTGACGCACTGTCCGAGTCATTGATCCCGATACATTCCCGGGCTGTCGACGCGGCCCGACGCCATGGAGGAGCCCGCGCGCCCGTCTGAGCCGCTCGTCCCGCCGCTGGTGCTAGCTGTGTATATCGCATGCGTCGCCGGCGCTGGCGCTCTGGCCAATTGCTCAGTGTTGGCTGCCCTTTTCAAATCAGCAAGAAATGGTACTTATTATTATTTACTTATAAAATTCAATTAATATTAATAGCATTAATAATGTAACAAACATTTACTCGTATTTTTCATATGTTTGAAGCCTCAACTTGTTAGAGTCAGAATATCCGACAAATTGTATCAAGTACTACACACAAACCCCCATCTATGATCACAGTCTGATTAATACTTAGACTAATTAATATAGCAGAATGTGTTTTTAATTTTCAGGTTTATCAGCAATTATTATACAATTAGCCTTAGCTGATTTCGCACTCATTGGAACATCGATATCTCCAGAATTATGGGCTTGGAACGCAAGAAAATGGCATTTCGGTAGCATCGGATGTTCAGCTTATAGAGGACTAAATGTGTTCGCTTCGACAGCATCCTCTTATTTAATCGTAACCATTGCTCTTCATACATTGGCAATATTTAATTTGGAAGAGAAGTTAATCAAACGTAGAAATAAAAGAAGCCATCCAGATGATGATGAAATGAGGTCATCCCAACACAGCTTGGTCGCGAACAGTGACTCCTCAACACCACCACGAACTATGCACGTCGACTACAGACTCGCGGAAACTAAAGTTCCAGTAACACCACCGAGTGCTTTTGTTTGGGTGCTATCGGCATCCCTGAGTATTCCAGAATTTACTCTGGCGACAACGATTCACGAAGATCACGACTACGTGCTATGTACTTCTGTGGATACCAATCATAGAGTGAACATGCAAACTATGCTTGCAATATTTGATCTAGTTTTACCTATAATAATAATGAGTGTTGCTGGAGCACTAGTAGTAAACAAATTAAAATCAAAGAAACTATATGAAATTTATAATTATGAATCAATAGCAGCATTGAAATTATCATTTTGGTTAATAATTGTGTACAGTGTATTTTGTGTACCCCGATCAATCGCCTCAGTTTACCATGTTTATTCAGTCTCAAAAAGTGTAAATGAAATATCGCCAATTGACCAGATACCAAAAGATTATACGACTGCGGTTATAAGGTTGGCATTTAGCGGCATTTATCTAGCAGCAACTGTAATACGTCCTTTGTTATGCATATTTATGACACCAAGCTTAAAAAAAGTTTTCTGTGTAAGAGATGTAAATATGGATTGTGTATAATAATGTGACAGAACTATAAAGTTAATAATGTGTCTTCAACTAAAAAATATAGATATTGTGATATAAAGCCAATTAAATCAATATAAGTAAACGATCGTGTACATTTTATTAGATGCAGGTAAATTATTATAACGTATTAATTTGAAGTGAAGTGCATCATGCGTGTATTATCTACATACTTAATCGATTGTAGTGTGTAATAAAATATTTTGTATTTTTAATCACGAAAAGAATTAATATTTTTATATTAGCTGTAACTTCTTAATTAGTATTGTATGAAATTACGTTTTATAATATTGATAGAAATAAATAAAATGTAGCTATCACATATACTTGGGATTATTGAATTGATTTCCCGTCGCCTATAGACATGAGCAGTACCATGGATATAATAGAGTGTACTGTTTCGCCCATAATACCCCCCATGCGTTGCCATTCCTAAGGAATCAGGTGTTATTCCTCTGTACTCTGTAAATTCACTGCCATACCCCACCCTTCAAACCGAAACACAGCCATGTAAATACAACTGCTTCACAATAAAAACACGAATGGGACAAAGGTGCCCAACTAAACGACTTTTGTACAAAGTCTCCCTCTGGAGTTCCAGAACGGATACTCAAAATTTTTAAAAAGAAACCCAAATGAGGCATCATATGAAACGGTTTCATTTCATATTATTAAGTGCTTTCATATGATACCCATAACATTTCATACGATAAATTTGTAAAACAGATTTTTTATTTATTTTTATGTTACATAGTTTTTCAGAAATGATCAGAAATATGAGAATAAAATCTTCCCCCTCCCCTGCCTTATCTCCAAAATCTCTGAAGCAATCTGAATAAAATCTAAAAAAATAAAGTTTATACCTAATGGTAAATGTGAATATTACAGGAAAAATAAAAAGATGTTTCTATCAGTGTTCTTGAGAAATTATCAAAAAACCTTCAAAATCAAATTTAGTTTCGCGGTCCAGTTTTTAAGTATAAATATAAATAAGAGATAAGAATTTACAAATGAATGAATAGTAGTATGAATGAAAATTTATTTCATAATCCACAACACTTACGTACACTAAGGCTGCAAGTACTAACAATATTAAAATAATATAGAAAAGAGTTTACATATATCATAGTCACGGAAATGGAAATGATAAATGATACCAACTCAGCTTAAAGTTCCTGCAGAAGTAGAAACGCTGATTACCACCTTGTCCCTGCCGCCAAACTAAAAAGCTTTCAGAGACTGGTTTGTTCTTCTGTCAGCAGCTGCATAAAAACAGCTTTTTTTTTATACGACATAGAATGGCAAACAAGCTGACAGCCCACCTGATGGAAAGTGGTAACCGTCGCCTATAGACATGAGCAGTACCATGGACATAACAGAGTATACAGTTTCGCCCATGATACCCCCCATGCGTTGCCATAGCAACTCCTACAACAGCGATAGAGTTGGCCCCCAACATAACACCCCTAGACCTGCACATACAGCAGGAAGCGGCCTTAGCCGCTATCTGACTAATGCATCTGGATCTATGGGGTAAAAATCACAACAGTCCCCACACTTCTATTCTGAACTAGGCAATCGGATATGAACTTTTGATTGCGGCTTCGTATGACAGGACTCATAATCATTATATATTTAACAAAAAATACCAAGTAAAAATAAAAGAAGAGGAGAAGGACCAATCTGGTGTACATGAATTACGCATATACACCGAAGGCTCCAAAACTGAGAACGGTTCAGGAGCCGGAGTCTTTTCTTTAGACCTTAATATAAACATGCACATACCGCTTGGCGTACACAGCTATTGAGCTGTGTACGTCAAGCGGTATGTGCATGTTCCAAAGCGAATGTACATAATCTGTACATAAGCTAGAAATAAATGATATTGGCATTAGATTTTTATCTGACAGCAGTACTAAAAGCACTACGAAACAACAAGACAAACGACAAATTAATAATTAAATGCCACCATTAACTGGATAACATATCTTCCAATAACCGAGTTATCCTCCAATGGATAAGAGGGCACAGTGAATCTTATGGTAACTATGCCGCAGACGAACTAGCTAGAAGAGGTTCAGGAACGAGGGTGGTAGGGCCGTATCCACTTCTTCCTATTCCGTTCTCGCAATTTCGAATATGGATTCGTCAAAGATCCGCTGACATACAGAACCAAAGACGGATACAGGCTACTGATTGCAACTTGGAAATTGGAATTGGAAAGCAACGAAAATATCAGAAAAAACAGCAATAACAATAGAAAAATAAGAACAAAGAAAGAGTTTTGGACCCTATATGTGTAGAATAAAACAAGTATCTTGTACAATTCAACCCTAAGAAGACACAACTTTTGGCGTTCACCGAAAAAAGACGCCGTTTGTCTTATCTTCTCACTTTCAGGGCATTTCCATTGATAATGAGTCTAGAGGTTTTTGGCGTCATCAGCAGTCATCATCAGTTTTGGGGTCATCTGGAGGAAAAAGTTAAAATAGCTTCCAAAAAGTTAGGAGTGCTCAATAGAGTGAGACGGTATTTCACGCCGGAACACCGCCTGAAATTGTATAAAGCTCAAGTCAGACCACATATAGAATACTGTTTTCATCTATAGGCAAGAGCGCCACAGTAACAGCTCCTTTTTTTAGAAGTTAGACCGCATTCAAAGTCGGGCGGCTCGAATTGTTGCCGATCAGCGCCTTTTTGTCCGACTCGACCCACTGAAACTGCGTATAAATGTTGCATCTCTGTGCATCTTCTACCGAATTTATTACGGGGAGTGCTCTGAAAAATTGTTCGGATTGATACCTGCTGCTGATTTTCACCACCGTACAGCCCGCTATAAACTAAAATTTCATTCCAATCATCTGGACGAGTGGCGGTCTTCCACCGTGCGTATTTCAAAGCACTTTCTTCCATCCACAACCACTCCTTGGAATCAACTTCCAGTAGCAGTTTTTCTGAACCGATACATCATAACCTTCAAGAAAAGAGCATATTCCTTTTTAAAAGGCTGGCAGCACACCTGCAATGCCGTTGGTGTTGTGGGTGATCATGGGCAGCCGTAGTCACTTACCATCAGGTGAGCCGAATGCTCGTTTGCCCCCTGTGTTGTAAAAAAAATCCAAGCGATCAGTTTAACAACTTGTTAGCAAGGTTGGAAATATCTCTATAAGAGATCTCTACCAGCCAATCCAGTGAAGTGAGAAAAAAATAATTAGCGGATAATCTAGTGCAGAAATGTACAAGAAAAAAGGAACGTAAATACAAGGTAAATAAAGTACAAATAAAATAAACATACCCAAATATATATATATATATATATATATATATATATATATATATATATATATATATATATATATATATATATATATATATATATATATATATATATATATATATATATATATATATATACATATATATATATCATATATGGCAAGTGCATAGTTTTAAGTATTATTATGTAAAAAAAGTACAAGTTAAAAAATGAGATTTCACTCTTTTCTTGAAGGAAGTAATGGAAGGACTATACTGTACATTAGAAAGAAGTCTGTTCCACAGTGGCACAGCGCGGAATGAGTAAATTGTTTTTATATTTGCTTTAGATTAGACCACGCGGACGATTAAAAATTGCACACTTTATCAAGGTCGTTCCAAAAACTTCAATCAGAACAGAATTCATATGAAATGGAAATTTTTATACAAAAGTTGTTTGCTTGGGCACTTCTGTCCCATTCGTGTTTCAACAGTGAAGTAGTTGGGTTTGCATGGCTATGTTTTAGTTTGAAGGATGGGATATGGCCGTGAATTTTCGGGGTACAGAGGAATAACACCTAAATCCTCAGGAATGGCAAACAATGGGCATACAGAATATTATGTATGTAAAGGCAACGGTAACCGTCGCCTATAGACATGAGCAGTACCATGGACATATGTTTCGCCTATGATACCTCCCATGCGTTGCCATTCCTGAGGACTCAGATGTTATTCCTCTGTACCCTGTAAATTCACGCCATATCCTATACTTTAAACCGAAACACAGCCATTTTTACTAAAATCTATTGGAAATTTACTTTATATTTGTCCTTAGAATAAAAATATCGCTGTGATATCAAAATAAAATTTTAATTTTAGAAATAGGTTTAGAGATGACACTTCAAAATTGACACTGTTTATATTTATCATCAACATATCTGCCGTTAACTGTTCACGGCTGAATGTAGACCTCTTCATTGAGGAGGGTTTTGCCAGTAGTTGCCAAGTTTTTTAATTCAATTTTAATTTTTTTTTATTGAATAATATACTTGTAGAAATGGTAACCCCGCCTGTGGTAACGGTATACGCTGGCGGGGCACCAGTGAGGGATGATAAGTGAGAATGAAAAGGCAGGTCAGTTAGCACATTGTGATGAATGTACCTGGAATTCAGCACGATGGTTTTCAGGCGGGACCACGTGAAGGTTAACCTGACAAGGTATACTGTTAGCAATGGAACTGGTCGTCCACATTACTAACAATACCCCCCGCCCCCGGTATTTTCTATCTGTCTATCTAGTTATTAGTCTTTTTCTAGGTAATTAGGAATGGGCAGATTTAATACTTATTTCTTGTATGTATTTACAAAAAACATAGTTCAGTAGATGTAGACATCAATCAATAAACATTATTAGCTAATTATTCCCATAAGACCTGGTGGTTTACCATGAAATGGAATTTCGATATTTCGAATCAAAATTTATAATATTAAATAATACATGATATCCTAAAATCTGCGATATAAACTAGTTTCTTTAGTCATATATGTTACCATAAACCATCAAAAGATAGACATTTTAAAATTTTCATCATGTTTATTTTTAATATTTATTTATTAAAATTTACAAACACAAAACAAATTTAAACTCCTAGAAATTGTAAATGGCGGATTTAACACCAAATGGCATTATTGACCAGTCGACCGTTGACAGGAATAAGAGAAAATATAATTGACGGTGCAACGCAATATATATATATATATATACTTATGTTACTGGGGGTGGGAGAAGGGGATCGTTAGTAAAATGGACTTTTTTTTAATGGGTGATAATGAAATGGTAAGCTCGTCCGCGCTATTGGTATACACTGGCGGGGCACCAGTGAGGAATGATAGGTGAGGATGAAAGCAGGTCAGTTAGCCCATCGTGACGAACTCCATTAGAATTAATCACGATGATTTCCAGGGGGAACCGCGTGGAGGTTGATGTGATAGGATATATTGCTAGCAATGAGTCAATTAGATCCCATTACTAACAATCCCTTACCCCCAGTAATGCGGACTATCAGTCCCATTGCTAGTAATATACTTTGTCAGGTCGACCTCCACGTGGTCCCCCCTGGAAATCATCGTGCTACATTCTAGGTTTATTCATCATGATGCTCTAACTGACATGCCTTTTCATTCTCACTTATCATCATTCATTGATGCCCCGCCAGGATATACCGTTATATATATATATATATATATATATATATAGATAACCATTCCAGTGCTTCATGGCCTGAATGGTGAAAAAAAATTAGGAAAAATGCCAGTGTAGTGGACAGGAACATGGAGCAGATATCTATAAGATCGAAGACAACGGTTACTAACGTCTCCGTAAAATTCCAATTTAGACTAAGGTATTCATGTCTAATAACACATTTGTGCTCCAATAGGCTCCAAAATTTCTGTAATCTTCATTGTATTACGTAGTCAGCAAAATTGCTTAAGTATAGGAATAAATCTTGAAATGGAACCCATTTTATTAGTGACAACACTCTATAAAAAATATTAGTTTGATGGGCAAACTATTTGTAGAACATTAAAATGTTTAATTAATATACTTCTAGGTTTACTCTTTTTTCATAAAAACGTTAAATGTCTCATAAATTGTTTCTGTTGTATTTTGTACTTTTTATAGGTTTGTAGGTTTTGTTATGACTAAGGGCATTAATTTCGTACTCAGATTTTCCCCAATTTTGCTTTTGTTTCTTGGCCACTTGGTCATTGTCTGCACTTCCTTCTTGGAGAAACATCCGCTGCCAATATTCGCTTCTATTTATTATTCATTCCCTTGACTTTCAAAGTATACTCACACTTCTAAGAAAGTTTATTTTTCAGAAAAAAATAATAATCAAAATAGAAATTTGTTACCAAAGAAATTGTCACTACACTTTCGCAATTCGGCTTCTTAGTAAGCTATATGGCAATATTTTTTTCTTTGTATGTACCTCAGAACATCCATCGGTAATTTATACTCCGTCTATTGTGTGAATATGACAAATCACTCCATATAGTAATTTATAAACAAAATTAAATGGCGATGGATAACGCCACACCTTTATTATTGTAACGTTTTCAGTAAACTTGACATTTTAATCTTTTCCAACTTGAAAGTTTTGTTTTGCAACCGATTTTGTACTTCAAGTGTAAAAAAAAAAACATTTTGGGAATGCCATGCCTGAACTGTAAAATTATTTATACACAGTGACTAATGATGACTAATATGTAATTAGACCATAAAACTGTAAATTTATATGATTGTAGATGACCAAACAAAGGTGGAACAAGTTTAGTAGTCAGAAAAATACCAAGTAGGATAATGGATATTTTCAAAAAATTTAAATTTAAGACCCTCCTGCAGTAAGAATAGTGCATAGAATAATAATAAAGGTTTTCGTATTGTATTTTAAGTTATAAACATCTTTGTAGGGTTAATAGGTGGCGGTTTATTTAAATATTGATTCTAAAACTAAAAATTGTATTTAATACAAAAGTTTATTGGTGAAAACATGAAAAATATAATAGATTAATGGCTGATAAAATGCAGCAATGTTACAATATTATTTTGTCCATCACAAAACTATTTTGCTAATAAATGCCTGAAAATTTCAGAATGCTATTATTATTAAGTGATGGGCACAACAAAATGGTTAATGTCAACAATTAAAGATTTCCTTTGGTAATATTAAAAAAAAATGAGGACATCACAAAACCACATAAGACACTAACAAGTTTTTTGTGCCCTAATTTGATACAGCCATTACAAAATGTGGATTTATGAAGATCTAATTTCATTGGGTATTTGGGCGCAATTAACAAATTTCTGGTTATCTAATTGTATAATTTTAAAACAACATTCACCATCAAGATCTCCATTTCATTGCGGACATTAGACGATAGGAATGTTACTTTGGGGCCGACCAGGCTGTAAGTTTAATCTAAATATGAAAGGAAAACACTTTTAACTTAAGAAACCGTAATTTTAATAACTTAAGTTATAAATATTTATATTCATCAGGTCAGCTCGATATCTGTAATCCAGTGTAAATACAGAAATACAAAACCGTCAAAGATGACACATAACATTTAATTTTAGACGGAACGTGAAGGTCCGCTGCGAACGACATTTTTAACATTTTTTTTACAAGCGACGGCTCGCAACAGCGGCGGGGTACCCGCGCCGCGCGGCGTTCTCGAATGTTACTCGTTTTCTTATATAACACCGATGAGAAATGCGTGTGCTGAGGGTGAGCGCGGCGTTGCATTAATTGTCACCCCCTTCTGCGGGCTCGTCGCCGTCGCCCTGCGTGTCCGACGTCCACAGCGTCAGGTTGTCTCGCAGGAGCTGCATGATCAGCGTAGAGTCTTTGTACGAGTCCTCGTTCAATGTGTCTAATTCGGCAATCGCATCATCGAACGCCTGCAATACGAATGACAATTGCATTCACTTGGTTCACATAAAATATATTTCAATGTGAGATAACTATATTCTTACAAAAAAAAAACTAATATGTTATACTTTCACATAACACAATCAAATTTTATACATTTTGAAAATATGTTAAAACTGAAATTCTGGCTGGCTCGAGGATTATGAGGTTAATTGCTTGGTCATGCTAACACAACTCATTAGTTAATTTACTAAAATTATTATTGTACATTAAAATTTGACTGAGACTGAAATAAATTATTATCCATGCAATATCAAATGCAGAATAGACTTCGCGACAGTTAGTTAGAATATGTTGAGTGTCAATGGGCACACTGAAATCCAATTGTGCAATTTTAAAAAACCTGTTTTGCTAAGTGGCACGCCCGAGCAGGGGAGTTGATAATCTCGTAATAAAAGACGGAAAAGTTGAGCGCTAGACCAAGTCTGATGGGGTGGGTTGGTTGCATTTTGGCCTTAGCAATGTCGAACGCCTCCTGGTAGGCCTTCTGCGAGTCCTCCACGACGGCTGGGGACAAGCGAGCATGTTAATACGCTGAGCCTGCACCTCCACCCTCGTGCCAGCCAGCACAGAGCCTATGCATAACTGACACAAATAATGACCTGTTTGGCGAGTTGGCACGCCTTGTCTGGTGAATTTAATATCTCATAATAGAAGACGGAGAAATTTAACGCCAAGCCCAGCCTGATTGGGTGTGTGGGCTGCATTTTCGCCTTGCTGATCTCAAAAGCATCTTGGTATGCTTTCTGTGAATCCTCTACAACAGCTGTAATGTAAATATGGATTATAGGGCTGTACTTGTAAATTTACTTTTTAATGTAAATGCATATCAAACCATTAAATGATAATACAAAAAAAAGGTTAAAATAATTTGTGAAAGTTCTCTTTACAAATAAATAAAGTTAAAACACCTAAATAACACATTTTAGAAATTCAACAGTTGGTTTTTAAATCAATAGATAATTAGTTAACTTACAATTTCTGGTTTCTCCTGTGGCCACTTCTGCGAGGTACCTGTAGTAATCTCCCTTCATTTTAAGGTAAAATACTTTACTTTCTGGTGTACTAGCTTTAGGAATAAGGTGTTTGTCAAGTAAACCCTGCAACAATATAAATATTCTCATGTATTTTATCATATTGATAAATATAATTTTACAATTATAGTGAAAGTTTAAGTAGTCAAAGGCAATTTGTTCCGATAAGTTACTTGTAGTTGCCTCATACACCACAGAAAAGTTTAAATCCAATGAGGTTAAATGTAATACCGATTTAATGTAAATTTTTGAAGTCTGGATAGAACTTAGTAAGCTAATAATCTGTCCATTGAATACCTATTGGTTGTACCACTACTACCATTCCACCTGATGTAGTAGTAACTATTCTAAGACTAGAATAACTTTTTTTATTATGTTATTACATAATCTAATAATCATTACTTATTGTTATTTATTGAAATTCAATAATGAATTTAAATATAAATAACATTGAATTCTATCTAGAGATAGGGCAATGAACGAATACGGGATAAGCGCGCGCAATGACGCGGCGCAATACGTCACAGCACCCGCCTCCCGCCCCACCCAAGAAAAAACCGCACCGCGCCCCTGCATATTCTCACGTGTTAGCCAGCATTATACCGCCCATGATTTAATAAAAATTCTGACCGTGGAGAATATGACCACGACAAATGCTCGCTTGCATCACATCTCAAATTGGGCACGTGTAAACATAACGTCATCAGCGTAGGAAGGCGCCTGTTGATGTACTTAATTGATATATACCAGCGCAAAATTATAATTATTCTTTAAATTTTTAATCAGAAATCGTAAAAGGTATACCTACATCAACACAAATAAAACTTACCAAAACGTCATAGCAAATTTCTCTGAGCTCCTTTTCTACTTTAACCCTATATTCTTTTGCCATCTGTTGTTTTCTTTCGGACCCTTCGGTTTTCTGTTCAATGGAGGAAATGACGCGCCATGACGACCGTCGGGCGCCTACCACATTCTTATAAGCGACGGAAAGAAGATTTCTTTCTTCATTGCTGAGTTCGACGCCGGTTTCCGTGACTTCTTTCATCGCGGCCGCCATGTCGTCATATCGTTCAGCTTGCTCCGCCAACTTGGCGCGTTGCACCAGTTCCTCCTTGTCAACGGACATCGTGGACGATGGGAGAGGATTATTTAACTGATGCCCCTGTAATAAAGTACAATTCACAGATCATCTATCAGGATCAACTGCTAATATTCATTAAATACAGTGTTTCAACGTTTTCAGAAAGACTAATCGTTTAGGCGTCACTTTCACCAAAGAGAATCGCAGTTGGGTAATGTTTCATCATGTGGTATGTCGCACCTTAAGTAGAGGCTCACAAGCGCACTGGCGCAAAGTGAGAACTCAATGTAGCTCAAAGAGCGACCCTCACGCCAAACGCGACATCGACGCGGCGTCCGTTTGGTTCGACAGCATCTCACAGACTCGAGCGAATAGCAAGCAAGGCACGCGCCGTATCGCCGCGCCGCTGCTTGGTCACCGCCACTGCGCCACCGGTATTGATCCGCCGACGCGGGATAAACACTCCAGACGAAATACGACTAGCGCGACGCTTGCACACGCCCCTCACCCTCGCCACACACCCCGCGTGCACCGCGCCCGTCGGCCCGGCGCCTACCTCATACTACCCTTATCTACCTACAAACTTCTACTTCATCCCTTGTTACTAGGTTCTAGTATGCAGCGATAAATTGCTAATTTAAAAAATAAACCTGCAGTCATAACTACAAACCTAATTTAAAAAAATAATAAATTTATTAATTTATTACAATCATTAGAATACATGCCATACCGGCATTATGATTCTACGATGGGCGAGAACTTTCGAGATACTTAAGCTAAATTCCGAGTATAATTTATTATGTGTATACATTATAAAACATGACTACAAAATAAGAGTAACTGGACATCAAAATTTTGCACCATATAGATAGTAAAATATAAAAATAGCAATTAATTCAAGGAACGACTATACTGATATAAGATGGCGGACTTAAATATTAGTCTTAAAAATATTGATAATATAGAAAATTAAAAAAGAGATTTCTCATGATTGTATCTATTTTATAAGACAAAGCCTAGATGCAATCAAAATATATTATCATAATACAAAATATATTCAAGTTTCAGTTTTACTTTATTTTTTGACACAAAATATTTACCTAAATCTAATTCAACAATTGTAACAAACTCAAACATGGTGGGAACGTCAACGTCATTTTGATTGACGTTGGCTAAGGCATTTGAAGACAGCGATGATGTCAAATTTTGTGGTTTTCGTTTAGAAATTTATATTCGACCTATCATAATTTTATTAAATTTGAATTCTTATTTTGCTCAATTCCTTTACAATATAAAGGTACTACAAAGAAATTAAATTATAGCCAAAAGTAAACACACTTTGGTTTCAGTTTTTTTTTTCGGTAATACTCATTCACGATTTTAGAGACTTATTTAGAGTTTTAGTTTACCGATAATTAATGTTATTTTTTCAATGAAAAGGATTTTTAATATTTCTGGTAACATCGTCAATTCTGAACCCACTGTGATAATACAATTTCAACAACACCTAAATAAAGGAAAAAGCTCAAACCTTTCAAACTATCAAAAAATATTGTGATATACAAATAGACGTGACGCAATTATAACGGCTTTTGCCATTAGGCTATATAACGGAAGACTAAGAACTTTCTAGGATCGTTATTTGGCGACCGGGTGACTAGTGGAAACAATTTGACGGTGTGACAATCTTTGTAGATAACTTAAAAAATATATTTTAGAAAGGAAATCTTTTCAAACTTGACATTCATAACTAAGAACCACTAATTAGATTATTCAATAAGACTACATAAATTTCAAGAACCAATGAGTGATATAGAAGAAAAATTGGTATAGAAGTTTTAATATAATAGGAAACAAAACTACCAAATTGAATGCAGTTTTCAGTTTCCCTAAAGGTCTAACTTAAAATCGAATGCATTTTATCAATAAGCTGTCTAGAAGTAGCTATGCAATAGAAGTTTGTACCTACTTCCAAAATCCACACTTATGTAGTTGAGGGCAGAAGCTAGTGTACGATAAAATTATATAACTACTTACCGTAAGTTACAATTTAGCTATATTTAATGACCACAATAAAAAAAAATCACATCGTGTTAATTACATACTAATAGGAATTCATATCTCTAATTATGCTGATGAACCAAAAAATCCATTAAAGTTGAACCAACCCATAAACTATGTCTTAGTATAAAACCCCTCAAATCCAGATTCTAGATGATGTATCACAATGAAACATGTTTTCAATATAGATTATAAAGTATCAAAGGAGACACTCATATAATAATTAATTATAGACAGATATTAGACACGAAAAAATATTAAAAAAAAAATAACAATTGGATACTTTTATCTTTTGAAGTTTTTAATATGAATTATTATTATTAATAATATTATTTTAATAGTATTCAAAGTAATTCTGTTAAATAGTCTGCTTTTCTACATCTTGCTGAAAATATATAGGTGATTGTTACCATGTTCCATCAGGTGGGCCATCACCATAATCGTGGGCAAATGGTTTGCCATTGTGATTTGCTTAAAAGCCCTGCTAACAATACAAAAAAAATATGCATAGTGATAAAAAAAAAATGTACAAAAGAAAATTTTAACTCTTAAAAATTTTATTCCAGCAAATCTAAAACAAAATTACATAACTTTTATTATAATCATTTAACAATGAAACCTAAAAAGTATGGAACCTCTTATAAAATCAGATTTCTTTTGCAAGCACAGTTCCTAGAAATTATATAATATTATAGGTACTTGAATAGTATTTTATTATATATTATATATATATATTAATGAAAAGTTAAAAAAAAATTGCTACGGTTAAGGTTCACTATGTTTTATATTTCTTGTCAAATAGATAATACTATCATTTTATTTAATAATGAGTAGGTATTTTGTGAATACAAAACTTTAAGATGATCACATATCAACCTATATTGATTCATAGATTAAAGTAATTATTTTAATTTTATTTTTGAAATATTATGTAAATTGAACATTAAAACTTTAATAAAGTTAACACAAAATATTTTTCCATGCTGACCCTTAAAACAATGACTGTAATATGAATATGGATTTTTTATGATAATGGCACTCCAAAATGGGTCCCATCATTAAGAGAAGAATCAGTCTAAAATGCAAAATAACATTAGTTACAAAATTTACATAGATATCTGAAAAGAACACAAGTCACAAAATGTTCATGTATAAACAGGTACCACCTGTTTAATTCTTTGGACTATAAATTGATAATATGTATAAATTATCTTGTACCTAGGTATATTACCTCTATATTTATGTAATAAAATGATCTCATGTGCTGAATTAGATTAAATTTATTACCATGAGTAAATCTTAAATTACCTTCTATACTTTTAGACATTAAAAAGATTGTTTTAGAAACCGTAATTATGTTGAAATTCCTATATATATATATATATATATATATATATAACTGTGATGCTTTAATTACTGTAAACTATATATGTTAATGTCTAACTACCTACATTATTATAACACAATAGTACTTCTGATTTACTGTATGCATGTACACTGTAAATAAAGTAAAATGTACACAAATTTTACAACACACACCTACCTATGAAGAATGTCCCAACCACATTAGATTAATGGATAATTCAGGAAAAATTTTTAGTGGAGATGTCATTAAATAAAATTGAGATCAGTAAAAACAGCCTATATAACATTTTAACTTAGCTGGCCTCTCAATATTACAGACATGATAATAAAAAATAATTTAAATGATAAGGAAAAGGCATAATAATCTCATTAACAACCATGTGGTAGGTAGACAGATATCCTTTATGTATCACTAAATGCTTAAATCATAAAAGACACTTATAATAGCACTGATTATGCCCCTGACTCAATGTCACGCACGTGCCCATCTCGACGAAGGCGTTACGATACCAAAGGCCACGCCACACCAACACCTCTAATTTTATTTGTAATACTAAGTACCTACATGACCATATCATAGAGCGTTACTTAGTTACACAACGGAAATTATATTGAGTCATAGGAATGTGGCGAAAGTAGAGATGACTAATTCTATATAGATATTAATTTAAGAAATCAATTATAAGACATCTATAGTAACTAAGATGATAATAATATCGACCAAGATAACGGCATGACTACGCACGGCGAAATTACGACGCACTAGCGAGATTACTCGTTACTTACCTCTACGAATACGCCGAACGTTGAAGGAACCCACGCAATTTGAACTCGATCAAACGAATTACAAAGGGAAGATTACTAAAGTTCCATTTAGTGTAATCAAAAATATTTCTTAATACCAATGTGTAAGAATCCTATAAATATAGTCAAGGCATGTATGAGATGCAAAAACTAAAAAACCAACTTACACAAATAATTTATATCGTAGACTTACTAGCAGAAAACGAAAGTATTTAACAAGAATGAAAAATAATTACTGTAAAAAAGTAGAAACTCTTATGAAATAATTTTAGAATAGCAATAATCCGCACCGCGAAATCGTGTCGCCGGCAAAGGCAAAATGGCTGCTGTAATGGGCACTCCTTCTATGCGTCACAGTCACAAATTTGTGGCAATTTATTATCTATAGATGGACACAATATTATACACAATATATATTTCACTTCAAATAATTTTAATGCACTTACTTGTTGGAAGGGAAAAAAAGTAATAAAACCAGCAAATTGCTATATAATTTCAGTTTTTCTCTTGCGGTGAACGATACACTACACTGACGGCAGCGGGGCCAGAGGGGAAACAAAAACCGGAACAGGGTTCTCATACCACTACGGCCATTTAGACAAGATTTCTAAAGAAAAAAATTTAGGCATAGATAAAATACTCACATCGTTTTCGATACTGAGATATTATTTTACCTTATCTTTTTTATACAAACCAAAAGAGAGAGCATATATATCAGCATAGAACACAGATTCTCTATGGATTAAAATCATAATACGAGATCATAGTAGTACCACATACAGGAAACTTCAATTTTCGCGCGTATTTCAATTGTCAAACCATGACGATCAAATAGCTTGCAAAAAGCGCGTAATAATTAGAAAAATACCTACCTATAATTTGAATTATCAAATGTCATTGATAATGAACCTTAAAGACAATACGCTAATATTAATTATAATATTAACATCAAATCTCTCATAACTCTATTTTACTATTAAACTATTTTGTTTCTGTTTTTCACACTAAATTCGCAATTTGATAGAAAGTGACAATGTAATAGTTGAATAAGTTTGTAGAAGGTTTTAGTTTTTATAAAGAAATTTGGCAAAGAATAACGCCACACAACAAAATGATAATTATAGTTTTTAATTTACTGTACAAAAGTAGCATTAGTGTTATTGATGATCTTTCGCATCGTATTATTACTAAATCGCATTTTTACTACAGAAAATATGTCTATAAGGAGGACTGATAACATTATTGGTTATCGCAAAATTAATTGCAACATATAAACAAAAAAGAACGTTAAAATAAAATTGTAACTGAAGATAAGAGATAGCTGTCTCTTTTCTTCTTATGATTTATTAATTTGAAAAAAATAAACTATAGTCCATTGGTCTATTTAATAATATATTCCAAGAGACTAACTCCTTAAACAAAATACATTATGTACTCCCATCTTGGGTAGAACCTAAGAACAAGGAATTACATAGAAGGAATCATAAAATAAAAACTGTAATCATATGGTTGCCTGCTTTCTTGTTATACAAATATAATTAGTAAAAAGAGGACGAAAGATTAGTTGTTATTTTTCTCAATTCATAGCAGGTTAACGTATAGAAAATATTTGATATGTCAAATATTTGTAAAGGACAAATTTAACATTACTAGATTATATATGCGACACATTTTATATAGAAAGTATGTAAGCGGGTTGTATCTGAATTTCGTAGTGTTATACAGCCAAATAACATTTTCTATACGCTAGCCTGCTATAAATTGATAAAAATAGCAACTGATAGTGTATATTTTGTCCTTTTTTTACTAATTATATTTGCATAAGAAGAAAGGAGGGAACCATATAATTTACAGTTTTTATTTTATCATCCTTCTATGTAATTTCTTGTTCTTTTTAGAAGTAATATTCAAAGTGTACCACAATCATAACAGATAATTACATATTTTCCCGTCGCATCTGAATGATGGTGATGTCGCAACTGATGGTGTATCTTTCGTCCTCTTTTTACTAATTACATTTGCATGAGAATAAAGGAGGCAACCATATGATTTACAGTTTTTATTTTATCATTCCTTCTATGTAATTCCTTATTCTTAGCTTTGACAGTAATACCAGTCTATTATCGGCCATTGTAAATTGAAAATACGTAAATGTTCTCGAACATATTAATTATGAGCATTTTTCGTGATCATGAAATATTTTTTATTATAGACAGATTTCTTTAATGTTTGAAGTCAAAGATTTCAGACTTGTTCTTAGTTTGAACTACAAGTATAATATGGTGTAATCTCAATGAGGTTGGAAATATTTAGGAGAAAAAAAATTCAAATAGCGAGGAAATTAAAATTAACATATGGCATCCCCGACATGTGGTCAAAATCTTTCTTTTTTGGTTTGACTTGACATTTTATACTTTTAAAAAAATTCGCCTTGTTCTAACCTGGCACTGAAATATTTTTTAATAATAATTATATCTATTCTGTATTAAAATATAATTAATAATGCCGAAGTCCAAAAGAGATAAGAAGGGTAATGTATTGTTATGAATATTTTTCTTTAATAATCTTTGCTGTTTATCAGGTTAACTCTTTTTAACGTTGTAAAAACAACTATATTCTTTTACAAATTTTTATGAATGTTTAACAACCTAATGCTAAAATTCTTTGATTGGTTTTATTATCATTAATATTGTTACTAATCATACAGGTTGAAATTAAATTGTTCAAATCATTGTAATAAAAAAATATGGTTTAAAAAATGACAAAATATTGGCCTAACATGACATCCATGAGCATTGTTATTTCAAAAATATTATTTTAATTATCTTGACACCCTGGCCGTCTTATATTTTTTTAATTTATCATATATACAATCTATACGGTAATTTTCTTTTATTTTTATTTTTGCAATATGATGTTCATAGTAGTGAACATACTGTGGATGCAGACACTACATTAACATTTACAAAAACATGCAAGACATGTCAGTGGTATTGCATGGGTTAAGTTAATATTAAGTTAGTATTACGTTAGGGTGTTTAAAAATTCAATTTTCTTATGTAGTGTAAACAAATTTTGTTATGTCTGTTTTAGTTTCATTAACCAAAACAAACAAGAAAGGATTGTTGCTAAAACAGAAAATTATTGAAGAAATCCGAAATTCATTGTCTAAATATGAACATATATTTTTATTTACTGTTGATAATATGCGCAACACTAAATTGAAAGACTTACGCCATGAATGGAAAGACTCGCGTTTCTTTTTTGGCAAGAATAAAGTAATGGCAATTGCACTGGGCAAAACAAAAAGTGATGAAATTGAAGATCAGTTAAATTTGGTAAGATATGTTTTATTAGTATAACTTGCAAGCAAGCCATGTAATGAAACCTGGCAACCATTTATCTATAGATATAAAAGTAATGATAATATTTATTTCTATAGCTGACAGTTAAAAATTAAAAACCCATGTAAACTGCTGCTTGCTGTAAGGAATGATGTGGCTGCTTTTTTAAACCACACTCTTTTAACCCTTTGCACTCCAGTCTAGTAACAGAGAATAATAATAGTGGTGATAGAGAATACCAAAAACTCCAGCACTATGAAATGAGAAATGAGATTTGAACAAAACATTTATTTCTTAACTATTTTATAAAGGGTGCTGAGTCAATGAAACAGTGTCACTGTAATCGTGACAGTGAATTTAATGTTAGCATTTTAATGACGCAAATATGGCGACAACGGAATGCGAAGGGTGTCGCTGTAGCTGCTATGGATTTAATATTAGCATTTTAATATCGCATAATAATATTTTATATACAGTGACAATGGAGTGCAAAGGGTTAAAACGTTCTCTTCAGTTATATTAGTGTTTAATAGTTTTAATGATTTATTCTAGATAATATTTAATTATTTTAGATAAACTATTGATTCCAGATGTAATGTAAAAATAAAATCATACAAATTCATAATAGAATTTACTTAAATAAATACATTTGATAAATATTAATAGTTATTATGAATTTATTGTTATAGAGTTATAAGTACCACAACAAAATTAAGTCTTAAGGGACTATTGTTTTATGAACCAAATTTTTTCTAGCTCTCAAAAAAGTTAAAGGGTCAATGTGGATTGCTTATGACAAACAGAGATGTTCCTGATGTTTTACAATGGTTTAAAGACTTCACTGAATCAGAATATGCTCGCTCTGGTTTTATAGCTACTCATGATGTCATTTTACCATCTGGACCACTTAAAGATTTTTCCCACACAATAGAACCTCATCTTAGAAGACTTGGGCTTCCTACATCTCTTGAGAGAGGTGTTATACATTTAATAAAGGAATATCAGGTATCAAGTTTTTTTTTATTGTTTTCTAAATATCTGTAAATTTTGAAATTCGTATTCATCTGAAAATTTTTGATAATAATTAAAGATAAAAGTTATTGTAGGTCCCTATATCAGAAATTCCTTACATTATTTTTTGTATATTCAGCAACATGATGTTAATGTCCTATAATGTTGTTAATTTCTAAATTCTTTATTGAATAAAAACATTTTTTTTTATCATTCACTCTCTATAACCTGCCTTTTGAGGTGTACATAGGCTATGGCTAGCACTGGTAGTAACTATAGTTAAAAGTATCCATTCAAGTTTCAATGACTTCTTAGTACATTTTAAAATATTTAACTTGAAATGTAATACTCTAAAATATTAAAAAAAAACATTACTCTGTAGTTGTAAATCCTCATAAAAAAAATTTACGTTCCAACGTTTCGATCTCGCAAAATTTTATGCCTTATTTTTCAGCTATTTGGACCGAATATATTATATTTATTATTATGTTATGCAGTATTTAAGATATTTCAAATTTATTGACAGGTTTGCAAGAAGGGTAATGCTTTAACTCCAGAACAAGCTAGTATATTAAAGCTTTTGGGCATACAAATGGCTGACTTTAAAGTTGTTATAAAATGTCATTGGACAAAAGGCAAAGGTTTTCAAAAGGACATTGATGTAGCCAGTGACGATGATGAAAGTGATGGTGAGAGTGTTCTTGAAGACGCTATGGAACAGGATGAAACATAATAAAAATTATACATATGTGTTGTGTTTAATTAGCATGTGCTCATAATATCTATACCATAGTGTTACTTTGTAACCCATGGCGTAGTCAGTACCATTCTTAGGATGGAGACGCCCTCCTAGAATCCCGGTGTTCTAGATAATACTTTAAATGAAAAGAGGGATTATCCCATTAACTGAAACTGTCCCTGTAGTCACTCGGAAAATTTTATCGCCGTCATTACTACTTACGTCTGTAGATAACGTTTACCACTTTCTATTTAGTACGCTGTTAGTTTATTCTAATTTGCATAAAAATCATATTAGTAAATAGTCCGCTGTCGCAGCCAGTTGAAAATGCATCCAGACGGTTGGTACGAAATCCTAAATTGCTAAAAAAGTTATATGTACAATATAATTGTTACCCGCGTACTCTAAATTATAAATTATCCTATGTTAAGTTAGGACAACTTACCCATGCACCAAATTTCATATAAATTCGTTTAGCTTTTAAAGCATGATTAAGTAACAAACACATCCTAATAAACTATTGCATTTATAATAGTAGTACTCGTAAAATGAAGTAGAAAGTGGAACACCATTTGACTGTCTTATTTATAAAACCTGCAACATCTAATAAGCGTATTTTAACTATTGTAGTCTTTTGATTTTTATATACAGAGTTAAAATCATTAGCATCCTATGAAGTGTTCTACCACCACACTCCAAGTGTTCACCAGCGAAACTGAACATTTTCACCAAAGACATGTGTGATAAACATCATGCCTATTTAACACAAGAGTTAATTTCAAGTATATAAAAAATATACTTTTTCATATAAACCTTCACATCTATCTTTACACTCTTAGGAGCCAAATTACAAAAAATCATATTAGTTGAGTAGGTCATAAAAGGTATCTACTATCTAAATTTGGTATTTCTAGCTTTAGTGCTTTTGGCTGTGCGTTAATGAGTCAGTCAGAATATTTGTCTTTAGTTAATCCCTTTTTAACACTTAGTGAAATTTAAAAATTAAACATCCTTTACAGTCAAATTTTGAAAAATCCTTATGGTAAAAGTTAACTTTAGTAGTTTCGACTTTGTGTTGATATGATCAGTCAGTACTTGATAATATAGATAAGTAAATTATGTGTTAATTTAGCGAAAGTAGTAATTGCAAAACATCTATATAGTAGATACTCCAATACTTCTCTACGAGGAGGAAAGGGATTGTTAGTAATAGACACTAAAAATCCCATTACAAGCAATATACCCAACCAGGTCGACCTCCTCGTGGTTCCCCCTGGAAACTATTATGGTTAATTCCTGATGAATTCAACATGATGAGCTAACTGACCTGTTTTCATTCTCATCGATCACCCTTTATTGGTGCTCCGCCAGCGTATCCCGTTATCGCAGGCGGGGTTACCATTCCATTCACATACACAAAAAAAAGAACTTACCATCTGTCACTAGTGTTCTACCGGCGTATACCTATAGTACAGGCGCGATTACCTTTTTAGTTTCACCATCATTAAAAATACAGGAAATTATTAACGAGTATGTCATAATGAACCAAGTGACTTATTTTAATCTACATCTAGCACCCATCATTGGTACCCCGCTACTTAAGAGTTATAGCGATAGCATGGGTAGCTACCTTTTTATCATCATTCATAAAAAATACTATCAATGTACCAAAGGTATGTTCTTCAGTCTATGAAGTATACTTAGTAGTTTATGAAGGGAAAAGAATTGTTAATAATGAGGTCTAACAGCAGATAGCAATACTCCTTGTCAGATTTACCTCCACGGAGTTATTCCTGGCAACCATCGTGGTTAATACTTTTCAAATTCGTTACGAAACGAAACTAGATCTAAGTATCTGTTTTCATCTTATTATTCCTTACTGGTATCCCGCTTGCGTATACCGATAGTGCAGGTAAGGTAACATTTCTATTTTCACCTATTAAAAAAATCGATAATATAGTAACACATTCAGACTGTAATATAAATAATCTTCTCAAGAAGTTATTTACTAATAATGACAACTGGAAAAAGTCACAGGTCTTTAAAAAAAATATATTCATTGCTAAAATATTTATTAAAACAATCACAGAGAAAATAATAAATTACATTATAAAAATACCAAATTTTAATCAGATGGAATCTGCAATTAATATTTTCTAAACAATCTTTAATTAACTTAATGTAAAGTCATAAAGAAATTATATTTCACTATTTAGTATTTTAAAAATCATATAAAACTATGTATCTAACAGAAGCTACGCCTCTATATATATATATATATATATTTATCAACATAATGTGTGAATGTATTTTTAACACAATGATAACTTAGCACTCATACAAACAAGAAATCACAGTATAAAAATAAAGCATTGTTTTATCAGTCGACGACATCACAGCTTGCACAATCGGCAAAATCAAAAGACGGTTAACATCCACAAAAAAACTTAAATTCCTAACGATATTTGTCATTACAGCTGCGGAATAAACAGTCTTGTAATACACACCTATTACAACATTATAAGCTAACAATGAATTCAGCATTCGTGCAAAACTAATTCCCTATCGAAAAAGTTTATCGACATTTACCTAGTACAATTATTGACAAAGACGCCACGTAATAATAATTGTTAATTATTTTTGCAAGCAATTATAGTCTTTATATAGAGAATGTAATATATTTTTATATTGCACAAACAGGTATAGCAGTTTGTCGTACCTAGTTAACATGGTTGTACATGTGTCAAGTAGGTATGTATTTGTAGGAATGTGTTTATTAACGAGATGTTATGTACACCAACGCCAAAAATGTCTATACTACTATCTATGACTAAATAAATAGTAGATCTTGATAGTGTTTATGAGTTAACATAATTATAAGGCTAACAACACATTAGCAGAAAATTCTGGACAAGGATAATAGGCGTATCCAGTCGCGAATTTTCTACTTAGTCAGAAGGTTACCTATCTAAAAACAAGGTGTCTGAAAACATCAAAGCCTCCAATTGCAGCGATTAGCAATCTTACTAGGCCCCTTATAGATAGATTTATATCTATGATTGAAGCATAAATTATTATAGTTGTTTGGCGAAAGCGCAATTCTTGTACTAATTATCGACTGTGAATAATGGGAGATCACTTTATCACAGCATATTCACCACACAAACTCATTTATGGTTTATGATTTTCCCCTATTATATTACTGTTCAATCCCTACAAAATAATATACTCAAAAATCACATGCACAATGAAAGAATGATTGCTTGAACCTATATTGTGTGTAGCAGGAACATTATGTTTACTATTTTTTAATGGTCACTACTACATTATAGAGCCATGTACCTACTTTCTAAGTATATTTAATGATTAAATGTATCGGTGGTGTGATTATAAATATAAATTTAAAAATATAGATCGTGATCAAACTGCAAATATGAAAATATGATAGATTATAATTATATTTGGCATGGTATATAAGCTATTTTTATTTTTGAAAATTTGAAACTATCAAAATAAATTCATTTAAAGCACTACAAATCCAAACTGATGGTTTTCGATAGCAGCAGGGCCGATCATAAAAATATTAACGACCAATAATGTTTATCGTAAACGACCTACAATAGAAGCAGCGATGCCATTAAATTTAAAATGAAATTAATCATAGCAAACATTGAATAAAAAATTCAATGACATTATTATTATAATGACTCTAAGAACAATGACAAGATGATTAATCGTACTTATCGTTGTTTTGTATTAATGCAGAGATGATTAATTTCGTGAACATTATTTAGTATCTAAAATGACGTAAAAAATGCGCATGTACAAATATTATGCAAAATGTAAATTTATATAAACTGCAACTTTTTTTACAGTTTCGCACACAGTAATCTACCTCTGTCAGTTTGTTTTTCATGCAACTTGAAATAATAGAATTATGGTAGAAGCTAACGGTATTTAAGACAATCGAAAACTCGTAAATGAATGTAAACGTGAAGTTTTAATGATTCCATTATAAACAACAACATTATATTGTTTTTAACGTGCGCGTTCAATTGACGTAAATATCTGACCCTTGTTCGTTACTAGTCGCATACAAAATATGCCCTCATTTTATTCCATATTACTTGTACTTGGAAAAAATTGCACCACCGTTTCGTTAATCTAGTGTAAGAAAAATTGACTACGTTTTCGTTACCACTGCGCAAGATAAACTGAACCGTCAAACCCGCAGGAGTTCAGAATAATTTATATGAAACTGTTCACACTTTGGTAAAAATTCAAGTTGGTAATTTTCATTAAATTTCGACTGGTCTTGTTAACTAGCTGTGAAATTTTCTTGTTGAATTAATCTATATGTGACGTAATTTGGCCGAAATGTTTCTGAGAGTAGGACTTTATGTGTTGTTTTTGTTTAATAAAATGTATTTATCTTCATTACTTTTATGATCAGCCCTGTGTTTTATCACGTGATTGTTTTCGATAAAAGAAATACTTTAGTTGATTATACATTTTCAAATGTTTTTTCTTCCCATAATAATCTTTTAACTATATCGTCACGCTTTTCCCCAATTGGGAATTAGCAGAGATATTCATAATATATTCGAATATTGTGTTTTATATTGCTTGTGTGTGTGTGTGTGCAACTTGTAACAAATATTCGTCGAGACAACAAAAATGTAAGATATATCCAACATTATTACTATTATCTCATCTTAGATTACATTGAACTCCTATTTCATTTGAGAATGGTACAGTTTAAGTAATTCATGCTCTTCAACTAGTTAATGTTTGGATACAAGCGGAGTGGTGGGCGGCAGTTCAATCTCAGGTAGTGGTTCACGCCAGAATATTGTCTGCGAGAACTCATCACTGGGCTCGCAGAGAGCAGGGGGGAACACCTGGTCTACCATCACCGACATGTGAGAGTACCTGTAAAAGAATAATTCACTATCAACGAAATTCTATGAAGTATAAAAATATCAAAATACATATTTTTTTTCATTTTTATTAATATTTATTGTAATAAAAAATATGTTCAACCTATAAATAGTACCCACATACACATATGATTTTTGCATACCTGGCATATTAATAAACAACCATATTTTTTCTTTTTACATAAAAAATATTAGAAAATAATAATAATAAAAAATGTATTAAATATATATATATATTATATAATAACCATTTTATGCCTTGTTATTTCTATAGAATGTTGTTTATTTAATATGCTAAGTATATTATACTTAAAATATTGCAAATAAAATCTACACTTTAAATAGTTCGCCGGTGACGACTTGAAAATAGACATTGAAATTTTCATAATACCGCTTTTGTATGTGAAATTGTTACTGCGTACGTCACATGGTATAAAATCATACACAAGTTATTAAGTATATTGACAAAAGTATACTATATATACATTGGTCTGCGATAACTGGGCTTTAACAACATGTTATAGTAAAAGATGTTACATACGTAGATACAATAAGCAGGTTTTATAAAGAAACAAATCCACTTATCAGTCCTAAGGGTTTGTTAATAACTAAATCAATTTAAATAAGTTAATAACTTAATTTACTTCAATAATAATAATAATAATGTTTATTGAGATAACTAAACAATATTCATAAAAAATAAAACCTTAAAACTTTTTTTAACTATTACACGGTTTTGTCACTTTTTTTCAAATCTGGTATTTAGCGCAAAATAAAGTGACAGAACATTTCAATAACTAAAATAGGTTTACGAAAGGTTTGATGTCTTTTTGAATAAGGGAGTTTACTATGTTAATAAAATGTATAGTGTCTACGACAATAAAAAATAACTAGCAAGTGTCAACATTACATTATTTCATAAAGTATCGATTATAAATAATTATGTTTATAACGTTATGCATTGTAGAAAAAAAGGAAGATTGAAGAAAATTGATGTGTTTTAAATTAAATATAAAATTATAGAGTTCATATTAATATACTCAATGTAACTAACTCAGTGGATGTGATGCTGAATTTTGAATTTTTTCCTGTATTGTTTAAAATTTATTTAAACTTGACTTTATTATAGTTTTGTGGATACATTACAGATAAATTTTATTTCAAATTTCCTATAAAATATTTCTATTAAAATTTCATTTATTTAGACCACCGATACCTCCGAATAGAAATAAAATCCGACACCATACTTTAATGAATTTGAAGTAGAGGGAGATAATGAAAGCACACTCGGACAATACAATAGGCCAAAAGACGAGATACAGATGTCGATGATTGAAGATTTTGTTAGTTCTTAGTATATTTATATGACCAATGTGTAATTATTAAGTAGCGGTATGATAGTAGATTTGTTTGATGGACGAGCGCAGGTCTCAACAGTGACTAAGCCTTACAAGTCATGCCTTACGGCTTACCGGCAGTGGCGTGTAGACTCTACTCTCTCTCACTACGTTTGTAACATTTATGTACACTCTATAGACCTAAGGCTTGAGCTAGATTTAATAACATTATCACGTTTCAGTGGCGGGAAGAAATCATCAACCATGTTACTTTGCACGTTGTAACTGAAATAAAAATAATGTACTTAATAAAATGCGGGGGTGTCGAAGGTTAGTTACACCACGCAGCGGACTGTACATTATGCGATAGGTTAATGTTATTTTATCGTTTGACAATAATTAAATGTTACTTACGTCGATTGGAATGTCTGAGTGAGTTCGTGTTTCAGTTCGCCTTTGTAGTTGATAGTGAAAATTCTCACGATCGGAATGCCAACTGCTTGATAAGCGCACACGTCCTGTGAACAAAAGTACAACAACCATTAATCTATCTTAATGTCAAATCTTTCGTTGGGTAGACCGAAAAATACAGTGCAAGAGGCCTTTATTCTCTTTACAGACATCTCTTTAGTAAAACTATCACTTAAGTATATTTATATAATTGTATCATCAAGCAAAATTAAATATTTATACGGATATGTATTGCAATAATCTTACTAATATAATAAAATTGTAATTAGGCGATATCTGTACATGGGGATATTTAAGTAAAAATAATACGAGGAGTCGTATTCTTCTTTCATCTGTTTCGTTTACATTTGTTTCGCTATCACGCAAAAACTACTGCATTAAATAAAATGCAGGCTTAACAGCTGTACTCCTGGTGGACATTTTTAAAAACTGGTGTATGTTTTATCTTAATACCATTCGGAAGAAGTTTATTTCATTTGTTTTCCCTATTTCTAAAATCCACGCGTACGAAGTAGTAACTAAGAGTTAGTAACGTATAATACAATCAAGTATATAAAATATATATAATTATCTCCATCTTCCTACACTTATTCCAATTATTATTGGGGTCGGCATAATATGGTTTTATCCATATTACAAAAAGATTAGATTTTTAGTTTTACGATTGACCACCTGCCTCACGCCAACCCTCTTTGGGAATTTATTTATTTATTTAATAAGATTCACATACAACTTTTTCATTTTACATGCTACTTAATCAATAACACAAAAAATAATTTTGCCTAATGTAAAAGTCTTTTACAGGCGAATGCATTTGTTGGTGGTTTCCACCACCTGCGGTATGGAGGAAAGGATTGAGGAAAAAAGGAAGGGAACGTTGGAAATGTGTAAAGGAAATTGGTAAATGAGAAGAATAAGGGACTTATGTGGGAAAGGAAAGGGGAGGGAGGAGGGACACTGCAGTTGCGGAAAGGACTGGGACACTGCAGCGGCTCGGGAGGCCGGGGTCGCATACCCGTATGCCCTTTTTCTAAAATCGGACAATTTCTAGAGAAGAACTCCCTTGATAATATATAATATGATATATAATAAAGTAATTAAATACTGTCGTCATATGTAATGAATAGTCAATGGAAACATCTATTATGTTAAAATGTTTAGACAGATACTATATGTATCTCATAGTAGTAAGCTGTTGTTTTATATATGAAGCTTACAAAAAATTTCGAGATTACTAATATTTTATTATCGGCAATTTTATTAAATATATCTTATCTATTTCTACTGTTTCGATGTAAAAGGTAAGACAGCTAATGCCACCTCAAATCCGCGATGATGTGATGATAATTCACAATATTACTTCATCAACAACTCAACGTGTAACCTCCTCATTTTAATTTCGAGCAACTAAAACGATTTCATGATTAGAGCAATTTTTAACGAACCTAGTTTAATACAAGTAACATAAACGTGAAACAGTACTTGAAAATAATGTATTAAAAGCTTTGATAAGATACTAGTATAACACATTTTTGACTATTGAAATCAGTAATAGTAATAATAATGTAAATTTATCCCCTTTTTTTTATACAACTTAGAATGGCAAACAAGCTGACGGCCCACCTGATGTAAAGTAGTAACCGTCGCCTATAGACATGAGCAATACCATGGACATAACAGAGTATACTGTTTCGCCCATGATATCCCCCATGTGTTGCCATTCCTGAGGACTCAGGTATTATTCCTTTGTATCTAGTAAATTCACGCCATATCCAACTCTTCAAACCGAAACACAGCCATGCAAACACAACTGCTTCACGGTTGAAACACGAATGGGACAGAGGTATCCAAGCAATCGTATTTTGTATAAAGTCTCCCCTCCTTAAGAGATGTGAATTTTGTTAATAAAAATAACATGATAAGTTTCATGAAGATGGTACAGTATAGTACATTTTATGATGCCCACGATCTTGTTTTCACTATATAATATGTGCACTGTCAACCTATCAACCAATCCTAGTAAAAAGTACAAAAAAATTACTCACGTTTACTCTATTGCCGTATCCAGCATAGAAAGGATTTGATCCTTGTGGGAACAATGCCTTAATGTCTGCGAGGCATTGTATCTTGAACTCCTCAGGCTTCTTCTCAATTACCTCGCGATGGAAGGCACGCAAAAGCGACGTGGGGTTTAGGAGCAGCGGCCCATCCGGCAGACACACCTCACCCTGCCTGATAGAACGCAGATACTCGCGAGTTACCTGAAAATATTATATTAATTGAAACCGCTACTCCGTTCGTGTAATCATGACATTTTAATTAAAATAACCAGGCTAAGTGTCTGTGTCCTTCTCAAGGCCAAATAGTGTATGTTAATTTCATGAGAATTTATCAAATCATTGTGATGTAATTCATATTTATATACTTAAAACCCAATAAAAAAAAGTAGTTTATCAAACGATAAGGAATTTAATATAAAATCTTGAATAGAACCGAATATTTACTGTAATTATGGGTTTCCTTGTCAAGAAATTGATTTGCACAAAATTGGTAAAAATATTCAATTAAATATTCAATAAAAACACTTCAATTTCAATTGATAAGTCAAAAACAGTCACTATATAATTTGACTGAATGTGTATAATAAGTGCAAATTTTTAGTCTTTAACTGCTGTAAATCGATGATAATAACGAAGTAACAGTTTGCACAGTACATGTCTTTAGTCTAAAACTCCCATAATAAAGGTCACGGCATATTTAACCAAATGTGCGCTCGTTTTATTAAACTCAAACATGCTAAAAGTATTCTGAGAATATTCTTTCAATATTTGATTAAACAAACGGCATATTTAACCAAATGTGCGCTCGTTCTATTAAACTCAAACATGCTAAAAGTATTCTGAGAATATTCTTTCAATATTTGATTAAACAAGCAAACGCTTTTGTGTTTTTTTTTTCATCTGACTCTCTGTAAAAACTAAAGATGCACTCATAGTTCAATTCCCACACCAACTTACCCTTGCCTGTCCAATGGCACGGGCCGAGAGATACAACAATTGGTAGCCGTTGTTCTTGATTTTAGTGAAAAGCTGAGCAACACCTGATTGCGCCCAGTCCTTGCCCACCAGTGGAAAAATGTGTCCTAAAACGTCTGACCTAAAAGGAAATAATATTTGTTGACAGCATTGAAAATAACAACGTGGCATAGTAGGTAATTTAGCCTCACTCAACAAGGACAGCTTACCACACCTATTCTAGTTTCAAAGATGCAGGCTTCACCTCAAAGACGTTAAATTCAGATATGCTCAGTGAAATGTGAACCAATTATTTCACATTACGTTACGTTCAACAAATTTTTTGATGTAACTAATCTGAGTAACAGCAGTAGAATCTTCTGTCATATTCTTCAGTTTAGACTTCAATATGCATAGAATATGTATCCAGGTTCACCACCTAGATGCATATTGGCATCAAAATAAGTGTGTGTCGCCACTCTTTTACATCCACAGGATATATTGTAGAATTAAAGAAAAGGAAAATTTCAAATAAAGCCTACACTAAGCTGCCTTGTCAGTGTGAAGAACTAGAATGATTATTAGCCTTATATTTTATATTTATCATATTGTGGTATGCTCATAATGTGAAAACAAAAATAAATACTTCGTAATATTTACTTGGTGATTGTGCCATCAATATCTGAGATTACGATCTTGTCATCGTACCGCCAGCGAAAGACGTTACACTTGCACCTAGTCGTGCCCTGATACGCTGTTGTTACACTGAACACCATCTCGTTCATACCCTCACGTAGGTTCAGATTTTTCTATGAAAATAATAACCAGAATTATTATCTCTTATTATCAAATCATCAATAACGGAGATCCTTAAATAAATTCACTCACAAGAACTTAAAAACATACATAAATATGATAACTTCATATAGAGAGATCGATTATTATTAAAATTTCTTCAGTATACTATTATGTCCATGCGGTACCATGTCTATAGGTGACAGTTACCACTTTCCATTAGGTGGGCTGTCAGCTTGAATGCCATTCTAAGTTGCATAAAAAATCTCTGATAGTTTAAGTATAAACTACAGAATGAAAACATTTTTTTTAAAGATAGATATGCATGTTATCTTTCCTAACCTGATAGTAAGTAATGACAATAGTTAAGTTTAAACTTTCGCGTTGTTTACACATATTTTAAATGCCCTGTCGTGCAATATATAATATGTCGAAACGTCGACAATAAAGAAGCAGGTACAGGTAATATTTGTCTGCAAAAATTTTCTCATCGTATTAAATCCCAATAGTGTATTTAAAATAAGTGATAACAAGGTCTAGGATAGATCCATATTTATTAAAGATATAATTCATTACAAATAATGAACATCTTGGTCCACTGGAATTGTTAATAGACACATGACATCAGAGGCGCCACACAACATTCTGTAATGCCCATATTGCTGTTTATATCTATAGACGATTAATATTATATAGTCCGCCAGCTTATTTGCCATTCCAAGTTCAATAAACATTATATACTTAACAATATATTATTGCATTATTTAAATATACAATAAGAATTTCTCATATTTAAATAGTAAAATAAATTAAAAACCTAATAGGATAACAACTCCTACCATGGGCTTATGTGTAAATGTAAAACTGTACTAGGCAAAAAGTACTCACAGAGAGGTACTTACAATTTGTTCAGATGACAATCTAAGAGATTTACGGAAAGTAGAATGTCGGCGCATGGGCCTTTGTTCTTGGCCCTCTTGGTCCGATTCCGATGAACTATGTTCTTGTCGATCTCCTCCTACAAATAATACTAATTAATATAAAATAATGTTATTTCAAAACCACTTATTCAATACGCACATAAAAATTACTTGCCATGGTCTTGTGTTTTCTTATTGTCTATTGTCACAGGATCGATTACATTAGCTACCGTAGATGTGCTAGGTTCAACTATTTCGTCAATGTTAGTAACTTCTACTTTCTCCCCTTCAGCCAATTTTTCTACATTAGCCACTGGTTCTTTTGATTCTGCTGTCTCTGTTCCTTCCAAACTGTTTCCTTTAGCCTCATGAGTAGATGGTAAAGACTCATTACTGAAAACATAAACAAGAAAAATATTTTACGAATGTTTTTCAAAAGATCATTCTAATAATAATTCAATTTTATAGGTATTTTTGATGAATAAATTTTCGTTCATTTATGTATATATCTTTATTAATACTATAAATGTGAAAGTGCCTTAACAGCCTAACCGACTACTGTAAAATTTGGTATACACATACTTTATGGGATGGAGAAGACCATAGGCTACTTTTTATCGTGTTCACTCAATATATTCCGGTCACGCGGACGAAATCGCGGATAAAAACTAGTAAAATATAAGAAATTAACTAATTAATTATCTTATGTAATTCAGTGATAATTTACAACTAAGGAAATAAAAAATTAAGAAATTGTGTAACCTCTTAACATAACGAATTCATTACTTTTTATATAGCGCAGGAATAATTAAATAATATGCGTTACATAACATATTCAGTAGAATACAGTGATTTAACAAATAGTGAACATCATTCTATTTGAGTTAAAACACATTGGGAGAGTGAAATAATTATTTTGGTTTCTATTACTCTTGTAATGACTACTTGCATTTGGTGTAAATTTTCTACATACAAACACTGGCCATATAATGTAACTGTTATTATATTTATCGACAACATTATGGCGTGTGTATTATCCATGTCCCTGTTATAAAAAATATAGAGTAGATAGTTTAACAAAAATACCAAAATGAATAGTAATAGAAGCATTATTAGAGGAATGCTCACCGCTTCGCTTCCGCATTGGATCGCCGCCAGCTCCACCACGAGTAGCCGCGCGGCTTGGCGGCGCTGTCCGCCGCTCGCGACTGCGACTCTACGCCTTCTTTATCGGTACCCTTCTCTAACTCCTCCATCACTCGCTGTGTACAATATGTAAAGATTAAATCTAAATGTTTATTATTCTATTATATAAACAAAACTTACAGAGACTTGCAGTACAACCAATATGTTGTAAATTAGATCCGTATTTCCGCACTAGGGATTTTCATTTAGACCATTGTATGTGTCAAGCGATATGTTATTGTTTACTATCAATCCTTGTCACTATTCTTCATATTTGGAAGGATGAAAAGACAGGTCAATTAATAATTTTAATTTTAAATAGGTTGACCTATTAATTGATTAATGCCCATCACGTTTAATTCACTTGGAATTAAGCACAATGGTTTCCAGGAAGAACCGCGACGAGGTCAACCTGACAGGGTTTTTTGATAATGGAATAGTAGCCCCGCTTGCGCTATCGGTATACGCTGGCGAGACACCAGTGACGGATGATAGGTGACGATGAAAAAGCAGGTCAATTAGCCAATCGTGACGAATTCCACTAGAATTAATCACGATAGTTTCCAGGGGAACCGCTTGGAGATCGAACTGATAGGGTGTATTGCTAGCTATCGGGAAATCAGACCCCCCATTACTAACAATCCCTTTCCTCCCAACCTAACAGGGTTGCTAGTATTGGGGCTATTAATCCTCATCATTAACAGTCTGTTCACCATCTATAGGCACTGTGAAGTATACGCACAGTGGGCAGTGGTCGCCTGTAGGCCAGCAGCGAGAGCAGCAGCGGGCCGGCGCTGCGCCAGGGCAGCAGGCGGCCGCCGAGCCGCACCAGCAGGCGGCCGTCGCGCTCGCCCGCTAGGCTGGCGCCGCGCGCGCAGAACTCCTCGAACGGCAGCGCGCGCGACACCATCTCCTCGCGCACGTACACCTCCACCGCACCCCTGGACACCAGCCTTCACTCAATTTATTGTCATAACCATAAACGAATTTTGTAACACAATAGTACGGTATGACTCTGAGACGAGTCAAGTCGCTCTTAAAAAAACCTTATAAAATACGTGAGATAAAAAAAAAAAAACCTTATTAACAAATGTGTTTACTGCGTTCAGTCAGTTAATCGCAATTCGAAATTTTTTCTTTTGGGTTTATGATCCAAAAGTAAAGGAGGTATGAAATTATAATACCATGAGAATTTACATGATATGAAAAGTGTAAAATCATAGCATTATATGATAAACATATACACAGCAGTACACATTCATGATTTGTTATTTGTTTACTCAAAGTTGACAGCAACAATAACAGTGATTGATATGTTATAATGAAAGATAATTTTAAACTAGGTACATAAATAGAAATTGTATAGAATGCCATGCACTCACTTGGCAAGAAGTTTCTCATCGTCATCGGAGTCGAGCGTGGGCGGATCTAGTGACGCCGGGGACTGTGGCAGCGAGGGACCGTTGCCGGACTCATACTCTTCTTCTGTTGGCCCGGCTGGGACCATTGTGGCATTTGGCATTCCTGTATACAAACAAAAAAATTATAACATCTCCAAAAAAAGTCCAACAACTAATTAATCTATTTCAGTTATTGATATCTCTGTATCTAATATTTCATTTAAGCGAAATTAGTCACCTGAAAGAAACAAAGATACGCACATACAAATATAAAAATAATGCTTTGATTTCATTAGACAACTGAACAATAAACAAAAATTGTACGTAGATAGGTATTAAAGTAAATACCATATTATGATATGAGTTGATTTCTTGCTAATTATAACAACAGATCGTATTGTAAATTACTTATTTTTAATATCTATAGAGACATAAATAGGTCGTTGTGAATAGCCTTCATATTTAATCACACAGAATCAATAATTATCTGACACGGCTTTAATTAAATTATAACGTTACACTAATTTATCAAACATTCGTGATACATAAAATAATAATCCTACATAGTCATCATTACTTGACGTAAGCAATATTTATATAACAATAGACAAATTATGACAAAGACAAACTGTTTTAAAGTTATAATAACTGTTGTGTATTATTATTATAACTTAATATTTTGAATGTAATTTTAAAAAGTACCAAACAATAACTCACCAGTACGATAACGATCGGTGTGGTGTTTCGGGAAATAGAGATCTGGGTCAACCTGCCCTCTGTCCAGGTCATCAAGGTAGACACCTTCGGCGACATCGCTGCTCGCCTCGCGGGTCGACATGAACCGGAACATGCCGCTGAGGACGCCCCGGCGGCCAGGCCGCTCCTCGTCCGAGCTGAGCGGCTCCGTGGGCGAGGCGGGCTCAGCGGGTGAGGCGGGCGACGCGGGCGACGCGGACGTCACCGGGGACTCCACCGTCCGCACCGGCGGCTCCGGCAGCTCGCCCCACCTCCACGACTGGGACGACTTGTCACCGGCCGTAGTTCGCGTTAGTTCCACCTCCGTGTCGGACTGCACTGGGGTGCCTCCACGGGAACCTCTGCTGTTACGTAATTGCCTATTAAAATTTAAACCTCCACCACATTGACGTACGATAAATAACTAGATTCCCAATCACGAGCATATGATGTCCTAGTCGAAATTCTGCTCAACGTCGATTCGGAGTATAAGATAGTTGTATACAACAACTAATCTTATACCCTGAATGAGACTATAATAAATTTAAAGACATTATGTATTAAAAAAAAAAACAATTAGTAATTTGACGACAACTGTATAATACAGACAATGCTTACTCGTACAGCTATGGTAAGCTGTAACTTCAAATCAAACAACAAAACCAACAATCTAACTATAAACCGGCGCTCGTTATTGTATATCTAGTTTTTACAGTATATCAATGTTCCTTCATGAAGAGTAAAACGTATTCACATTACACCACATATTGCGGGGCTATAGTTTTACAAGGTTGAAGGGTTTACATGCAACGACGCACGTGTGGTGCTGCGTGTCAGCAATAGGAGTAATGTGAACAAACAGTAATTAATAAGCATACATTTAATACGATTTCACTATACTACTGTAACATTGAAAAAGTAGTAGATATATTCTAAATTTAATGATATTAAAGACTCGAAAGAAATACTAGAAATAAAGTATTATGTTACAGAAGAATAGATTTTATATCACATTATACATTCTACAAGCAAACATGAGCTTGTAATTAGGAATCACGAGTAGAAATATACATACATATGCAAACAAACAATACTGGGGTCGATTCGTAGGCGACATTTCTATCTCTAAAATTAAAATTTGATATCACAGCGAGATCTTTAAGGGCTAATATGATATAAAATTTTAACCGATTTTTACCTAAAGTCAAAATTATTATAATAGTTTATGATTGTCCATAAAAAAGTAATTTCAAGAAACCATTAAGTTAAAATATTATGTTAAGAGAGAAATTTAGAATAATGGTGACTTAGAATCGACCCGACTGTGTTTTACATAACTCTATGAACAGTCTACATAATTAAATGTCATAACAAGTATTAAATTAAAATTATAAAACCCCCGACACAATAAACAGACTTTCATTAACCACAATAGCTAAGAGCCAGAACGAAGTAAATCCACCATCAAATAAATAACCGCATTGAAATCGGCCCAATGTACGATGCCACAGACAGATACGAAGACACACAGCTAAACAAAATTTTAAACATATAACACCCCTTTATTTATTTGCGTCGGGGGTTAATAAAATTCCGCCACAGTTAAAAACGTTAACGGCAAATTGTTGATTTATTTGAAAAAGTTCCAAAGATTAGACCAGTTACAAAAATACTAATGACTTTAGTGGGCTATCATAACTGCTGTACAAGAAGCGTGACGGTATAATGTTTTACTGAAGCATTATAATTTCTGCATTTTAATGGAAATACTTTGAGTAGTAGGAGCTGGTACGTGAGTATGCAAGCAAATGTGACAACTGGGATATTAATATTTTTAGATTAATGTTTACGCATGTCTCGAGGCGGCGTGCACCTCAAATGCTGTGTCGGACAACGCCATCGGGATGCGGTTGTCGCCGTTCAGGTTGAGGTTTGACATCTCTTCACTGCAACCAGGCGACTCAACATTCATCTAGCTTTTAGTTACAAGTACAAACTATAACTAACTAAAAATATAAATTTAACATTAATCAATTTTTTACACATTTATTATTATAATAGCATTCGAGATCTAATCGGAAATTGGGATGCATACGAGCACACATATAACTGCAGTCAACATCAGATAATGTAGATGTCGATATAACTTACCTCAGTGTTGCAGCAGTTACTTCACTGTCGCTGAAGAAGTTGATGTCGTGGACATTGGGGATACTTGTCGGTTGCGAACTCCGCTGGTCGGAGCCGGCTCTATCAGACTGACTAGAAATCGAACTAGTTGAAGATTTCCTTTGGTGTTTTTTCTTGGAGCTCACTTTCCTTGTCTTCTTTTTCTTTTTACCGTTTCCATTTTGCTTTAATTCTTCTTGGTTAGAGGGGGCGGCCTCTATTGGTCGGAAGTCATTGTGCGCGCTAATTTTTTGCACGGTCTGGCTAGCTTCACTCTCTGCTCCCCCTAATTTAGCTGCTGCAAAGGTTTTTGGTGTTCTACCATCAGTTTGATCTGATGAAGTCTCATCGAAACCTTCCATTTCGAACAGAGCATCGTGTTCAGTATCATTACCAGATTTTTCTTCTTGGTTCACTTTTTTTGTTAGGGTACTTAAGTTAGGTTTCTGCATAGTTTGCCCATCTGCAGTATATCTGAAAATCATTTTAAAAATCATTATAATTAGTGTAGACAACTGTTCAATTATTTGAAGCAGTCGTTATACCTACATAATTATACGGAACTCGGTGTATTTTCTATTTATGTATTCCGTAAACATATCTACATAAATAATGTAATTTCGCAATAAGATTCACTTTCGAATTACAAATGTTAAGTGCGATGTGGATCGAATCATCACTTTCTAGCGTAGACAAGGCGAATAATTTCATAAACGGATGAACAAACACAAGTTTAATTAATTCATTACACATGATTATTGAGTGTATATATTCTACTCGTTATAGTGACAGCTGACAGGGGTATTTTTTATCGTAAAAGTATACTTATAATGAATATGTATTCAGAGACTGTCGTATGTACCACACTATAACGCGCAGATATATCTCACTGTTAATTAAATTAAAAACTAATACTGTGTATATACCTTCGCTTTGTGTAATCTGATGCTTGGCCATGATCAGGTTCTACAGCAGAGAGTGAGTTTCGACGTCTGGGCTCATATAATTCGTCAAATCGAGCTGCGGGAATCGGCGAAGTGGCGAGATGTGCAGAACACTCTGCCTCGTCCTCACCTACTTCCTCCACGAAGAAAGCTTCACCCGATTCACCGAGCTTCATGTGGATGTTCAGGGGCTCGCCATTTAGCTCTAAGTCCACCTGAAGTAAAATAATAATACTTTATTTATCTTCATATCAGTTACCTTACGGAGTATAACGGAGCAGGTAAGACAACTGAATGTCAAACAATGACCCTTATTCTTAAATACATCTTCTTTTTTATGCTTTTATAACTTGTCTCTTGCTTACAAGTCTGATCCGGAGATTTGTAACTCCTTCCTCAGAGTTTATCTGGTTATGATTAGTTAGTTCAGGAGTTGTGCGATACCTGTATCCTTGTACTTTCATGTGTGTTTCGTCATTTTTTCATCTAATATCTCGCTCTCACACATATTATTATTTACTACAATTGTGGTTAGTCAACCCTACTCAACAAATTCTGTGGAGTCCTAGCATTTCAATGTAAACTATATATACGTTATAAATAATTGTAATTAAAATAATAGAATATAAAATAAAAAAAAATCATGAAATTTTAAAAACCTTTTTATATAACGTAGTCAAAATGACAAAGGTTGGTATTAAGCATTGGAAAATAAAATTAGTAATCTAGGGTTCAACACCAAATTAATATTTACACAAACATTACGTTTGGCCAATTATAAAATGAAGTTCAGGTGTGGCAACAATTGTATGTCAAGCAGACAGACAAATTATAATAACCATTATTTACTACATAAAAGAACATATTATCGTCAAGATTACGAGTAGGTAACTAGGCAGAATTTGCTAAATTGGCTCGCAAAATGCCGAGCGAGGCGGAATTTTCTTCTTACGAAAATATTAAATTGGGTTTTAAATTTTAATTGTTCTCGAAAAAACTAAATAGCAACAAAATTAGTATGGTAACAACATAGATATAAACTGTTGATTACAAAAGAGCCCTCATAATTCGTGCAGAATTGATGAACAAATCGTATAACATACAAAACAAAATTAAAACCGGATTGTAAACCAACTTTTCAAGTCGATGAAATCTAGATTCAAACAGTTCAGAATACTTTAGAAATAAATTATCTGCAAAATTAGCGATAACTGATAAAAAAAATTATAGTGCAAAAGGGGCAAAAAAGGCAAAAAAAATATAAGTACTTGTACTAACAAATTGGCTAGTGACTAAAGTTTTTAATTATTCAGTGGCTAAAAAGTAAGGGAACTTAAAGATCGATCGATCTGCAGCAACACCCCTCTTAAAACATCATCAAAGTCTAACTACGGTTGTCAATCCGCCTGCCAAGCATGGCAACTACTGGCAAAAGTCCCCTTATAGAAAATGCTTATGTTCAGCAGTGAACAGTTAACGGCTGATATAATAATAATATACATTAAAAAGTAATAAATCAATATAGGATAATAGTAACAATATGCTTAGAATATTAAAGCTTTCAAATTTAATTATTTTTAAACATACGAGGTTTGTCCGGAAAGTACGTATAAAAGTTTTTTAAAAATTTTATTTTACAATTATTCAGGTAAATCAATTTTATCCCCTTCAAAGTACTCCCCCTGTGACATAATGCACTTGTGCCAACGCCGTTTCCACTGTGAGAAGGCTCCTTGAAAGTCCTCTGGTTGTAGGTTTCTCAGCTGCCCCGTCGTAGCTTTTTTTATCTCATTTATGTCCCCCAAATGCCGCCCCCGAAGTACCAATTTGGTTTTTGGGAACAAGAAGAAGTCACACGGGGCCAAATCCGGCGAATAGGGGGGGTGTTCGGTCACCGTAATGGAATTTTTACTCAAAAACTCACGGACAACAAGAGAGGTGTGGGCAGGGGCATTGTCGTGGTGAAGAATCCAACGCCCCTCTCGCGCCAATTCTGGACGAACTCGTGCCACACGAGCTTTGAGGCGTCTGAGCACATCGACGTAGAATTTTCCATCAACTGTCTGGCCTGGAGGGACGAATTCTTGATGGACAATCCCCCGAACATCGAACTCTTTCTCGGCCCTCTCTGAATCTTTTTAGCCACTTGTGGACGGTTGGTTCCTTCACAGCATCATCCCCATAAACTGTTCTGAGATCGGCAAAAATTTCACGGCCATTCTTGCCGAGTTTCGAGAGAAACTTGATTACGACGCGCTGCTCTTCAACGGAAGCGGGCTCCATGCCGACGGGGTTTCGTTAAGAGGTAACTTCACAGATGGCGTGACAAGCCAGTTCGCACCGCACGGCGGTCAGACCAGAACTGAAGCATTGTTAGGGACATAAGGAAGGGGTCCTGCGCTTACCTGGCCTCCCCACTCCTCTTTCTCGCATTCCAGAACACTTTTATACGAACTTTCCGGACAGACCTCGTACATATACCTATAATGAAATATAAATTTTCATTGGATCGTAGCCAGGCCACCAGTAGCTATAAAAAAAAGTTGGTCCGAGTTTAAAGTTCCGTTTTTCACAGAAGATTCCGACTATATTGATATGATTTTTAATTAATTGTCTGATCACTTCATAACAGTACGTGATGTTAATAGGTATAGAAAAAAAAACATACTAATATTATAAACGTAACTTTCACGTTTTCTCGTAACAAACTCACTTGAGTTTGTTCATTTGTTTGTTACCCCTTGGCACCTTAACGACTTAATCTCTATGAAATTTAGTATATAAGTATTGCATGGGATGGAGACGAATACGGACAAAGCTAGCACTTATTAGAGTATTATTTATTTTTTAGAGTATTATTATTAAAGATTAGTTTCGATCTAATAGACGAAAATGAATCTGCTATTTCACTGTTTTCTTCACATTATCTTCCCTGAACATGGAACTATATTAGTAACGAGCTAATAATCGTATTCTTAATACGAGTGGCGCTTTGGCAGCTCAACTAATCATCATAAAATTTGCCATACTACATCTACTAGTACTACTTGGGATGGAGATGTACCTTTTATCCTATTATGCTTACTAATTAATAGATCCCAGTTACGCAGATTAAGTCCCAGGTTAAAACTACTTTTCAATATTTTCTATACTTAAAGAAATATACTTTTACATTATATTTATTTGAACAAACTGATCTTAAATTCAAATTACTATTAATAAATAACGAATATAATTAATGTAGAATTACATTAGTACTATATTTGGTCAACATTATTGAAATAAGTTAAACACTTGGTAACAAAATTAAAATGAAAACAATTCTGAAAGTGTGCAAAAAACTAAGCAGGTGGCCGGATGAAGAAAATATTTGTGCCAAATAATCTTCACATATCTCGGGTGGAATTGTATCCCACATTTGGCGTTAATCCAATTTTCATAGTGAATCAGGCGCAGTTTTCTCATATAGTTTTGGCAAAGTGGATTGTCCGTACCTACACGACATTACGATCTCTAAGTTTAACAATTTCTTGATATATTTTAGACTAGCTCAACTGTAGCTTTCCACGTGGTTTCCCAACGAGAATCGTTTATGCATATGGATATAAAAATAGATCAAGTGTTCTTAGTCACCAACCTAATCTACGATTGATATAGAAAATATTTATCCTCTTATTCAAAAACTAAAATCTTCTACAAACCTATTTTAACTATAATACTGTTTTGTTACTTTTTTAAGAATTGAGAATTTAGTGTAAAAGAAAGAGAAAATACTTCAAATAAGGTTCACGAGATTTGACGTTTTTATGAAAGCGGGTTAGTCTAGCTGCAAAAGAATACGTGACATTTATTTTCATCATTATATTAGTAAATAACCATATATTTATAGAAAAATAATATAAATATATAATAGTATGATACTATTTTTATCATTAATAACAAACAATTATTTATTTTTAGATTAATTAATTGGAATCAACTCAGTGTCAACAGTGTATTGTTATTACTCTTAGCACTGCCGATCTTTTAATGGTCGAAAGAGATATCAGAAAACATCTAACCTAGAAAATTGAAAAGAAAAATCTAAAAAGAATAAAAAGATATACTTTAGAATTTAAAACAGCATTTCATAAACTCGGGAAAACCCAAGTACAATTACAGTGAAATCTCTTTCTACTACAAAAATCAGAACCGTGTAAAATTTTTACGACGATACAAAAGGCCAAAACAAGAATGGTAAACGAGAAAATAGCGGTTACATATATAATTGCATGCCTTGCTATTTTAAATGTACGTATAGTGTTAAAGAAGAATGAATGTTGTAATGCTACAATGCAAATAATTTTAAAGTCTACGAGGTCTGTCCGGAAAGTTCGTATAAAAGTGTTCTGGAATGCGAGAAAGAGGAGTGGGGAGGCCAGGTAAGCGCAGGACCCCTTCCTTATGTCCCTAACAATGCTTCAGTTCTGGTCTGACCGCCGTGCGGTGCGAACTGGCTTGTCACGCCATCTGTGAAGTTACCTCTTAACGAAACCCCGTCGGCATGGAGCCCGCTTCCGTTGAAGAGCAGCGCGTCGTAATCAAGTTTCTCTCGAAACTCGGCAAGAATGGCCGTGAAATTTTTGCCGATCTCAGAACAGTTTATGGGGATGATGCTGTGAAGGAACCAACCGTCCACAAGTGGCTAAAAAGATTCAGAGAGGGCCGAGAAAGAGTTCGATGTTCGGGGGATTGTCCATCAAGAATTCGTCCCTCCAGGCCAGACAGTTGATGGAAAATTCTACGTCGATGTGCTCAGACGCCTCAAAGCTCGTGTGGCACGAGTTCGTCCAGAATTGGCGCGAGAGGGGCGTTGGATTCTTCACCACGACAATGCCCCTGCCCACACCTCTCTTGTTGTCCGTGAGTTTTTGAGTAAAAATTCCATTACGGTGACCGAACACCCCCTATTCGCCGGATTTGGCCCCGTGTGACTTCTTCTTGTTCCCAAAAACCAAATTGGTACTTCGGGGGCGGCATTTGGGGGACATAAATGAGATAAAAAAAGCTACGACGGGGCAGCTGAGAAACCTACAACCAGAGGACTTTCAAGGAGCCTTCTCACAGTGGAAACGGCGTTGGCACAAGTGCATTATGTCACAGGGGGAGTACTTTGAAGGGGATAAAATTGATTTACCTGAATAATTGTAAAATAAAATTTTTAAAAAACTTTTATACGTACTTTCCGGACAAACCTCGTATATTTTGTACCTACAAAAATGTTAATACGAATATTTGTAACGTAACGTAAATATTAGTCATAGTGTTTCTGTCGTGAAGCAGTTGTATTTGCATAACTTTATTTCAGTCTAAAGGATGGGATATAGCAATGATATTAAAGAGACATAACACCATAGTCGTTAGGAATGACAATGCACGAAGGGTATCATGAGCGACTGTTATGCCCATGGTACTGTCCATGTCTATAGACGACGCTTAATACTTACCATCAGGTGAGCCTGTTTGCTACTACTAGAACTAGAACTTGTTTGCCATTCAGTTAAGATTATAAAAAAAAAATTAACAGCTCTACAAAGCAGTTACCTTTTCTCTTACCAGAGGACAAAGTTTAAAGTGACTAAATGACTTGAATTATTCACTTGTCATTGTATGTTTTTATTTATGGTGCAATAAAGAGTTAAATAAATAAATAAATAAATGGTTATGCATCACGTGTCAGTGATTATATGAGGTTTCATACTTACATACATATATACTCTCAAAACTAGTGATGTACCAAGTCAAGCTGACTTGAGTCTCAGTATACAGAATTTGGATACACCATATTCGACATGATTACGAAATTGTTCCTTAATAAAGTACCAAAGACATAATTATTATATGACTGAATGTTTATTATTTTCATTAATATAAGATTGGAAAATCCATTGAAAAGTTATTCGAATTCGATAAAGCTTTATTTTTCCTCTATTGAATAATGCACCGTCTACTTATTTCTCGGTTTGTTCAGAATTTTACTGTGCATTAAAGTTTAAATAAATAAAAAATACGGTACTCAAATACCCATTAAAGTACCTACGTGAGAATCAGTCCGAGTCCTGAGACTCTGAGTTAGAAATACTCTAATACCAATAAAAACGACTCAGCATATCACTACTCAAAACCTAAACTTACCATTCAATAAAATATATTATTTTTACATTTATTACAACAATATTATATTATATGAGCATATATAATAAATAAATATAATCAAGACAATAATGGGTCTTTTTTAATTAAATTAAAATGGAATTGTAAGCCCAAATTTGCAAATAATACATACAAGGATTTACCACGATAACTTCTAGAGTGGACAACTTAAATTAGACTTAACAGCAATATGTTACTAACAATATTACCGCTGTCCTTGTATCCCTAATGGGGTAGTCAAGGATATTTATCGACTGTTTTATATATATACATAAATAATAATGGAACTCCCCAGTGACTCATCACTGACGCCGATTGGTTCGACGTAAGGCACACAACGGTCATATTACCATGTATGTAACAAATAACAAGTTTTCAAAGTTAAATTGTTCAACTCGAACACAAAATTTGAAAAAAAAAAATTATGGAGTCAATTTTCAAACCTTGATCTAGTTGCAAACATGTTATACGATATATTTTTTAATAAAAAAATCGGGAAAATTTTAATTGAATATATTTACTTTCACAATGATCCCATACTAAATATCTCATAATTGAAGACATTTTATAAATATATATTAATGATAACATATTTATTTGAACTAAAATATCTAATTAAAGGTACTCACCACTTTGAATCTGGAGCGCAGCACACCCAGCTTTCCAAAACGGACGTGGAACGGTGAGCATGTGAAGCTTCCATCAGCTTGTTCCACTACCACCACATCAATAGCACCAGTCAGCGTCGCCCCGTTAATTTCATTGTAGAACTCACGAAAGTTCGCAATGAACTTGCCGATATAGTTCATAGAATACATGGCTAGTTATTAGTTTAATACTCTTTTGATGAAATAATTCACTAATTCTCTATTCGCAGTGACAGTTGACTCTTTAAAATTGACTACAGGGTCCATTCATTTATATGTTAACCCATTTTCAAACAATTGAAGTTATGTAGCCACAGCACGTATCCTGCAACAAAACAATGACCTTTTCAGTGAAAAACTCACTCACAAAGTGATCTCTCCAATTTACAATAGGGGAAGTACCTGTTTTTACTTTTTAATAACTACAATATTACACTAAATGAAAAATAATTCGAAGCTGTGCACATTCAACAAGAACATTTAAGGATACAGATAATTTTATTGAATTATGGAATCCGGATATAAAAAAAATTATGTCACGACTTATTCATTCTCTACAAAAGTGACCAATTTTTATCTACACGTAGAAGAAAATACAGTCGAAAATTATTTAAATAATAAATAGAGATAAGATACAAAACACGCTATAATCTATAGATAAATGGATAAGATTATTGTTTATTATGGTCTTAATAATCTATGAACATCTACCAAAAAATAGAATGAAAAGGCTGAAATAATGTGTTAGACTGAGCAATCCAAATTCGTGTAACATTTTTCCAAGTTCCATAATTATTTGGCTAAAACGGACACCCGTTTTAGTCAAATAATTATGGAACCTTTAAAAATATCTATATGTTAGTTTCGTGTTTTATATTAATACACATAAATTTTGTAGTACTATCATTTCTTTTCTTACGAACTGAATACAGTGATTGTGTAATGAAATTAAAATATAGAAAATTGGTCAGAAAACCCTACCATGTCTGTACGTTCCTGATACACCTGATTTGTGACAACGTCGACAGACATTTCATTACATTTATTTATGCAACTATAATTTACATAATTAGCAAAACAGAAGACATTTACTTCATTATTTTAAAAATACGAGATTGTAACGTCATAAATTATTTGATCTGTAGATTGTCATCGAGTTTCATGTAGTAGATGTTTCATTATTTATTGGGTCAATGTACTCACTATCGACCACCAGTCCAGGATGTTGTATAGTATTATTCGAATCTAAAAATATAAATACAGTGCACATGCACAATTATGAAATAAGATTTACGAGAATACTTCAAATAATGTTCCTGTAAACATAGCTTTATTTACATAGGTGTATGTAATGTACAGAAAGAATTTGTGCGTTTGTATTTTTTCAAAATTGCATTTTGCATCTTACACTTGAAATTGGTTAGAGAAAAATATTATACTAAATATATAAACTAAAAAATAATTCATCCGATCACAAGACAATCTGCTAATGTCTAATTGTAGTACAAATAAATAATCAATTGATTGAATGTTTTGATTTGTTACTAATCTCATTTAAAAGAGTTCAACTTGATTACTGTTTCATTAAATTCTATTGAAACAGACTTTACTAATCATATTAAGATAACGATCTTCTTGTTTACAAAGGCCTCTGACATGACTTGCTGGTACGTAAACAGCTATACAAGGCCTTTGAAATACAAGCAAATGACAAACATTTTAAAGTATATTATTATTATATCAGCCATTAACTGTCCACTGCTGAACATAGGCCTCCCCCATAAGGGAGTTTTTGTCATTAGTTGCCACGCTAGGCAAGCAGCTTAGCTACCGAAAATGGCTTTGGTGATGTTTAAATGGGTACGCTGCTGCCCATCCTTTGACTATTAATTTCCCTTAGTAGCCTCTTACGACACCCGTGAGAAAGGAAGGGATGGTCTATTCTATGTCGAGATCACACGATAAATTTTAAGGTTATCTACCAACAATTAACATTAAAAATTCAGATATGTCTTTGAAAATAAAAAAAAAAAATAGTCTTTAGAATTAATGAACTCCACTAACAGTTCTGCCGCGTAAACTATTACAATTTTATTAAATAACTTACGAACCTTACCGCCTTCGCACGAGTAGCTAGTATAAGGATCTTTATTTTTTTTTATAAATACAGCACATGTAACTAGCTAATGGCTGTACATACATACATAAATATCTATTACGTTTAATAGCTTTCTATAGATGACATTTTTTTAAATCGGTTAGGAGTTTAAACATTACAAACAACAGATAAAATTTTTCCTCATTACAATATTAGTTTAAATAATCGCAAATATCTAATCGCAGGTATCTTCATTTGCTAACAAAACTACAGGATACTAATAGTACCTACCTAAAGAAGACTAACGATGACATAGAAATATATATTATATAATAATAAAAAAAAAACAAGTAATTTTTGAAGTGGCGTTGAGTAGTCAAATGTAGTCATGTCATATAATATTTTAATAATACTACTTCAACTTTAAATATGTTATTATAATTTTTCTTATTTAATATTAAATTTTTTGTATCATGAATTGTACATACGGTACAGTATAAACCAAAATGGAAAATTACGAAAATAATTTTTGAACTTTTATACCCTTATATATACGATTACTGGAACTAATATATGTACTTGTCTTTATGTCAGTCTACGGGGGAGGCCTATGTTCAGTAGTGAAGAAGGGCTGTATGGTATCCTGGTATAAAAGAAATACCTTTTATGTTACCCGCATAATATATCGCTAAAAATATAATTTAAGTTAAGAAGGCATAAATTACAAGTTTTGCAACCGATAATAGAGTTTACTCCCATTGATACCGTATCAATTCATCAGTCATTGATTTTTGTTGTGGAAACTAAGGATTAAATTACTATCTCAAACTTTAAAATTTGTATTTTATCAGTTTTATTACAAAACTTGTGTCAATTTGTATTTTTTCAATATTATTAGATATTATTATTCTCTTATAATAAATGGTAGCATACAAGTGATTGAACCACTAATTCTGCCTTTTTTTGGAAATGAAACACTAAACAACTAAGCACGTGGCTGCAGCGTGCAAACACGGTGACGGCACGGCGACACGATATAGTGAGCACTGAGGACTCTGCCCCCGGCACTTAGTGACTAATCCGCAAGAATAGCAAGCAATTCAATAAGCAGTAGGTATATTTGTTCATAACGACTGAAATTTTTGGCACGAAAATTAATAGGTACATTAAAAGGCAGTCGATGTTGTTGTTACTTTTATGAAATAATGTTATTTGTAAACACTCTCTAAAAACAAGTTTTTAAACGTAAATATTATAATGATATTCAAGGCCCACTCATGATGAGACCCTGATTCACATCAGGGTCTCATCATGAGCATATTCCTTTTTAAAAGGCCGGCAGCACACCTGCAATGCCGTAGGTGTTGTGGGTGACCATGGGCGGCGGTAGTCACTTACCATCAGGTGAGCCGCATGCTCGTTTGCACCCTGTGTTGTAAAAAAAAAAAAAAAAAGGTAGCTATCATTATATATTGTGACACATAGAAACGAGTTCAAATTATGTTATATTGATTTATTACAAAGTTAACATAGCCTTTCAGCTACAGAGTACTATTGTTATCATCTAAATTACATAGCTATATCTATACGAAACTTCAGATCAATGATAAATTGAACTGAAAAGACTGACGAGCGGAAAAATATTAACAGAAACAAAATGATTGTAACAATTTTAAAATTATATTGCGATATTTACAGTAAAGCCAGACTTCCTATATGTACATTAAGGTAGGTATCAACCACGTACATGATAACCCCCGTGTCAAGATTACTGTACCTATGCACTCCATCTACCATCAAACAACAAAATGTGGTTACCTACTTGCCTCCTACATTAACAAATACTACTACCATACAAAAATATGAAAATTGATATTCAGATATTTGTTACACTGACTGATTGAACTGATTTGAAAGAAATTTTATAAATAGATGAACCTATGTCTAGATTAAGACCAATCCAATACTCTTTATGTTAATTTACTGGTAATAGGTAGATATATTTTTATTTATAAATATATAAGATTAGCATACCTACCTACTAAAAAGATAAATAAAACGGTGGCTTTTAAAGTTGTTTTTCTTTGTATTTTATAAGAAAATCAATCTCATTAATAAGTCGCAGGTTACAGCTATTAAAAAATAAATCTAATATTCGAAATTTCATCAAATAATTATTTTGTCAAGATTAAAAATATACGAATAAAATCTTAATCATCATCATAAGTATTCTTCGCAAAAAAGCGACTTTACATGGTGAACGCGCCTATAAACGACCAATGGTAATTATGATAGGATGTTTCGTAGTTACTATACATGACATACATATGTATATTGTAAATGTAAGTAATAATTATTATCATTGCATTTCATGTTTTAGCTAGTAACAGGTTTGACATAACGAAGACTATTAACCGTTTGCCATAAAGACACCAAGCAACTTTCATATTATGCTGTAAAAATAAATTACCACAAACAATATACGACTGAAACAATGGGTAACATAGGTAGGTATGTTTAGGTCAACAAGACAAAATGTAGTTTAGTAGAATTACGTCGAATATGAATTAATTAGTAATAAAATGAATCGTTGATAATATTTACAAAATATCCAATTATTTTTAATGTTTATGATGTAGAATTATAGCCTGTCTAAATGGCTATTTATGACCTACATTTTTATTAAGCTCTAATTCAGTCCCACAGAGTGATTAATTTTCTACAAATTAACAGTGTAAAATTTTATGTTAAGAACTCTGTGGAAAAGTCGATGGAATATAACAAACTGCACTGCAAAACTCAGAATTATTAGAAAGAATTAGAAAACAATAATACAATAAATCAATGACGTGTTTTATTTATTTATAAAGTTGAAACGCATAAACACAATAAAATTAATTGAGTGACATGTACACGGACCTATAGCAGACAACTATTTAGATTAGATAATTTCTTCGGTCACATTGATCGTGATATGCATGTAAAATATCTAACATACCAGGTACGAACAAATATAAAGGAAGACTTAGAAAGACTATTTTTCAATTTTTATTATTTTGGAGAAGCTGATGATTGAAAAAAAAAATTATCGTCTACAATATCCACTCATTTACGTTAGTGTTATTTTTTATAAGTAATATATAAGTAATACGTATGTGTTTTCTCATTAAATAGTCATAAACACATTAAATACTAAGTTTACATATTTTTCTTGTTAATAAGAAGATTATTTATCACATAAAAATTAAATGATCAGGATATATTGAGGACATCATATTTTGATTCGCGCTAAATAAAATGTTTCTTTTAGCTTGTTTAATATTCATAACATCATGACAAGACGTGTGATAATAGTGAGCAAATCTAATTCAGAAACTACTGTTTGTAAAATGTTAGCTACCTTGCTTAACATTACTTGCAATGCCCCTTACTTGAAATTTGATTTCAATTTTATAAAAGAAGACATTATTCGTCGACTATATAGAATAAAACAACTAACATAACGTAAGAAAAAACTTAACAAAAGAAATATGCGAAAATAATTTAAATGGATAAGGAAAATGATAACTATTATTAGAGACTACCGTCTCCAAGCAAGATCCGTATTACGCGCGTGAATCACAATTTTCCATTATTTCAATTATATATCAAACTAAATCTAAGATAAATACTAACATTAATAAAAAACACATAAGATAAAATAAAACACTAAAACATTGTTTTTAGGTAAAAAAAAAGTAGTGGAACTATAATCTCGTTTCTATACAATGTAATTTGGTATTCACATTTTAAAGTGGTGATTAAGTATTGATAGATAACTACAATCTGTTTATTATTTCACTTATTACTCTACGATAACTACTTTATAATATCAACAAACGTAATTAATATCTTCACGTGTTTAAGCAAGGTCACAACAACAAAAGGTATAATAAGTTACTTATATAAAACTGTAAAAATCAACATAATAAATATATATATATATATAGAAATTATGTACGACAAACGACAAATATTTTTCTAACAAAAACAGTTCAGATATAAAATGGAATCTAAGAAGTTTAAAATTTGCAAGTCTTAAAATAACAAAATAAATGTTGTTATTACTTAACTGTAAATTACAACGTAAACATATTAAAAATTGTTGCTAGCAGCTAATTAGAGTCAGAAGAACATTATGCAAGCACAGTTATACAAAATATTTAAAGTGAACACAATACATTTATAATTGTTAGTTGCATAGAGAATGGCATAGGGCTTTACGCTCACCATTTGTACAATTTTTTATTGGACAATAATGAATAAATAAATAAGATACCTAATTATAAGTGTTTATTTGTATAAATAAACAATGGTACCTATACACTTAAGATTTTTTGTTATTTCTTTCAAAATTATAAAAATCGAAATAATCGGCCATTAATAATAATCATAACACTCACTTTAGTAATATTGCAGATTCCTGAGCCATCGTGGATATTAAATAACTTACTTACATTCTACCATAATCTAAGATACCAGCTCTATTAATAAACATCTTTAAATGTCCTCTCCGATAATGTTTATATTTTATATTAGCATCATTAGAATTTAGACGTTAACAACGACAACAGTATAAGTTACACAGATAGTGAACCAAAACATACAAAGACATTCATACATAATTTATAATGTTAATATTAATAGACATAAACTGATATATAATAGAATATGCTCGCTATGTGGTCCCGGTATAGAATGGGTCACACATTGCTTTTTTGTAGGTGTCGTAACATGCGATAAGGAAGTTAATGGTCGATGAACGAGTACCAGTGTTCCTCTTTAAAAATTGCCAATGGCTAACTGCGGTTGCCAACCAGCTTGTAAAATGTGACGACTACTGGCAAAACTCCCCTTATGGGGAAAGAAAACTCGGCAGTGGGCAGTTAACGGCGGAAATAATAATTAGAGTATATAATGAATTAAACGTTTATTTAAGATCCATTTGTTGTTAGTGTTCAACCTATTCACTATCATTTTCCACTATGGATCGGATAAATTGAATTATTGAAAAACAGACGATTCATCAATAACACCTTCTAGTTGAAAGCATAGTTTAAATCCATCGATATTTCTAAATTCCTCTCGACGTTGAACTTTGTCTAGAATTCTAAATGGCAAATAGTGCATGGCACAGTTCAAGCCTAGTAGACTGTGATGGAACAAGTTTCAATGTTAATAAAGGTGAAGACCAAATAATAAATTGTCAACAACAAACAGCAATTGATTCACATTTCACAATATGCAGAGAATGATTCAACCTGAAGATGAAATTCCTTTCAGTTTTTTTTTTCAGCTAATTAAACGCACATACCACTGCTACCTGCTCGACCATAGTTCTTATACTAGTTCTCAGTTCAGGTCAGTATTCTTTATAAATGTGCATAAAAAATACTGACCTGAATAAAATAATAATGACTGCATGCTATTTGAAATGAAAGACTACTGATACTACGGGGCTACAGACAATAAGTGATCCTACTAAGTTAGGAATGGACAATCTCGTTTATTTAAGGCTGGTGATAGTATATACGCTGATATTAGAGAAGTTTCAAAGTATCAACGTTTTGTACTATTATCTGTTGCTTGTAATATATTTATCAAATTATTTACGTAACGAAAAAATAACAGATAATTAAAACTCAACAAGAGAAGTGCTTTTTTGCATGAAGATCTTTATTACTCTGTGAATGTGTTTATTAGGTCATTAGCATAATATTATTAAATTGTTGAATGCATATTTATAGAAATTAATAAGATGCTTTAAACTGCATTGCATGTACGACTGTTCACGTAACCGTTATTCTCATTCAAATCAAATTATTGCGATTTATTTAGAAGTTGGTCAAAGCTAATTGCAAATAAAAACGATTGCAAAAAAAAAACTCGTCTTTAAATTGCAAATTAGGTTGAGTTTATAAAAAAAATATTAAATTAACATTTCTATAGATACAAACAACATCATAAAAACTAACTAAATATAAATTAAAATAGACTACTTCTTATACCTATGAAAACTTATCTCAATATATGCTTATGCACTTTGCTGCAACACCTTTGTATGCCCCGTGTATTAAAAGACTCCCATTAAAAAAAAATCTAGGTCAAGAGCATATTAATTTTTAAAAGTTATCTATAACCCTTTGAAATACATGAAAATTATTCATTTTACAAAAGATTAATATTAATTTAATTATATTAATAGCAAAAACATTTATCTTCCTAAATGTAACACTGTTTCGAAAATTAAACTATGGTTCCAAAGAAATTGGTTAAAAAGAAATTGTTATACATAGTAACTAGAAAGCGTGTAATTTGATAAATAAAAACTGACAATAAACCAACCTTAACACAGAAAATCAGCCTCAGAAAACCTTTATCCAAAGCTGTAACACTGGCATTAATTTATTCTTAAGTCACAGATATCTACAAGTCTTTGTCAACAATTGCCTTTGTCAGCTGTTATTCGCATAGCGTCACCGTAATATGTATTTAATGTAAACCGGCACGTCGTGATCGCAGCAATCCCACCATTATACTGCGAGTGCAAGTTTGCGAGCGAGGTGCCCCGTGCGACGCGTGTAAAGAGTAAGCCGACATAGCTTCAATTCAATAAAGCCGTGTTGACGTTACCATAACGTCGCGTCTCAGCGGATGTTAATACTAGTTGCTATCGACACAGAAGAACTGGCCAGCCACACATACATAAAGGCTTACAACTTCTGTCGTAATTTGTGACCACGTGCTTGGTGCTTGTCCGATGGGTCGATCGCGCGGTATGGCGTGACATCGTGTCATTTGCGAAAGTTTGCTTCAACAGTTACTGCAAATGTGTCATCCTCGACAACCTCAATAAACGAGCCAACTTTTTCATACAATTTTGCGTAATAAATAGTTATGTTTCCTTTATAACTTTTATATTTATTTTGTCTTATAACTTCTACATCTTTTTAAGGTGTAAACACTGATTTTATTTATTAAATAATATGTCAATATTAATTATATGTAAAATACATTTTATGCATAAGTATATAGCACGTTTATTAAAAAAAAAGAATCACCTAATTTGACAATTAGGTGACAAAAAGTTGACTCGTTTTTGAGGCTCGATGCTCTATCTATATAATCTAAGTGTATAAGTGCAATACTGAATCAATGAATAGACCCAATGAATAAAGACATCGCTAAAGATGATAATGATGTTGTGACGAAACAATGTACGCAAAAAAATTCAATACATAGCAAATTTCAATAAAGTATACTATAAAATGTGCTATTAATAAATTGCAGAGCGGCGAGAGAGAACATAAGGTCCAAAAATTATCTAACTCATATTGTATTACACACAGGATCGTCTATGTTAATTATTTCTATGGCTTTTGCTGTAAATACTAGTAAAAGTACTACTATCATTGTAATAAAAGATGAAAGTATAATCAAGTCCTATGATCCTAAGGGTTATTCGAAATGTAAATAGATACAAAAAAGACTACGTTAAGTTTTGCTAATAAATAATAATCTTCATATAAGAGTACAATACACCACTTTGAATTTAGTAACAGGAATATATAAACAATTTAGGTGCAAAAACGGAGGTCATGTTTTTAACTATATTTAGGAAGATAGCTTTGAAAGACTGAAATTAATTGAATCTAATTATAGTAAGCAGTCTCTGATAAGTCGAAAGAAAAATCTATATCCATGTGTGCTTCAAAAGAAGATTGTATGAACAGTGTTTACTTTTATTATTAATATGATGGAAGACCAAAAGAAAATAATTAGGAAAGAAAAAATTAATCTTAAAGATGACAAAAATAAGCAGAGAACATTCAGTGTAGCTGTAAATGTTTTTGTCATCTTTTTACCCATCTTACTTTGAAAAGAAACTCAAAAAAGTTTCATTTCACTGATAGAAGAAACTTATCTTTAAAAGGACGCTAAAGAATTCGTAAAATAATTATTACTGGACATCAAAGGTTTAAATCTTGATAAAGATTGTATTTTTAGAGTGAGTTGCTGCGACCTCGTTTCTGCAAACCTTGGCTTAACTTTTACATTTATTTTAACAAATAAAAGTAGATTACTAATCAAATATTATTAATCATGTATTATGATTCTTCAATATTCTTCGTCTATTTGTTTCTTACATTAAAACTCGTCTCGTTTATATTGTTATCCTAATTTATAATGGTTATATATTAAATAGTTGTACACACAGTGTTAAATGTATTATATAGTATTTTATATATATAATATGAATGAATGAATGAATTTTATTGCATTTAATATATATAGTATATATGTATTATATAGTGTGTTATTTAACTGACTTAAAAGAAGTTTATCAGTTACTCGTTCGGTCTCAAAAAATCCTCTTACAAGTATTTATTTACATCTGTTTATAATTGGAATTGTCAAATGATACATTCGTATATCAAATGAAAATTGTTACTAAAACAAGTATATAATAAAGCTTCTGGTGTATGATCTACTATACGAACAAAACCTTAAGAAAAAGGTACCATGCTGCATAACAGAGTACCTAAAAGATACTATGACTGTTGATGGGCTATTTCTGATGATCAACTCATCAGCTGATAAATTAATTGCTTGTGTTTTAATGTAGGTATTTATATATTGTCTATTCAGAAAGATTTATTTATTCATTAAAATAATTATGACAGATATTTATAAGATAAATGTAAATATACTATATTAATGCAGCGTTTAGAGAGAAATAAAGTACTTACATATTTCCATCGATATCATATTACAAAAATAATGATATTATTGAACTTCGTTTGCCCTAAAATGGGTGTGTCATGACGTAGTATTTACGACTAACAGAAGTGATTGCGTAGTATAATGATAATGTTATGCGTATTATTTAGAGTTAAATCCACAAGGTTTTTTCTTCTTGTAAATACACATCTCACTATCGACCTAGATTCGACCATACGGCTATTTCTATAAACGCTAAATTGATACAAGCGGTCAACACGAAAGTTTGTATGCGTGAGCGCATAAATAAATGTTATCGTTCATTTGGCCTTCGAAGTTGTAGCATGTTTATTAGAACACAAAAGAAAAACAAAAACATGTTTTTCAAAATATCTAATAAGTGCAACGATTTTACATAACAATGCGTAGACGAAAGAAATGCCATCAGGAAGTTCCTACTTTAATCATCTTGATACTTTTTGAATAGGTTTTATTGTAACTGACAAACAACTCGAATATACTATTAATGTATGAAAATGGAATGGTAATCCCGCCTACGTTACCGGTATACTCTACCCTGGGCACCAGTAATAGATGATAGATTAGAATGAAGGCAGGTCAGTCAGCCTATCATGAAAATATTCGACAATAATTAACCACAATGGTCTCCAGGGGGAACCGCGTGGAAGTCGACTTGATAGAGTATATTGCTAGCAATGGGGCTGTTAGGACCTATTACTAACAAACCCCGCCTATGCTAACGGTATATTTTGGGGGGAAAAAATCGTTAGTAGTGGAGTCTAATTGCTAGCGATATATAATAGCGACATATCAGGAGATATCAATAGGACTGGTAGTCTGCATTACTAACAATCCCTTTCCTCTCTATAATGTTAGAATATTACAGATTCATCATTTGGACCATTCACTGACAACAGCTGAACTTTTTTCTGTTACAGACTACCATAGGAACTGGTCTTAAACTATCCAACTCCCCATAATACATTTGAAGTTGACACCTTGTCTTGTAAGGGGTAGCAATACATTGCATTTATCTATATTGGATTGCTATTTGAGAAACTTTCTACTAATCAAACAATGTGTTGTGTATGTTGATGACTATGTTTGGTGCACTTTGGTCCTTCTGCTGATTCCTATATAGCAAATTTTATTAAGAAAGGAAACTCTAATCAAAGCCCTCTCTATAGTCCACAGAGAAAATATATTATCATTACATGGCAAACAGTGCCCCAATTTGACCATATTTCCAATCTATAAATCATCACTAACAATTACATTGGTCAAAGATATCTTTAACTTTTGAAGTATTTTGGATAATATATGGCAGGGGTTGCCGACTTGACTAGACTCAAGATCTACTATTTATTGATAAAACCCTGTGTGATCAATTACATTGTTATCACTGTCTTTATCTGTACCGCAAGTGCCTACAGCTCGCGGTCAGCATGCTGAGGTATGCAGTCAGGCTCATGCTCGCATCACAGTCACTCAAGATTAAGGATTACAAATTTATTCCTAAACTAGTCAAGCTTTTTGATCTAATTAAAAATAAGTTAAACTGGTAGTTATTTAATTAAAATTACATACTTCTTGAAATCTCAAATGAAAGATCATAGTTCAGTACACAATTATGTAGTATATTGTAGTATTATTTTATTAAGAGGGAACTGAAAATTATTCTTAGTAACTACTTATATTAGTGTGAGCTTTGTGTTTGAGCATCTTTCAAATAGACTAAATGTCACAGGCCACCACCATATTGGCCACTCCTGATATAGGGCATTATTATCAAAAATTCAACAAAGTTAGATTTTGAAGTGGCATGATTTTAAGGTTGTCTATGTTCATCTTAAGACTTGCTTTTCAGAAACATATTCAACATTGATATGTATACTATATATTTTACAATCCAAAATTTTTAAATAATATTCAGTTTTTATATAATGATATTTAATTTGTAAAAGGTTCCGTGAATAACCTTAGGGCGGTTACGCATACGAAGTTAAATAGTCAAGACCATTATTTTTTTTAGACAAATTTATAAAAATCTTCGCTGATAAATCTCTAAGATTTTTCATTTTTTTTTTTACACTGGATTTTTTACAACGGTGTCACGAACTTATGACTAAAATGTATGATTTAGGGTTATGTTGATTTTATAAAAAAGTCTATTACTGTGTTACATATAAAATGTTAATCAAAAGCAAGATAATTATCAAAAATTAAAATATAATTACTTACATCAACTTGAAGTTGCCTGCTAGATGTTGTCACAGTATAACTATCATAAATCAGAGGACTACAATGATTATTACAGCAATTTTGGGTAATTTATTTAAAAACTGCAACCATATAAAAGATTTGTAAATATTCAAGTTTACTTTTTGTTAAAATGTAGAAATAAAAGCGGAAATATGGTTTAGGAAATGACAGATAACGTTTCAAAGGGGTATGGATCACAGAGTATTCCACAGGTTTTGTTTCAAATTAGGAACAAGGAATTACATAGAAGCAATGATAAAATAAAAACTGTAAATCATATGGTTTCCTCATTTCTTCTTATGTAAATGTAATTAGTAAAAAGAGGATAAAAGATACTTTACACATACTTGCTGAAATGGTCTGTCTGCGAGAAATTTTTTACGCATCTTACAAGAATAGAAAAAATTCCAAATAAAGTCCAAGCTTATAACGGTGGGGCACGACCAACCGGTATAAGCTTTGGTTTGAGGAGTACTCGAACCAATTTTGATGCCCTGGATCGTCAAATTTGCGCAACGATGAATCTTCACAGAGTGCATCATCCAAAGTAGTCAATCATGAGGTTGAATATCCTACAAAATGCGAATGTCGAGGCCCGTTAAGCGTTAAAAACATGAACGACCGCGAGAATGACAGCCTCCGAACATATTTTCTAAAGAAAAAAGACGAAAGTATACATACAGAGGTCATAGAATATGAAAAAAGGTTTATTCCTCTTTTCGTGGCTCTGAAGTGCAAATTTCCTCTCAACAGAAGACCATATGGAATAGAAGGGGTTTGAAGAACCATCCATGTATGATTAGACGAAAGGTTCTTCAAAGCCCTTTAGTGGCCGTAGGTACACGGATGTTGCAATTCGATGACATCTTCGGAGTAATCGAGGATTTTGTCTATACAATACAGGATAAGGTTGGTAAGACGAACAATTATCGAAAGCACATTTTGAATGATAGTACCGAGGGCATATCTTATCCGCCGATGCCGCCATCCCGAAGAATCATTCGCAAATATGCTTTCGGAGTATTCAGTTCTTGCCAACAGTAAGTACCTACAACAGTAACACATAACCAGGCAGTAAAATATGTATTCCATCAAAAGTTAGCTCTCAAGTTCAACCTCGTGAATGCAAAATTGCCATATTATTAACCTCAGCCGGTCTTCGAAAGTAAAAACATCATACTTCATTAGGACAAATCTATCAACACGAACAGAATAATTTTATTACATAACCTATAATAGTAATAACAACATATATGTTTAGAGAAATAGCGCTTCAGAGTTGAGCCTAAGTTTCGAATAATTATGAAGTCTATTAACCTAATATTCAGATGATTTCACAAAATTACTGCTTACTAGACTATATTAAACTGAAATTATAATGATTTTGACTTAAATATATTAAAAAAAAAAAACTGTTCATATCTGTGTGATATTGAATTGAAATTTTAATTTTAGAGATTAGGTTTAGAGAAATGGCACCTCAATTCGACAAAATGTTAAGTTAGACAGTAACTAACTTAATATAAACCAGCATATACTAATAGATGACAATTAAAATTATTAAATGGTATCCCTATTTGGAATGACCAGTGTTGCTTGATTGAATATTTTTTCAGATTATGGGTAAACATTTTTCTTTACGCAAAGTTTTATATAAATGAAATTCTTGAAGAATTCTGGATAATTTTTTTAGATAAATTTAGTACTGTTAAAATGTATAAATATAATAAAGTATATAAATAACTGTAGCAAAACAAAGGATAAGATAAGGGTAAAATAAGGTAAAAATAGAAACGGAGAGAACAACTTTTTTCGTCGTTTTATTTCTTCTTGAATGAGTAAAAACGTTAGAAGTCGTAATAATTTGGGTAAAAAATATTTGACATTTGGGTAAAAATACTAATAAGCAAATGGCAATACTGGATTTAAAAAAAAATAAAACTTACACTGTGGTGTACGAACTTGCTAATTTATTATTATTTTATTTTTTAATAATCCCTTCTAATTTAAAGTTGTGCTTTGAAATTTCGTTCATAGAGTAAGTAGTTGTACGTACAGGTTTTATAAAGTAATTTAAATAAATGCAATTGGCAGGTGCCCAAAATTCTACATAATGCAGTGAGCGCTGATGATAAACACTAGTTTGTTATTATGGTGAGCAACTGTTATTTTATTTTGATTATCTACATTGATATAATAATATTTACATTAAATTATATTGTTTAATTATTTAGAGTTATCAGGAAGAGCCCAGTTCTTATGGGGCCACATTCCCCAAGGATTTTGTTTATGGACCATTTGAACAAAATGGGGAGGGCGATAATACGTCATTACAAGAGGATCATAAACCACGGATTCTTCTAATGGGTTTAAGAAGGTAATGTTAGATTGCCATATGAAGCACAAAGGCATTACTCAGTATTTGGTTTTGTCTTTGTAAATTTTTAATTATTTATTATTAAACTTAGGCAAGCTTGATAATAAATAATCTTTTGTTTTTTTTGGTTGAATTAAACAAATTTTATAAGTATTTGTCTAATAGGATTTTATATATTCAATTAGGACAAGCACACTCAATAGAAACACCACTTTTGTACAACCAAATTTCTTTTTTAATTTTTTTTATAAGAGAAGTATTTATACCCAACAATCCCTTATATTTACACAGAGCATTCAGTAACCTATTTATAAAAGAAGACTTCAATTACCTGTTGAGTCAATAAAACTAGCTTTAATTACAAATTACACAACAGTTACTACATCTCATAATGCTTATCATTGTTTATATATATATATATATATATATATATATATATATATATATATATATATATATATATATATATATATATATATATATATATATATATATATATATATATATACTAGGATCAGTTTTTTTTATGCATACCCTCACCAATTTTTTTATTTTTACGACAAAACAATTATAAATAAAATTTTAAGAAGGTAGGACCATGGTAACCTGTGCCGACTTACATTGATATATGTTAATACTAGCTCTCAAAGGCTGATATGATCCAATGTGTCAATGTGCCTGTGATTATTTGTTATTTGGTTATAGAACACATATTAAGTTTAATCAGACAACATGTCAGTGGAATTACGCAGTTTTAAAAGGGGTATATTTTTAATAGGTGACATAAGACATCAAATAACAGGTTCAAAACTTCCATCTAATGGACAAATTCTAGCAGTTTTATTTTAAATAAAAATATGTCAATGAAATCATGAATCTCACTATTAGCCAGTGTATTATCTATTGGGAAAAGGCATATACTCCTACAAAATTTTTGCATAATTGTGTGAAGAACCTTGTACACTTATATTAAGTTTGGATGGACTTCCAAAAAAATGCACAAAAGACACGAGACCTATTTAAGTAGTGCCATCAAGACTTTGTCAACAATTTAGATAATTTGTTTGATATTGCACATGCTGATACTCTTCAATTAATAAAAATAAATTAGGATAGAATCTTTTTACAGCGTCAAAGAGAACCAGATCGACCTGGGTACTTAGCAGGAGTGGATAAAAAATTGACTGATAGAGAGGAAAGAGTGCACCTTGGAATTATTGAAGAAGAAAAAAGACATGCTAAATATTTGTCTGAGCCGACTCCTTCGACATCATCTTATGTACTGCTACAAGATGACTATCTTCTGAATTTAATGAAAACTTAGATTTGTGCCTGTGTGCTTCTTGACCAAACACTGAATAGAGAAATGCTTATTTTTGCTTATCTCCATTACATGCATGAATTGGTCTTAAAAGTTGTATTTGAAGCAAAAATCAGTCAAGTAACTACAAACTCTGATATTCTAGTCTTTAAAAAGTTCAGAGAAATCTGGAAAAGTATTAATGTTGATAAAATACAGAACTATAGAGAAAAACTTACACAGCACCTGACTCAGAAATTTACAACTTGCTATACTTTTATCGAAATGAGCTGACAAAAGAAATTGAGATGACTATTGAGAGTTAATTAAGCTTTCTGTGATATTTGTAGGATGTGGAAAAAAAATTTAAAATCTGACCTGGTCCTGTTGTCATGCTCCAAGCTCGATGGATGACGAGAGCAATTTATTCCCTGAAAATATCGTTACTTAGTGCTTAATTCAAAATTCTATTCAAACTTCGTTTGCTTGTTCATTGTAATATCCTACATTATACCATGGCTCCAATGCACTTCAACAATAAAAGCACTTTACCAATATTTGTGCTTTTTGAAATCAATGAAGTGTTATGAGAAAACTGATAAAATATCCCAAAAGTAGCCTTGCAGAACATAACTCAGCATTTGTGGTATTTAACTAAAGAAGTTTCTATATTATCATTGCTTGATGATGATGTGGACCAAGAAACTAAAGTTAAAATTGTTGATAATTTAACCAAAGAGGAAATAATTCATGGAAAACAATTCATCCCATTGAAAAAAAAACTTTGAGGTTCATTGTATGGTAAGTTTATTAAAGAAAATTGACCAGACCAACCAGAGGGAGACTTTGTACAAAAGTCGTTTTGTTGGACATATCTGTCCCATTCGTGTTTCTACCATGAAGTAGTTGTGTTTGCATGGCTGTGTTTTGGTTTAATGGGTGAAAATGAAATGGTTGCCCCGCCTGCGCTAACAGGATATGCTGGCAGAGCACCAGTGAAGAGTGATCAATGAGAATGAAAACAGGCCAGTTAGCCTATCATAATGAATTCATCAGGAATTAACCATGATAGTTTCCCGGGGTGAACCATGAGGAGTTCGATCTGGTTGGGTAAATTGCTAGCAATGGGATTTTTTGTCTCCATTACTAACAATCCCTTTCCCCTCGGTTTGAAGGATAGGATATGGCAGTGAATTTACAGAGTACAGAGGAATAACACCTGAGTCCTCAGGAATAGCAACGCATGGGGGATATCACGGGCAAAACAGTATACTCTGTTATATCCATGGTACTGCTCATGTCTATAGGTGACGCTTACTTTTCATCAGGTGGACCGTCAGTGTGTTTGTCATACTAATTTGCATAAAAAAATATGTAAGTTTCTACCTACGTTTTCTGTAAAAGTATATTTTTTAACACTCTTTCATATTTTGTTTCAGAAAAAACATCTCTCCACTTCTTTTCAGTAAAAAGCAAGCCCTTGTTTTAAATGAATTTATATTATTATTTTTATTTTGTGGTCAAATAATATTTCGTTTCTTCTTGAAGGAATGTGTGCTAGAAAGAAAGTGTCGGCACTGAGGGTAGTCAACGATGTAGCCGAAAGAGCGGTTAAGTTTATGCAAGACTTTCATTGATTAATCATAGATAAGGATGAACAAAAACTATTTTTATTACGTAGCGTACAAGAACACTGGAAAATTTATCTTGACTGTAAAAAATCAAAAGTTAAAAATAAAATTTGAACAATAATAGAATTTGTAACTGAGTAAATAATATACTATTCGGGTGTATTGGAGTTTTAATTTGTAAATTCTTAATTCCTGCTATAGTGATTCCATACATATTTTCATGTCATAAGTTTGGCATCAAGTCGGCACAGGTTATCGCAATAATATTTATTATTTGAATCAATGAGGTCAAACGGAATAAAAATAGAGGGTATGCGTATTCGATTTAGCAAAAAAAAATTCCTTATGTCTTGGGACACCCTAATGTATACATTAGTATATTAAATATTCATATTCATATTTCTTTATTAACCAATGTAACAGTTTTCAGTTTTAAATATATATTAAAAGTAATGTTTATGTATTATATTAATAAAATTACAAACGTTGAATGTTTCTCTTGTTGGATAATTACAGGTCTGGTAAATCATCAATACAAAAAGTGGTATTTCATAAGATGTCACCAAACGAGACATTGTTTCTAGAGTCCACCAACAAAATTGTCAAAGATGATATAAATAACAGCAGCTTTGTGCAATTTCAAATTTGGGATTTTCCAGGACAAATAGATTTCTTTGATCCAACATTTGATTCTGACATTATATTTGGTGGCTGTGGAGCTTTAGTTTTCGTTATAGACGCACAGGTAAAACTTGAAACTGATATTGCTTTCTTTAAACTTTCGTATGATTAAATATTGATTTGATTACATATTTTCAATTGGTACTTAAAACATTAAATTGTTTTAAATGTGAAATAATTTTATCAAATTGCCAGTCAATGGTTTCCTTTTACTAAGAAACTTATAAACAAGCACATAGTGCAACTTATAGAAAATGGTAACAATCCTCAATAGATATGAACAGCACTATAACCTTCCTGAATACACTGTAATGTCTCTCATGCTTTTAGAAGTTTATAATTAGTTCTCACTTCTGATACCCATGAGTATTATGGGTTATAGTTCTTGTATTGCTATATTGTTATAGTTGGATCTTAGTTGATAGTTTGCACCTATCCAGTAATAATATTATCAATTTGTTTTTTCAGGATGATTACCAAGACGCTTTGGATAAACTGCAACTAACAGTCACTAAAGCCTACAGAGTAAATAATAACATTAAGTTCGAAGTTTTTATTCATAAAGTATGTAATAATACAGTCAATATATATATTTTTAAACTAGCTGTAAATGAAAAAAAAAAATGCCCTATTTATTAAACTAGGCTAGGATTTCATTCCAAATTTCATTTTAATTTATTCAACAGTTTAAGTAACAAAGTGATATGATGATTCAATACTTACATTTTGATAATAATTGTTAGGGAAATCCGCTTTATTCTTGACTTATTTATACTAATATATATTTACATCTGAAAGTGAGTTTGTTCGTTTGTTACCTTATAAGGTAACAAACATACTCGCTATTGCACCTGAACGGCTTAACCAATCACTATAAAATTTGTTTTACACATACTATATGAGATGGAGAAAGTTGTACGCCACTTTTTATCCCAATCAGTAAACCTATCTCGATTACGTGAACGAAGTCGCGGGCAAAATGTAGGAAATTTTAATGAATTTAAATAGTGATGTATATCACTATTTAAATTCATGCCTGGTTCTCTACAGAAACGGTAAAGAGAATGAACAGGTAATTATTATGAATATTGGTGTATTGTGTACATGTATTCAATATTTACAGGTAGATGGATTAAATGATGACTACAAAATGGAATCACAAAGAGATATTCACCATAGAGCCACTGAGGATCTTGCAGAAGCTGGTTTAGAACATGTGCATTTATCATTTCACCTAACATCAATATATGATCATTCTATATTTGAAGCATTCAGCAAAGTGGTTCAAAAATTGATTCCTCAACTACCAACATTAGAAAATCTTCTTAATATACTGATATCAGTGAGTCATTTTGAACAATAAACATATTTATATAATTATATTGACTAATATTATCACTGTTATATAAATTAGACCAGAGCTCATAGCAACAGACCAATGAACTATGCTAGTATTTTTCCTTTGTACATTGTATACATTCTGAATAACCGTCATATTTTGTTTATATGTATAGTAAAAGCAAGGAGTTGATAATAATAATCCTTAAAATTTATTCTCTTTTTTTTTCAGAATTCAGGCATAGAAAAAGCATTCCTTTTTGATGTAGTCTCCAAAATTTACATAGCAACAGACAGTTCACCTGTGGATATGCAAAGTTATGAATTATGCTGTGACATGATTGATGTAGTCATAGACATTTCCTGCATATATGGGTATGTTTTTTTATTTATATAACAATGTACAACAGCAATTCTCTATATAGGACCTGAAAGTTTATAAATATAGTATGAGATATAGTATGGCATAATGAAACAAGTACATAAAACTATTCAGGCTGAACCTTCACATATGCCTTGGTTTTGTGGAATTAAAATCAATAGATACAATATTAAATTAGCTGTTCATCGATCTGGTCATTATCCATAAAAAAAATTTGCACATATGATGAAAAAGTCCTTGTCATCCCATTGTCAAACTTGTGATATCATAAATGATGTGCATCATATTCTATTAGAATGTCGTATTAACACGAAGAAAAGAGAAGAATTCATGTGCCACTTAACTTAAATAAATTTAATGTTGGCCTTATTCAATCTATATTAGCTGAACCTAAACCAAAAATTTTTTAACATCTCTGTAAATTATTGATGCCCATTATTCTTCTCTTTCCGTGTCTAGGGAAAGTAGATAAAGTTTTGTTTGAGAAATCAGTTCAGGGTACGATAGGGCTGATATACGTGAAGAAAGTAAAAGCCCTTAAAATAATAATAAAAAAAAAATAAAAAAATTGGTTGCCCTAATTATGACGATGTTTACAAATAATAACAAAAAAAATCACTTTTTGAATGTTTTAATTCCTTAATATTTCACTATTTTCAAGTTTAATATGAATGCAAAATTTTATTTTATTCGTTTCAATTAAACTGAAATTAGAAACTTAAATGTTATTTAGTTACTTTTAGTTAGTAGTTAGAGAAAAATCTTGTATTTTTCTCAAACATTCTTAAAACTAAACAATTTAGCCTGTATTATTCATGTCCCACAACAAAGCCCTCTCCTTATTATCTACATATACACTAATATTATAAAGAGGAAAAAATTGTATTTTTGTGTGTATGTTTGTAATGAATAAAAATTTAAAAATTACTTTTCCGATTTCTAAAACTCTCACCATTTGAAAGCTATATTCACCTTGAGTAACATAGGCTATATTTATTGCTAGAAAAGATTAGGCATCCTTACTAAAACTTTAGTAACGTAACTCAAGGTGTAAAAAAATACTAAAATATCTTTCATCGCGTGGGCTGCGGAAACTATTAGTGATAGAACAAAAGTATGTTCTACAATAATGAAGAAAATATCAATAACTACAAAAAACATCGCGATACTATATATCCAACTGTTATTGTTATGTCATAATAACCACTTTTTATATTTTAAAAGTTGATAGATTCATTTGCGCGGTCGGCCCCCTACGCAGCGGACATAACCAATATTAAACATTTTTTGACGATTTTAATTGCATTTTTTTTTTGTCGAAGTTTAAAAAAGTCCACCCGTGCGAATCCGGGATGGGCCGCTAGTTTATTATATTTAGTATTGCTTGATACTGCTATTTTTTTTACTTTGAATGGCAAACAGGCTGTTGCCCCGCCTAATGGAAAGTCATTATAAAAAAGTAATAAAAAAAACTTATAAAATGTCTAAATTATTAATTGTACTGTATAATTGATTCAGAAAATATTTCAATAGATAACAACTTTTTAAAATATTTATAATTGTTCCTTTTATTAAGGATATAATTAGATACGTAAGCAATAATTAAAAGGTTACGAACATTAAGATAAATATATTTAATAAAAATATTATGAATATTGCAGAATGGTTGATGAAACAGATGTGAATACATTTAATAATCAAAGTTCAAGTCTAATTAAACTTAATAATGGTACTGTATTATATCTACGAGAAGTTAATAAATTCCTGGCCTTAGTTTGTATATTAAGAGAGGAAAATTTCCAGAAACAAGGTAATTTAATATCTTGAAATATCATTGTAAATATTTATGTTCTTGTATGCATATTATGAACAAAAGCTTGTAAAACTTACAATGACCATAAAATGATCTATATTTATTTTCGTATTCGTTTATTATTAATTAGTCTTCATTAACAATCAATGCTAGATAATACCAGACATAAGGGACCCTATGTCTGGTTCGGTGATGATGGAAAATTATTATAAACTAAATACCAAAATCCAATAAGCATGTTATCGTTACCATGTGCATGAAATGAAAAGAGGCAGCGAAGTCCAGCGTCCTTGGTCTTTCTTTTGCATACGCTATTGCAGCGTACTCACTTATGGGTTTTTATCTTGATACCATAAGATTAGTAATAGTAGGCATTAATCATTATTTCAGGTGTAATAGATTACAATTTTCTGTGCTTCCGTGATGCTATAACTCAAGTGTTTGAGCTGCGTAATAAATGTCAGAGCGCTATTGCTATGGCGCGAGCAAGAAGCGGCACCCCGGAGCCGGTCGCTAACGGCGCCGCTGACTCCACTGAGAGCACATCAGACCATTCACAAGTTGTACAATTACCATAGCACATTTACATACCTCTATACTATATATATATATATATATATATATATATATATATAATTGCTTATGTATTCAAAATATTTATAAGATTAGTACCTACATAAAGACAATGTTATTTTCATTTAAAGATTTAACAATTTATTAATAAAATATAAATTATGTTTTTGTATTGTGTTTACTTTTTATCAGACGTAACACTGCCCTTCTGTTATTTTATACTCAACTGCAAATATTTTTCATAATAAGAATACGTACTTGTAATAACATTTTATGCAACATTTCATAATTCAATTAAAAGAATAATTACCTACTTGACTGTCAGTTAACCTACAGCCTAAACAAACCATAAATTTTTGGGGTCATAAAAATTTCAAGGGGAGCAGGCTCTTGTTTTAGGCATAGACGAACTACACATCCATAAATCATTAAATATATTTAGGTGTACACTAAGGTGAAATTTCCTCGGAGATATAAGTGATTCGTTTGAATATTTCCTTATGGGTTAGTGCGAGCGAAACTGCGAACGACTGTCGGAAAATAGAAGAGCATAACTTAAACAACTTTAAAATATATATTAATACATGATTACAATCAAATTAATTAGATAATACGAGTGTCGTAATAAAGGCCAGTAGAAGGTTTTCTACATTTACTTTGACATTCACCAATATTTGTCCTAGAACTAGACGATACCGTTCGAGATGGTAGTCGTAGAGGTCGTGAGATTGCAGCAGTCAACTGATCAGCGCTAGCACAAGGCTCTGTTGGTCTAAGACGGCGTTCTCGTTGTACATGAGATCTTTCAATACGTTGTGCATACGCCACACTTCTTTGAAGACCTGCTAAACTATCTGTTCGAGCCGGTAGACGCTCTAAATTATTTGAAACTTCTCCAACTTCAGCAGTATCTGTATCTAGGATTTCTTTATGATCTAACACCATTCCAATATTTAATTTCAAGTTAGTCGAACCATCTCTATATATTAAATAGACATTAGCTTGATCCAGTACTCTTAATGAAAAGTATTCATTGATCTTCAATGCTTTCATTTTAATTTGAAATGGTTTAAATTTTTCAGATAGTTTCTTGCTTTTTTCTTTAATAAAATTATCGAATTCGATAGCTAGCATTTCTTCATCGTCTGGGCGAATTTTATCATCTGCAGGGCTGCCGAGTTTCAATATTTCACTATCTTTATGGGCCATTTGTGTGTCTATCATTACCTGTTGTAAAACTGGTGGATCATTTAAAGTATGCCATTTCCAGTGAGACACAGGTCCTATATTTCGATCCAACACCACGCCTTCAGTTTGATTATATTTGAGCCTAGAGGAAATATGTATAAAAAGTATAAGTAACTGCAAGGATAATATCTAATTATCCTTGCAGTGTGCAATATTTAAACACATTACCGTATCTTGCCCGCATGGTCAAACACTATACCGTTTCCAAGATAATCAAATGTTGCTAAAATAGTTATAGGATGAGAACGACCACGATTATCTGGTTCACCACTACTATATATCACAAAACGTTGCTGGGCATTTATTTCTGTAAATTGAAAAAATATTAATAAAGATCGAGACTGGAAACAATTGGGAACTCCTTTTATTACAATAATCATAATATCATAAAACATCTATTTCTTGACGTATGGGTGACATCAGTCATGGAACTTGGCAAAATTTTTGACAGCGCATCCCGATGATGAAATAAAAATTTCTAATACCGGTACTGACCTAGATGTATAATAATTTGTATTCAATAAAGTATCCAATTTGGCCGTGTGGTCCCGAGATGGAATAGGCCACCCCTTCCTTTCCCGTGGGTGTCGTAAGAGCCGACTAAGAGAGGACGATGGATAGGCAGCAGCGTCCCTCTTAAAACATCTCTAAATCCTGACTGTGGTTGCCAATTCCCCTGCCAAGCGTGGCAACTACTGCAAAACCTCCCAAGGGGGACGCTTATATTCAGCAGGGGACAGTTAAAGGCTAATGTGATGATGATGATGATGAAAATATCCAATAATTACAGGATACAGAGGAATAACACCCGAGTCCTCAGGAATGGCAACGCATAGGGTGTATGTCCATAGTACTGCTTATGTCTATAGGCGACGGTTACCACTTTCCATCAGGTAGGTCGTCCGCTTGTTTGCTATTCTAAGTTGCATATAAAAAATATTTTTATTTAAGTATAAGCATTTTTTAATTGTCATTTATTATTTCCACTACCTGCTGTACTGTTGGAGGTAACAATAAAGAGTAATCTCCTAGGTACCTACTAAGATAAAAGATAATTCATTTGTTTTTAAGTACTGAATACGAATAATCAATGTTATTTTTTTATTACAAGCATTATAATATATCCCACAGTCTAGGATCCAGGTCCTAGATTATAGTGCATATGAGCAAATATCAAGACTACAACGGTTATTTCTATTTTACTTCTAAAGGCTATCTAAAGAAAAACACACCTTCGGCGTCGTAATAATCTAGTGCTAATCTGCCATTCCTATAATACCATTGGCCACGTCCGTTGTCGTCGAACTCGGCTAACCTTTCGCCGGTATCGTATTGCATAAACCTTTTGTTCTTATTATGCTCAAACCAATCAAATTCTGGATGGGCTGGTCGCATACGGTATACGTTCATCTAGAAATAGCTCATTGGTGTCATCATCAGAATGTAAAATTGTTTTCGATATGTGAAAATGGTAGAATTAGAAGCTGGATTAATTTGGATTGCTAATGCTGATCAGCAACAACAGTTGCACTATAGGCAACTTATTATTTAGACATGATCCTACATCCCATGATGTAATTTAATGCCCTTTGAAATACTTTCTGTAAATTAATAAAATTATGGCAGCAATCTGCCTAATGTAGTCTAGAGTAATTTGTTATGTATTACAATACAATTTTTGAATCAATTTCAAAGATAATGATGAAAATCAGTTAAAAATTGAAGAAGATAATATTTTTTTTATTTATTTATTCTTTATTGACCACATTACAAAAAAAAAATGTCTGGTACAAAAAGCGGACTTAATACTATATAGCATTCTCTCCCAGTCAACCTTTGGCTAAACAGAAATTTTATTATGCGGTGAAAAAAAATACAATATCGTGTAATAATAAAATTTATTCCCGTGTTTGTCGCGTACTTACCTGTTAATTTTATCCCCTGTTATTACATTATTATTAAAAAATAGCTAGATACATTACAAATTCTCAAATAATTGCAAAAGTTAAATTTCATATTGGTCCCAAACTAACTGTAATAAATAAATTAATTTTAATGTAAAATTTAATTACTTTTCGTACTACTTTCTCAGTTGGCAGCATGGTCCATCCTTTGTATATAAATGTGCGATCTGACAATGCGTAACGAATGATGCCCTTAGGCACCTCTTGGTCTGTCTGAAATTAATTAAAAACTATGATATTGTAATCCCCGCGTACATGTTTTTGAGTCCTTTATGATATATTTAATTATTTTATGTGACTGCGCAATTTATATTAAAGGTCAACAATATTCTTAAGAGATTTAAAAAAGAAAAAGTTCCTGTATATTAATAATGTTACTTTCCTATAGTTCAATTAGATAAGATGCAAACCTATAACTCAGTTATTCGTAAAAGTTGGCAAATTTTTAAAACCTAATTACACCTAATGACGATCCACTAATTGGCTTATCAACTTGTGCTCCTATAACACAGTAGGAATATACGACATTTAATAAAAAAAAAATTTTAAGTTGTAAAACATTCGTCTTCCATTAGTTAGACCGTGAGTTTATTTAATTACCACATGACACAACAAATACAACAACTTTAATCTACATAACATTAGACCCTATCAAGTTTATGAAAGAAAAAAATTATGTGGACACTCAATAACTTACAGTGTCAACTTTTTTAGTTTTCGACATAAAATAATATTTCGACAAGATCTCCACAGTAATGAAAAATAAAATATATCTAAACAAGAATCCAGTTACAACAAAAGGAATAATATAATAAAATAAATTACTCTGAAAAACACGTCACGTAATTATTCAAATCAACTAAAAAATCAACTGCGTCAATAAAAATCATTCACAATTCAATTATTGACAAATAAGTAAAAATTTAAATAAAATTACTATAAAGTTTTATAGGTTTTACGCCAATTTTATATTTTATTAATTTTATATAATAAAAAAAATACTGCAAATACTGCTACGTCTATATTTGTTGGAAGTTAAATTACAAAAAAATCTTCATAATATTAATAAACCCTGGGGAGTCCATATAAATCCTGAAAAAAGGGATAATCTATTCTTTAGGGCAAACCCAAAATTAATTTCTTAACAAATTAGGAGAATGAAATTGGACACAGCACGCCGTGACTTCGTCGGCATGACCAGGATAAAAAAAAATACTCATTGTCCATCCTCCTCAATCGCAAATATTATGAATACCATGAAGATTGGTTAAGCTGTTATTTTTTTTATAGGTATATAATATAGCGTAAACAATTTTGCTGCTCGCCTGATAGTACCTAAGTGATTGCCGCCGCCCATAGGCACTCACAACATCAGCGAAATTGCAGGTGTATTGCTGGCCTTTTAGGAATGTATTAAATAAATAAAAAAATAAAGTCTGTATATATCATGAATGCTGCTATGCCATATGTCATTATGAACTGCCGTATGGTCTCGGCATAAAATGGGCCTCTTTCTTTCCCGTGGTTGTTGTAAGAGGTGATTTAATAATTGAGAGATGAACAGTAGCGTCCCTCTTAAAACATCACCAAAGTCAACCGCGGTTGCCAACTCGCCTGCCAAGCGTGTCAACTACTAGCAAAACCGCCCATTGTAGGGGAGACCTACGTTTAGCAGTGTTTCATAGTTATCAACTGATATGTCATGAATATGGATGTAATAGTAAGAAGTTTACCCAAACTATAGGGGGAAGGGATTGTTAGTAATGGGGAGGTTAGTCCCCATTGCTATCAACATTGGAACATTGAAAACCATTGTGACTAATTTATTGTTGAATTCGTCACGTGTCCTGCCAGTGTATACCGATAGCACAGGCGGGGTCATCATACCATTATCATACATTAAAAAAAAAAACAAACTATAGAATAACCTATAAGGATAGAAATTTCACGAATCCAAAATTCAAAAACGATAAAAAATATCGAGTCTCCCACACTAACCCAACACAATCTCCCTGTGTTATTATTGATTATTATGGGAGGAAAATTTTTTTTTACGTTTTTCGATCGATGTTCATCATCATCATCTCAGCCATTATCCGTCCATTGCTAAACATAGGCCTCTCTCATAATCAGTCGATGCAAACCTGCATCGACTGACTCTCTGCAATGCTCTTGAGGTCTTCACTCACTTCACTTCACCTAGTGGGAGGAGGGGGGGATCGTCCTACACTGGTTGACCTGTACGGGGTCGCCACTGAAGAACCTTTCTTCCCCTTTAAAGAGTTTGATATTACTTTAGTGAAAATGGTCAATTTCGTTGGTAAACTACACCCTTCAAATGATGTTAACAATTTCGATTTTACTTATATATATATTTTTATATTTATATTTATTTTACATTATACATAGTATTATATATACATAGTATTATATATATTATAAATACTTACTTTTGTTCTTTTAGTAGATAAAGTATTAGCACGAAGTTCAGTTTCTTCTGGAATAACAATATCCGTTTTATGTTCTATAACAGATTTCTCCTTGAATGTCGATTTAAATAAAATTGGTGAAAGTTCTTTCTCTTTGCGCCTTTCAGGTAATTGAGATTTACACTTAACAATTTTATCGCCTACAATAATATCTATTACTTCTTTATCTATTTTTAAAGTACTTTCAATATCCAAATCTATATCAGAACTAGTATATCTAATACACCCTTTTTTCTTAGAAGCACGAGTTCTACCCCGCTTAATTTCTAATTCTGAAATATGACATTTAGATATGGGTTTTAGTATTTCATCTTTTTCCTTGGACTTTTTTATCTTAACCATATCTAATATTAGATTATCTGACGAATCCCTTTTACTTTTAATTTGTTCTAAAGTCAGTTCTTTAGTGTTTAGCATTTCAATGTTCTTGTTAACCTTTTTTGGTTCCAGCTCAAATTTGTTTTCTATTTGATTTACAAACATTTTTTTCAATTCTAATTTAGCTTGTTCTTCAGTTACCTTATCAGTATCTCGTTTTTTGCCTTCATATTTATGTTGTATTTTCATTTTGTCATCGTAAGTCTCTACAATTTTAGTTTTCTGTAAAGGCGTCACATCATCTTTTACTTCTTTTTCCCTAATGTTTTTGTTTTGTTCTATTTTTATTTCCTTACTTTCTTTTTTAATTTTTTCTGGCATATCTTTGCTCAATTTATCATTTTTTTCTTTACCTTCTTTTTCTTTTCTTTTTGCATCCGTTTCTTCTTTGTGTTGTGTTTCTTTTTTTAATTTGTCAGTTATGTATTTTCCTCGCGTTTCTTTACTTAATTTATCCGTTGCTGCTTTTCCTTGCATTTCCTTACTTAATTTAATCATTTCTTCTTTTTCTTGCAACTCTTTCTTCAATTTTTGTTTCTCCTCTTCTGCTTGCATTTCTTTCTCTGATTTATCATTTTCATCGTTTCCTTGTTTTAAATTTTTATTCTGGTTTTGAACATCAATATTAGTATTCATTTTATCAATATTTTTATTTGTTAAATTATATTCTTTTTTGGATTCTTTTCGATTTATTGAAAGAATTTTAGATTTTGAATCTTTTTCAGAAACAGCAAGTTTTGTATCTTTTCCAGCTTGTTTACTAAAATTTATATCAGGCTTGAAGTCCTCATCGGGTATCACTGTTTTTATGCTACCCATCTCAATAGATTTTAATTTATTCAATACACTTTCCTCAGATGAATGTTTAATTTTAGCGTCTAATGTTTTTGATTTCACGTTCAATCTAATATTATCCTGTGTTTCTTTCCTCTTGATCTTTTTCTTTTCGTTTTTTTCTTTTTTTCTTCGAATCCGTTCGATTCGTTTCAATTCATCTTCTTTAGCTTTAGCCACTACCTTATATTTAGTTTCTTTAATTAATTCTGTTGAACTTACGCGTTTTAGAATTTTTTTATCTTTTTTAATAACTTTTGGAAAAATAAAACTAAAGTTTTCTTTGAGTAAATTTTCTGGTACACCAGTAATAGAGGTTTGTAAAGACTCTTGTGAGAGATATTTTGTGATCGGTGTCGAATAGTTCATTTGTTTTATCTTTTGTTTATTAATATAATTGTTTTCAAATGACATTGACGATTGCTGAGTTTTATTTGTAGCTGTTATTTGATCAGATATGGACTTTATATCTTTTTTAACATTATATTTTAATGTAGTTGTGCTAACAGATTTCAAGTTTGGTCTTAATCCAACAATAGTGGTATCGAAGTCACCGTCATTTATCTTTTTTATACTATACGGAAATAATTGTTTAGCTATTTTTAGATACGAATCTACCGCGTTCCTTTCAAACTTTTCGGAGTTAGTTTTACTTTTAATTAATTTACTAGTATCGTATAGTATTTCACGATCACTTTGCGGATACGACTCATTATTCATTAATAGTATGTTATCATCGCTCAGAACGTCACTTTTATTAGTACTACTTTCTAGAAATGTTATTTGTTTTTCATGTTTTTGTAATTGATGATATGAAGTCTCTGTTTTGTTTTTTAGAGTATCTTGCAATTTAACATCACATAAATTGTCAATAACCGGAACTACCTGAATCGACGGACATTTATATTTTTTTATCGCGATCTCTCCGACATCAGATTGTTGTTTCAATTTAGGCGATTCTTGGTATATTTTATTGATGTCGAAATCCGAATAAAAATGACTCGGACGTTTAGATTTATCGTTAGATAGTGATTCTTTTAATAAGTTTTGAATTTTATTCATCCTATTTTTAAGTCTTTCTTTGCTTTCCTTTTGTTGGATTGTGCTAGTTCTAAACTTTTTGACAATTTCATTGCACACATAACAAAAACTTCGAGTACCTTTTAAACGACAATGTTCACAAATAGCTACTATGTTTTTTTTATCAATACTGTCTATACGTTCTAATAACTTTTGTGCATGGGCCATGATATATTTGCATCGTAGACAGTTTATATTTTTTGGATCTGAAAAAATAAGGTAGGTAATTAAGTTTATTTACTTTTTGTTGGCTGAAAATGGTAACCCCGTCTGCGCTAACGGGATACGCTGGCGGAGCACCAGTGAAGGGTGATAGATGAAAATGAAAACAGGCCAGTTAGCCCAACATGATGAATTCATCAGGAATTAACCATGGTAGTTTCCAGGGAGAACCGCGAGAAAGTCCATGGTTGGGTATATTGCTAGCAATGGGATTCTCAGTCTCCATTACTAACAATCCCATTCCCCCCTAAGTTTGTTAGTTTGTTAATTGGAATGTACCTACCTTAATATTGTCATATTGTAAAGATTTACAAAATTAGAAATATTTTAATAATTATACCTTATACTATTAAATATATATCAACGTATTTATACAATTATATAATAAGTATTCTTACCAATTACGGGTATGGAGTTGGCAGATGTTACTTTCCTACTTTTTATGTTGTGTAATATGAAAACATCTTTTGTTATGTCAGTTGTTGATTCGCATGAGCTGATCGTTTTGTCAGTCTATAAAATATTATAGAATTGAGTACAATAATATTAAAAAAGAAAAATGAAGGTTCATATGGCGTAGAAACAATAAGCGTATAGTTATCTAATGCCGTGGTGTAGCCATGGAGAAGACTTTCTAAAGTCGTTTAACTATATAGGTACGCTTATATATTTTTAACTTTGAAAAAGAGATGATTTTTATGGAATTGGTATGTTTTTTTATGAAAGTTAGAATTGTAACCAAGCTGACGGCCCATCAGAAGGAAATGGTAACGAAAAGGTAACTTATATGAATAACACCACGGACATACTCTGTGATATCCATGTACCTTTCATGCAATGCAAGGATTATGGTGTTAAGCCTCCATACCATATATTTTCACTGTCATATCTCATCCTTTAAACTTAAATACAGCCATCCAAGCACATATGCTTCACGGTAATGTATACAGAAGAAACAGAGGTATCCATGCAAAGAATTTTTGTGCAAAGCCTTCATCCCTTCCGTGTCGTGTCGTATTTCTTGTCTATATTACTTAATATCATTTTCATTTCTAAATCAGTCTTGATGATTATTTATGAAGCCGATAGAGTTTACCTCCTTTTCCATCTCATATATTTTTTTTTAACGACTGAGGGTTGTCATTTTCATTTCGGAGCTAACCAGCCTTTACAGATTTTGTATGATTGTTTTAAATTAAAATAGACATAGCCTATGTTATTCTCTGATAATGTAACTTTCTAAAAATGAAAAAGTCAAAATCGGTTAAGTATCTTTTGAATTGTGTTTGCATGGCTGTGTTTCGGTTTGAAGGGTGAGATAAAGCAATAAAAATACAGAGGCATAACATGTTAGTCCTCAGGAATGGTAACGCATGAAGGGTCTCATGAGCAACACAGTATACTCTGTCATGTCCATGATACTATTTATATCTATAGGCGACGGTTATCATTTTCCATTAGGGAAGCCGCCAGCTTATTTGCCATTCTGAGTTGCATAAAAAACTATCTATCTCTCCAATTTCCACGTAATTTTTGGATAGCAATGATGATTTCGTTTGACTTACGTTTTCTAATCCTGGTGTATGGCGATATATAACAAGTCCAACATCTTTCAAATCCAGTATTTTATGGAAATCTGTACATGTTTTGCATGTCTTACAGCACAAACATTGCACATTTTTCTTCCTACAAAATGGAAATTGTTAACCACAAATAATTAGGTATAATCAGTAGGTACATACTAGACATTATTAAGCGTCATTGGTTCGGGAGTGATGTGGTCTAAAAGTAGGCATATACGGATAATATTTTTGGGGTTTACAAAGTTGTTAATAGCTTTTAGGTATAATATTGTACTGGTGTCAAATAGCAATATAAAATTCACATATTTTACTGCATTAGGTGTTATTTTACGGAAGTTTAAAGAATATCATTAGCTTGTTTATTATTATTTTTTATTTCCGATATTTAGAATACGCACGACTGCTAACATTTGAGGATTAACTACTATTATTTAAAAGCTCTACAACCTTCCCTACTTCAAGCAATGCACGTGTTTAGTGTGTTATCTTGAATAGACTCGGTATTACCTTAGTACAATCTCATGCAGCGCTGCAGCGCCTTGCCTCATTTTTTCTAATTGTAATCCCGCCTACACTATCGGTATACATTGGCACGGCACCAGTAAGAGATGATAAATGAGAGTAGACAGATACATACAATGGGAGTATTAAAAATACTATCATTACTAAGACCTGATCTACACTATAGTACTATTCTCGGTCTGGTAAAATATAATTACGTAAGAAACAATGTGTATATTCACACTATAATCCAGTCCCGTTTCGATCAATCTCGAACTGTTTGTACTGACCATACTGAGAGCGGCATTATAGTTTAGATCCGGCCTAACAATCCTTTTACTCTGCCTCGTTTCATTACCTATGTACGTACGTACTATGTACCTATTTATATTTATTATAGTTTTTGTATTACAAATAAGGTGTATTCAAGCGTCCTACAAACAAGTTGAAATAGGTACGCTTCACTTAGCGAATAGTTTCTTTTATATTAAGTGAACCATATCATAACTTAAAACAATTATTTGTAGAGCGTTAAAAACATTCTATTATTTTATAGTGTACTTTACCAACTTTTTGAACCCATACAGTCGATTCAACAAATTAAAATAAACAACATACAAAAGCGGAGCACACAAAATAATTTGCGTCAAAATGACAATTATAGTGTGTGTCCATAAACTATTATAAAGTATTATTAAATAGGTAATAATTCAACGTAGATATAAAACGGTAGTAGACATGCAAATGTTCACACGTTTTTTTAATGGGTGATAAAGCAGGGTTACCGGCCTGCACTATCGGAATACGCTGGCGCGGCACCAGAGAACGATGATAGGTGAGGATAAAATGGCAGGTAGTTAGCCCATCGTGACGAATTCCACTACAATTAACCACGATGGTTTCTAGGGGTAACCGCGTGGTAGTCGACCTGATAGTGTGTACTGCATGCAATGGGTCAATTAGACCTCAATACTAACAATCCCTTTTTCACCATTGTTCGCACGTTAGAAGCTATTAAGCTCGGCGAAATGTAGATTTATCGAATGTTATGTACACCGGAAATAGTAAAAAAATTCTTTGACAACTCTCAAGGCCAGTGTTAACGTATCAAACGCTCATATGGGTATGGGGGGAAGGGATTTTTAGTAATGCGAGCTATCAGTTTCATTATTAGCAATATACCCTGTCAGGTCGACTTCCACGCGGTTCCCCCTGGAGACAATCGTGACTAATTTTAACTGAGACAGGATAGCCTACCTGGCCTGTTTTCATTCTCATCGATCACCCTTCACTGGTGCTCCGCCAGCGTATCCGGTTAGCGCAGGCGGGGTTACTATTCTATTTTCACCCATAAAAAAAAACGGTCATATGGGTAAGATTTTAATGGCTTTGGAAGTGATGACGAATATATAGACTTTTTAAGAAATACTAGTAATTAAAATATTATGAACCAGACTTTCTATTTTTGCCTACATTTAAAATGTTTGGAATATACTCAATCCAGATTACAATCAATTGTTAAGGAGAGTCATGGGCAACAATGGGCATGCTCTTAATTATGTATGGGCAACCTACATTCAGCTTTAGTTATGCTTATTCATTGTAACATAGGTAACAAAATAAATAAATTTTTGTACTTGATAAATTATATTTATTGAAAACTAAAAAAATCAATAAATGAAACTAAGCTATTAATCCTTTTTTCTCTTGAGTAAATTCATTAGTTTCTGGGTTAAAGACACTGGGGTACCCACTGGCTTTAATATTAATTCTTTGGTACAAATATTATGGAGTGGTCCAAATGCTAATGCTACAACAGTACAAGCAAGACAAATGACATTGTATGGCATACTAAAATCTGGAGTAGGTAAGGAGACCATGGCTCCATTTGTTCTGAACACAGCTGGATACCCTGAAACAAGATAAATATTGTATTTTAAGTATTCTTCCATTCATTTACAAATATTCAAATAAATAAGTGGTGTACAGTTATTAAGTAACAATTAATATTCTTAAAACTTATGTTCATTTTTTAAGAATGTTTATATAAATTCCTAAAATTCCTGTTATAAATGTATAATTTTTGTAAGTATATTCTATACATATGTAACATACATATTATTATATACATAGATTCTGTTGTTATATCCATAATATTTATTTTAAACTGATTTTGTTAGACCAATGCCCTGCCATTGTCATTTTAGCATTACGGTTGACTGGTAGAGAATGTCATCAGTCATTAATTCCGCCCTGTAGACATATTTTAATGTGTGCAAAAGTATAAATAAAATAAATAGACAACAAATATTCAAAAAATTTAAAATAGAATTTTTTCAGGTAAAAATGAAACTTGGAAAAATATTAAAATGGTAAAAAAATGTTGCTTTTATAGGCTGTTTATTCAGACATATTAATCACATAGAGAAATAAAGAAAAAACTAATTCAAAATAATCTTACTAGCCAGTGGTGGACAGGGGAAAGTGTACCTTAAAAATTAACTTTATTCTATATTTGTATTTTTCATAAGTTTTAATGATTAAATATAATTAAACATATTATACTACTCATAATTATTATTATGAATATATTAATTCTAATAAGGTATGATACTTACAAGGTTTTGATGCATTGATTATGGAGTCAAAAGTGCTGCCACTAATAGGTAAGCTCGAATATTGTTTTGCAGTTGGCAAATTTGCAGTTATCAATGCAGATCCAATGTAAAACCCATGGTTGGCATCTGGTGGGTATTCTTGCCATTTTAAAAATACAAATTCAAAATCAATTGTAACAGTGGTAGTAGATCTCGGAGGCAGTTTTATTAGTAGTTCTAAATGGTAAGGTTTCTGTCTATTTCTCCCAGGTGAAAAGTATTGTGCAATGACAAGCTTGTTATTAGCTTCTCCATTGACTCTCAATGAGCTAAGCTGTATTGGCAACCACCAAGGTGCATTTTCTAATAGAACAACATCGATAGCTGTCATGTAATTATTAACTAATTCAGTAACAATACCACCAAATTCTTTACCATAACCCAAAACATATCTATTGAAATATATAGGAGGTGGGATTATAACAGTCATATTATTACTATACTTAGAATCATACTTTGCACCAATATTTATCATTTCACCATTGTTATGTATATCATATACAGCAAACTCTGTTTCACTAGCTCCTCTTTGTGATTGTAATATTCTGTGAGGTGATGGTGTCAACTTGAATGAATGACTAGAATTAGTTGTTACATCAACATATATTGTACTGGCAGATGAGAGGGTACAAGCTCCAGGCAATCCTTGGCCAAATAATTTCCTAAATGACCAGTCCATACTATTTATAATTTTATAATCATAAACAAGTGCTACAGTTTGTTTTATTTCTAAATGAGTGTCAGTACAGTCTTTATTGGCACAAATTTTTCTAACATGAACCCCAATTGAATGGTATTTTGTGTTGTGTATCATTCTTGAGTTTAATAATGCTGAAAATCCCCGACTTGATTCGCAAGGTAAAAGTTTCTTCCATGGAGTTAGGTTTTCTGTGCAAACAATTTCTCTTGGCAAAGAAGCGTATCTAAGCTGGGATGTAATGTTCTGAATTGGTTTTACAGCTCCTGTAGGCCATAGTGCCATTTGAGGTATTACTGTGTTGAAATTATCTATAAAATTGAGAGAGGCACAAAATAGTCCCGACAAGGTAGAAGTTAACTTGCGCCACTGGGTATCAATATCGTCAACATCTGTTGCGAACCAAGCATACAGTTCCGCGCCTGGTGCGGCATCGAGAACCGGATATCCCCATTGATGGTGTCTCCATTGTCCTTCAGTCAAAGTTAAATGCAGTTCATCTACTTTAAATCGTGATATAACTTCCCCTAGTGATCTTGGCGATAAGTGAGAGTGTTCAGCTAAAACAAAATCAAAACCTATTAAGCATTCCTTACATTAGATTTTCCACAAGAGGACTATCTAGTTTTATTATAAACTTACTGGATTTGTGATTTACAATAGTTATAAATTGAAAATAAGTATATAGATGTGATGGTGGCAGGGGTTTAATATACATCTCTTCTTTAAAATCATCACTACGAACGACAGAATAAGCAGAAATAAAAATTATCCAAAATAATCGGTATATTGACATTATTTGGTTTTCTTTAATTTTATTAATGAATACTTATTAGTCAGTCTTTTAAAGGGTTATAATATATGTTTTAAACTTTGTTTATTGCTGAAAGAGGGAGAAATTTTACAATAATTATCTATAATACAATAAAACAACCATAAAACAAAACTTAGAATTAGACTTGACGTTTTCCTGTAAATAGAACTTAGATTAGGGAGACTATGTAGTATGTAGATTAGGATTTTATTTTTTTATAATTTTAACTTGACACCAGTGTTGCCAGTTAAAATGGACCCGAAATTGTACCTCCCCCAAGTAGCCAAATTGATTCGATTTGATTTAATTTCGCAAATTGAAATTATGAACCTGGAATACCTACAAATGTAATAGGTACCTAACTATCATATGAAGTACCTACTTTACATAATTTAGTTCAATTCACATTAGTACACTATACTAAATCTATCATTAGATATTCTCTCTAATCTGTGATTGATACATACGTATGTCGTGCTTATGTCTATTTTTGACGTTTCACGAATGATATCTGCCGTTGATTTCATTTTACTTTGTCATTATTTATTTATATTTTTTGATTTACTTTTATTTATGATATGTATACTACCTAATTATAAAGTTAGTGAGTGATTATTGTCTTTATAGTTATTTGATGTGAACAAATTACAACGAAGAATATAGTATATTAATAAAATCAAATTAATTCTCTATTGTTTTTATCGCTAAAAGATTTATTTCAATGGAACTTGAAAACATAATTGTTTAAATAAATTTTAAATCTAAAATAATTTTATGTAAGAAACTAAATTAACTTAATTTTATTTTAAAATTATTATTATTTTAACTTTAAATTATATTCTACTTTTTGTTTTGTAGTTTATTCTCGCAGAATATTCGAAATAACTAAAAGAAATGGATAATGAATTAATAGATATATCAACTAGCCTTAGGCTTCAAATAGGATATGGTATTGGACATGTACTAAATGATGTATGTGCTAGCCTATGGTTTACTTATTTAATAGTGTTCTTTCACTTAGTACTTGAATTTAGTGCTACCCAAGCTGGGAACTTAATGTTGATAGGGCAAATTTCTGATGCGTTGTCCACACCATTTATTGGCTATCATTCAGATCACACTGATAACTTGGTTAGTGCAAAATATGGCAAAAGAAAACTGTGGCACCTTTTTGGTGAGTAAATTATTTATATATATTTCTTAGTGCTGTTGCTAAATCTTCTATTTTTATAGTTAGAGAGCTGAAACGTAATAAAGTAATAGTATCCATTATTAACACTAAAATACTGAAGATTGGCCCTTAATAATTTTTGATTAAGCAGTTTTTTACAAAATCATATTTTTTTATTAGACATTTATTACTTATAAATGTTTTATTATTCTACCATTCAATACAGTAAATAGTTTCAGCCCAGAAGAAATGGAAAAGAATACAATTAGTTACTTGTTTAATTATATTTATTTATTCCTTTAAACACAATTATAAATATTGCAGGTTTCAAATCATGGAGACATACACCCAAAACCTTTCAGGAAAGAAAAACTTAATATATATTTAAAATGGGCTAAATTTAAAGTCAATTTCTATGTATAAATATAAATCTTTATGATATAGAATGCATAATTGTAAGCTAAATGTATATGTTAGTAAATGTGTATTTATATGTAAAGTCTCATTTTGTATGTGGAAGTATCTATCCTTTTTTTAATTTTCAATAATTTTTACAGGTACAGCATGCATACTAGCATCATTTCCATTTATATTCTCACAATGTGTTGGATGTTCTATGACCCACAAATGGGCGCAAATGTTTTATTTTTCATCATTTATTGTGACATTCCAAATTGGATGGGCAGCTGTGCAGATTTCACATTTGAGTTTAATACCAGAGCTAGCTGATGATGATCATACGAGGGCCCATCTCACTGCTGTTAGGTAACTGAAGAATTATTTCATCATGCCTATTATTTGTTAAATTTAATTACAGAGAAATATCTGGTTCAAAAGTCATCTGCATTGGTTGTGCTTTGAATGATGGAAATATGGCATTGACATTGTAGGGTGTGGTGGTATTACTGTCTATGTTAATGGCAATGCATAAATAATACCATTATAATTATGGTGAATTCTGTCTGTAGATGATTGTTACTACTTTCCATCAGGTGAGAAAATGATTTTAATATTGATTTGATCAAATTAGAATCCAAATTCAGAATCTATCATCAGCCAAATGTTTACTTTTACTACTATACCACATCAGCCGTTAATTGTCTACTGCTGAACATAGGCCTCCCCTATATAGATTATACATTATATTATATTACTTAGAACATAACATTAACTACATATATGTTAAAATTTATAAAATAATGATTTTCTAATTCAAAGTATTACAAATCTCTTAAAGTAGATATATTAAACTCCTGATGTAATATCAGACTTTGATCAAAAAGCTGAACACTAATGACCAGAGTTATAAAAAATAAACCCAAATGAAACTAATGGACTATAGAAGATATATCCTTGATTAGTGATCTGCTTATTCATCATCATCATCAACAATACTATATCATTGGTAGTCAAAAATATTGTGTTTTTTTATGGAATCCTCTAATTATATATTTGCAGATATGGATTTACTGTGTTCTCAAATTTATTTGTGTACATTATTACATGGATCGTATTACGTGTTACTGGTGAATGTGATAAGCAAGTAAGTGACAATACAAATTATTTATAAATGTTGTAGGTACGTAAACTTTGTAGTAGGTACATTTTAAAAGATAGGTATTTTTTCATACAGTACGTATCATACAATATATACATATTACACTCACTTTATTTACCATGTAGATCATTCTATACCTACTTCTAGTCGGCTACTTGGCACTCTCGCAAGTTTTCTATACTTTGCAATCTTATATTTAGTTATTTATTAAATTTAATTACTTAAAAATACAAAAGAGCAATAATATGTCATAATATATGTAAGATATACAATCATAGTGCATAAAAATATGCTTATTTTATTTTATATTTTTTCCATATGCCAGCATTGTTAATTGTGCCAATTACCTATAGAATATTAGAACATTTGTAGTTATAATAATATCATTAATGACATAATGAATGTTTATTTTTAAATCATAAAGTACCTATTTCCACAACGATAGTAGTTGACAAATGCGTTTCTTCTCTGTGCCACATTTGATAATTTTGTCTTGAAAATATATTAAACATGACCCTTTCACACTTATATTATTTCTTTTTTATTTAGTTTTTTTTTGGGATAACAACAATGTTTTACTTAATCAATTATATGTTACACACTTACTAAATGCTAGCTAATTATAGTTATCCGCTGTGTAATACATAGGCACCCATTGAGCGAACAAAATCATAGCTTGCAGCACACCTGCAAAATCATAGTTTTTAATGCCTCCTGCGTTGTAAAAAAAAAAAAGTTTTTAATGCTATAGTAATAATAATGATAAAACCGCTATTACGTTTGCACTGCAGCTATTTAACAATGTTTTATCATTTATTTTAAATTTTATTAAAAGTTTTATGTAAATAAAAAATGTAAATAATTTACGTGAGTGAAAATCAATAGTGTTACTAAAACACTTTATATAAACAGTATTTAATCAATATCTTTAAATTGATTACTTTAAGTATCTTTTTATTATATTTAGACATAAACAAGATCACAATTTACACAATTGTCTATCGCAAGTTTAACTTCTTTGTGGTAAACCTGCAAGTGTCAACAGCCTCGTTATAGTTATTCTAGGTCTCTAGGCATTGACATACACAGTGTTATCATTTACCAAACAAAACAGAACTTCTATTAAATTATCCATCAAGTTTTAAAATCTGTTAATGATCCCTGAAGTATTTAAGCTTTTTTTATATTACTTAAATGGCAAACAAGTTCCCGATCGCTTTCTAGTAAGCGATTACCACACCCTGCGGACACTTGCAATACCAGGGACACTGCGCATACGTTACCAACCTAAAATTGTTTTACCTTTATTTGAAAAACGCCATATATGGCGTTTTTAAAATAAAGGGTTTATAGTATAAATATATTATAGTATAAAAAAATCTCGATAATATAACTTGAACGCCTAGGGAAGGAAATATCTCTGAAATAGTTGCTGCTTTTCATTAATGTCACGGTACTCTCATATAATTGTAATTATTATTAATTTCAGCAAGTGGGGCCTGGAGATGCTTGGAAGTTCAGACATATCGTATACATAGTGTTAAGTGTGGGTACAGTTGCATCAATATTGTTTCACTTGTCTGTAACGGAAAAACGGACAAATAGAAATCAAGATCAACTGATCGATTATGACAATAATACGCCCGTTCAAACACACTGTGAATTCTTAAAGAAACCAGTATTGTATCAAGTAAATATATATTTATTTTTATATTTAAACATACTGACATGGCGAACGTTGTTTTGCCCCCTACCGCCACCTGTCGGGTTCATTTTTTCTTCTTCAGAATAAAAACCATCCTATCTCTAGTACCTGCAAACTCAGCCACGTTTACTCCGTTAACACTGGATCGTATTTTGTGGCAAAATATAAAAAAAAAAGAACTTTAACGATGACCAATAGGGTTGTTAATGATGATGATGTAGTTTTTTTATGTTTATTTATAAAACGAACGCGGGGAATGATAAGCAAACAGTCCATCTCCAAACATCCACAGTACACGTTTAACCTAAACACAATACTTAAATAATTTGTTTGCTATCGGCAATAATTCAGATAGAGATACTACCCACTTCTCATGTATAGTTTTGCTATGTCACGTAATAGTAATATTTATTTTTAGGTGGCTGGTGTGTACATGAGTACAAGACTTGTAGTAAATGTATCACAAGTATTAATTCCTTTGTACCTCCATCGGACACTGGGATTGGCCGCACGTTCTCTCGCCGTAATACCTCTCGCTTTATACCTTGGGAGTCTTACTGCAGCAGGTGTACAAAGGCTTATCCCAAGGTCGTTCACCCGAAAGTTAAATTATTTATTGGGATCTGCATGCGCGCTCTCTGGTTTTGTGTGGATTTATATTGAATCGGATGATAATTATAAAATTTATTACATTTATTTAGTAGCTGTGTTAATAGGTCAGTATATTATTATATACATACACACATTCTATACATCCTTTTTCTTTTTTATTCATACTGGCATTTTATAAATGTAATAGTAACGGTGTTTGTTTGCTTGGGTATATACATGAACAACTTGACTGATTTTAATGAAGAAAAATATGTAACTTTTTAATATCCAATATTCTTAAGATACAGTGTTTTGGGATTTGATTATCCAATATTCGTTTTCTGGTGATTTCTCAAAATATAAAAGTATCGTATTTTGAGTACTAACATCTCTTAGATAATTCTTTATACTACACTAATCACTTGTATCAACATATATATTTTATATATACGCAGATGATTTTCTTTCGTAAATATAAAAGTAAATACTCTCCCCTCTACTCTACCATCTTATTCATAAAAATGTCAAATCTTCTACAATGTTGAAAGCGTCTTTTTTGCGCTAATTTCTCAATTCAAAAGACTGACAAAACACTCGAATAGTTAAAATAGGTGTGTAGGCCTTTTTATTTTTTATGAATAAGAGGGTATGCCCGTATGTACGCTTCAGGAAATTAGATTTTTTTTCTGTAAATTCCATTATGAAAATGAGAAAAGGAAAAACACCTATTTAAGGATGGAGGACTTCGGTACTCTATGTCTATCTTGCAAAATACTTGGCTCGAAGATCTATAGGGATAGATTCACCAGAGGGAGATATTTTTTTACTTAAATATTTGACAATCGTTTTATTGAATAGCATTTATAAAAATATTATAAAATCACAATTTTTGAATGTATGTAAAATTTTTTTAACGCAAACATCTTTTTTTTTTTTATTATTTTATTCAATATTTTTTGATAATGTTTCTAAATATTTGACAATCAGATTATAAAATCACAAGTGTATTTTTTAACGATTCTGTATGTTTCATAGGATTTGGGGGTGCTATTATGCTTGTAACAAGCCTGGCGTTGACTGCTGATTTAGTAGGTGCAAGAACTGAAGCGTCTGCGTTTGTCTATGGACTCATGAGTTTTACAGACAAACTCGCTTGTGGCATTGCAATAGCAATAATACAAATGTAGTAAGTGTTTAAATATATATGTTCTAATGAGTAGGGATATATATTTATATTATCACATGTATCACATCTTCATATTTAGAAGTAACAGTTAACAATTTCCCATCGTGCATCCCACCAAATTGTTTATAATTACTCCTCTCCATCCAAAGATTACCTGGAAGAGATCGCTGTTAGCGATAAAGTCGCCCATTATTTTCTCACTGTGATCATTTCTTGTAATTGTTTATATTTATAATAAGTTTACTATTGTAATCTTTTGGAGGAAACAATAAAGAATATCTATCTATATATCTATGCAAGTAATTTGTCTACTTAGTTGTGTTAGTTAGAAATTTCATAGTCGTTCTATTCTAAAGTGGCATTTTAATCGTAATAATAAAATGTTGAATTAAAAATTTTGCGAAATAATTGTCATAGATTAGTTACAATTTTAAAGCATTTATTTATTGATTGATTGATAAGTATGCTGTATAATCTAGAAGGGGTTCTGGAACGAAAGTGGCAGGCCTGTATCCACTTCTTCCTCTTCCGTTCTCGCAGTTTCGAACATGGATTCGTCACAGATCCACTGACATACAAAACCAAAGATGGATACAGGCTACTGATTGCAGACATTCAAAACTGACCATGCCAACGTTGAATCAACGACTATAAAAACGTTTATTATATCTAGATAGGAACAACCTTACAGCAATTAAAGGGACAATAACGGGTCATTACCCCTAAAACAAACATTTATACGCAATAGAAGTCATAGACAGCCCTCTATGTCGAGGCTGTTTTGACGCTGAAGAAACAGCGGTACAAATCAAATATTAAATCAAAACAAACAAACAGGTATGTGAAGCTATGGTCCCACAACGTTTAGAAATCCTCTGAACAGTAAGGTCGCTCCATGAGGCCTGTGAAGATCCAAGTAATGTAATACTCAGAAAGAAAAATCAACCACAATAAGTATAATATACCTATTTTTAACCGACTTCAAAAATAAGAAGGTTCTCAATTCCTTTGTATTTTATGTTTACACCTCATAATTTATTTGAATAATTCTTTTTTTATCTGAAAAGATATACTTATAGAATCTCCAATATAAATTTTATCAAAATCTGTTCAGTAGTTTAGTTTTTAAATCAAAATAACTGGTTTTGTCACAATTGATGTCGGTATTGTTGGTGGAATACAATCTTTCTCAGACATTTTTAGTACGGGCGTTCTTGGGTTTTACAGGAAAATCCCTCAATGGGAAGGCATATGTTCATCAGTAAACAATTAACGGCTAGTATGATGATGATGATGAAGAAGCATTTTGCAGTTAATTTGTATTTATACAGATTGTTTTTAACTAGCTAACCCCATAGACATCCTGATTCTCATTCTGAGACGTGTTACTATTTTGATGACCCTTTTAGAATAGTTAAACGAATTCATTCTTACTCACATGTATAATAATATCCCACTTTGTTCCAGTGCAGATGGTGCTGATTCATCTTATTATCGCGATGTGTTATCGTGGGTGTGTGGAGGCAGCGTCATCGTGGGACTTACACTCACTTTATTGTTACCTAAATATGCACGTGACATGGTGACTGTAAATGGTAAATAATTATTATAATACCTATAAAATAATAGATTTTTAGTTCTTACAAATTAATTTTAATGGATATGTAATATACGAGGGTAGATTAAAATAGTTCAAGTATTTATGTGTTAGGCCGCGAATATTTAATGTAACTGACCTCATTCGATTTGCGTCTTCTCTGGTTATCACATTGTAAAATTCTATCGCAATAGCATTGTCTGTTTTTAAATTAGACTGAATTTTGTGAGCCTAAGTGCAGCGTTTTTAAAGAATGGAGAAAATTGAGCAACGTGCGGTCATCAAATACCTGTTTAAAAAAAAAACTAACTCCAAAGGAGATTCACGAAGATATGTCAACAACATTGGGGGAATCTGCTCCGACGTATACGTAGATCTTCCTATCAGAGGGAAACTTTATCCATAAGTTTCCCTCTAAGTCTTTGTATATAAGACTTCTGTCTCATTCGTGTTTCTACCGTGAAGCAGTAGTGTTTGCGTGGGATATGGCAGTGAATTTACAGGATACAAAAATATACCTTATTCCTCAAGAATGGCAACGCATGTGGGGTATCATGGGTAAAACAGTATACTCTGTTATGTTCATGTCTAGAGCTGACAGTTGCCTCTTTTCATCGGGTGGCCTGTCCGCTTCTTTGCTATTCTTAATTGCATAAAAAAATCATAACCTCGCAAACATCCTCAATACACTCTACTCTTTGTGATGTGTAATATATTCAGTCATATTAACCAAGTACTCAATGTTTCAGATCAACGTTCGACAATTAACACAGAAGATCCGACTGCGGCTTCACCATCAGATATTTTATAAACTATACTAGGTGTAATTTGTCAAGGACGCCATGTATTAAAATAGCCAATTATAATAATTAATTAAATTCACTATTTTCTATAAATATGCTCAAATAATATTTTATACAAAGATCTGTTTTAAACTTTATATTTGATAATTACGTCAGTTAGACTTTCGTCCTCGTCGCAAGTATTAAATGCGTATCATGTCATCGTAACGCACCATTCTTATTTTTAGGATCATTCTGTATTAAGCTCAATGCATTCTAAATAGATTAAAATTTATAGATTCTCAACATTTTCTGGATCAGCGATTATTTGCTTTTCTTAATGAATAAAATATAAGCTTATTTAAATTATAACCCACTTAGCCCTACCTTAAATAAAACTATGTTCAACCCCCTCCCCCTCGTCTGGTCTGCAGCTGTTCATACTGACCACTACACCCACAGAGGGAGTTTATGATCTAAAAAGACAATTACCTCTCAATATGTAAGTTTTATTTGTAAATAGTTATATTACGTATTATTAAAATGGGTATTATTAAAGATAGATACTAAAATAAATTATTTGTCGATTGAATATGTATTTTTTTTCGAACCTTAATGAAATTACTTCCGAAAACTATATTTAATATGTATTTATCAATGCTTCCATTAATTAAAATATACATAGAAAAAACGTAATATTTTATTACATCAGAACTTTGAGATCGAGACTTAGATACTCACGTTCGAATTTAAAACACAGTACTGTTTTTAATGGATGATAATAAAGTGGTAATGCCATCTGCGCCATCGGTATATGAATACGTTGGCAAGCTATCAATGAAGAAGATAAAAACAGGTAATTCTGCCCTTTGTGACAAATTTGTTATGAATTAACTACGATGGTACCAGAGGCGACCGCGTTGTTGTATTTACTAACTCTTGATGAGCTCGGTAGCGTCGTGACGGGTATATTGCTTTGCATAAATGAGCTTTTGGATTCAATCCCAGTCAGGAAATTTTAGGAAACGACATTTTCTAAATTTGCTCAGATCTGCTCCCAGACATATGTTGCCTAATTCCTCATAACAGGGTATCCTAGCTTGAAAACCAGGCAATTGGTGTGATGGTGTTGCACTTATTGTAATACCCTCCTCTCTCCTATAAGTGCTGGAAGAGGTTCCAATTTATTGAGTTATGAAGAGGACTGCCCTAAAGTTAGAAAAGCTGATATAATAAATAATACATTAATTAATAGCTCAAATAACTAAAACCAAATGGGGAAGAAAAAATCTTGTGAATTGACATTTTTAGTGTAAGATTACATATATGTAGCACAGTCATGACTTATATTGATGTGTTAAAATTATGAAAATAATTCTACCTACCATTTTGATTTATTAGACCTTATGCCAATGGAATTGTGCAAAGTATGTTATAATTATGTAAATAATACCTTATTAACTAGTAGTAGTTGTATATAATGTTGGTTTTAGTAGTTTATGTATTAAAAATATTTTGGTAAATTACCTACCTACTTGTAACTAAGTATTTAAACAAAGAAACAAGTTTGGGGGTGTTTAGTTTTTTTCAAGTAGCAAAGAAAAATATCTAAAATATATAATCATCATTTAATAAAATTTAAAATAAATAATATATGTATCACAAAAAGAATTATTTAACACTTAATAAGTAAGAGTACAATTTTAAATTTACTAAAGTTAATAATCTTTATTTTATTCATATTCTGATAATACCATCACTGTGAAACGAACTTCATCAGGATCACGATTTATGAATTCCATGCAAATTTTTGCAGCATCTTCTAAGAGATTTTCTGCAGTAGTAGGTCCATGATTTATAGGGAAAGCTTTATTGCCATCCAATTCATACAACATCCCATCTTTGTGCACAAATGCTATAAAATGATGATTCACAAGATCTTCAGGGCTGGAATTTGTTTGACCTTCTTCAGCCAATTCTTTATGAGCATTAATAATATTTGCAGATTTTGTAAAGAGAATTCCTCGTTCATCAGGATCCAGTGTTCTGGCTTCATCTAAGAACTTTTTCAAATAACCATCAGCAAGTTGTATTTTATCAAGATTGTTAGCTACACTATGGACGAGAGCTATAGTTCCACAAACATTACTTAGACACTGTTTCATATAAAAAACATTACTTGAAATTTCTTGGCCCTTAGACAAGATTTCACTTTCTTCTTTCTTTTTATGTTCTTCACTAGATGCAGATATAGGATATAGGAGCAAGACAGAAATAACCGGGCGAGGAACCCAAGACAGGCTTAAGGCATCTAAACCGATTACGTCCAGTATGCTCCAGTCGGGAGGAACTCCCAGTTTTTGAAGAAATTTAGTCATAACCTCAGGGTTGGATTCTATTGGTACCAAAACATCAGTTTCCATATTTTTCTAAACTATAAAGAACTTAGGTTACCGGTATATAAATATAATGCAATGAATTTCTGCAAGTAAACGGAAGTTTCTTCGAAGTAAACGGATTGTTCTGGAAGTAGTTATATTTTGAGACTTGGTAATATAAATTCTACGAAGGTATTTATTACTTGATTAATAGATTTCTTTGCTTGTAGGTATATCGAGGTTACTTTCACAGATCAGAAAAACTTAATAGGTAAGATATTATTATAATAATGGCCTACTTTCATTAATAAATTTATCACAATCATAGATAATAAAGGAATAGGAGTGGAGCGTTGTCTAATAAAATTAATTCGGAAGACTAAAAGTAACTAAAGGTAGTTTGTTTACAAGAATATATAGATAGTTGCAGTATTACCATCTCATTAATAGCGAATCTGCCATTTACCAAAATGCCAAAAATATGTCTACAAGAAAATGGAAAAAATACACAACGAATTCAATAAAATTACTTTAATAAACAAAAAAATTATATATTTAGAGGTAATTATTGATATTTTTAATTTATTATCGATAATTACCTCAAAATTTTCGTCTTCATTTTTCAAGTTTCCTACATACATTTTGAAGACATCTTTTTGATCATGGTTTTAGTTGGTCTTAAAGGAGACACTCAGTATTTCTTTATCTCCTGTTTTGTGCTAATTATAGCTGAAACATGTTGTTTTAGGAACCTATTCCTTATTTTTGTTTTGTTTAGATTTACCTTAGAGAATATTCTTTTGCACCAAGTGTTTTATATGGGTAAACATAATAAAACATAATAAACATCAGGAATGCCAACGCATGGGGGTATCATGGACAAAACAGTATACTCTGTTATGTCCATGGTACTGCTCCTGTCTATAGGCGACGGTTACCACTTTCCATCAGGTGGATCGTCAGCTTGTTTGCCATTCTAAGTTGTATAAAAAAAAAACTTTGTAGCCCTATTCGCGTCATGGATTTTTGCAATTGCTCCTCAAAATTTGTCTTTATTCAAAACTGTACTGGTGGTGCTACTTTCTCCTGATTCTAACCAAAGATTTAATTACTCCTTGTTCTTAGATTCGAACAAATATCTTACACTTTTATCAAATTTAATTTGTCGAAGTTTGTCATCAACTTTTTGAATGTTGTTTTCGACTACACTCGCGAGCAACCAAATCAATTCAGCCCTTGACAGCGCACATATGCATTGATTTTACTAAAACGACAAATGTCAATTATAAAAATGATATGGCATTCGAAAGCTTAAGATGTCAGCTTTAATTTGATATCATTATCATTGAAATCCATCAATTATTTCTTAAGTAAATGATGTCTGAACGTAAGAGTAGGAACAATGGGAATTTAGGAATAGGTCCCGTATTTTGGGAATAAAAAAAAAATTATAAAATTAAAAAAAAATATTAAATCAATACCTTCTATTGCCCCCTCTAGCCCTTATTAGAGCCTGCAGTCCGTTTTTCGTTGATATTATAATTTTTTTGACATTTTGTTGAGGAATGCCATCCCTCATCCACCAAAGTTAGTCGACCACGCTTAAATTCATTATATTAACGATACACGTTTGCCTTACAAGGGCCTTTATCCATGAATGCCATTTGAAGTCTATCGTACGATTTGTCCAGTTTCAGGCGACACTTAAAATTGTAAAAAATCATATTGCGAAAATGTTCTCGACACAAATCCATTTTTCAACGAGACACGGTAATTTTAATTAGCTCGCAAAAAATGTGGAGGGAAGTTTTGAATTTAGAACGTACCTATTTTTACTTATAATTAATCATATTTTTAAATAAATTATAACTGACCTGTCTCTATCGATGGTTTTCGTTTGGACCACATGAAACCCCACATCCTGCATATACACATATGTACAAAAATATATATATATATATATATATATATATATATATATATATATATATGCCAACCATGCGTTGGCATTCCTGATGTTTATATATATATATATATATATATATATATAATAGCAAATGCATAGTTTTAAGTGTTATTATGTAATAAAGTAAATTTAGAAAATTAAAATGTAAAAAACAAAATCAAGTCACTAAAATTTGGCTAAAGCGCATTGAGTTGCATATGTGAGTAACACACATGCGCAAACGAAAATAAACGTGTAGCGGAATTTGCTATGGATTACATTTGAAAGAATTTTGATACTTGTACACGTATTATTTTGAATGTATCTTAATAATGTATGTAATTATTAATGTGATATTTTTACTTAACTGAGTAAAGTAAACACTTGTTGGACTTTATAAATATAAAACATATAAATAACATGTCGTTAGATTGGTCTTGATTAAAAAAGTGCTAATAATGACCATAAATTATTATTATACTATGCTAATCTCAAAAATTGGAAAAAGAGCAGACAAATGAAATTATGGAAACATAAATTTATTTAATAATATTTTTATTGCACTAAATATTAGAAATACTTGTATCATACAACAAATACAAACAATAAATATGAGATAATTTAAATACAACAGTCAGTTACATTATTGCCATATTTACTTCTTCTAAAGATTTTAAATAATATAGACAATATAATATAATTCTAAATTTAATAACTACTAGCTGATGCCTGCGACTTTGACCGCGTGGTATTTGTTATTTCTGTTTAGTATATATTGATGTATGTACCCACTTATTTATTATGTCTGGGCAAACTGGAACAAGATTTCAAATGACATGTCATTCTCACTCTTTGCCTTAGATCGAAATGACTTAAATAGGTTGTGTACTAAGGTGTATAAGTTACTATAGGTTTTTAACTATCCCACGGGAACTCTTTATTTATTATTTTATTTCTCTTAATTTTCCGTTATTAAAAGTAGTTATATAAAATGTTGAACGGAGATGTAAGGTACTACCACGCAAAATTTCATTGAAATCGGTCTAACAGTTTCGGAGATTACCTATAGCCCGTACAAACAAACATCTGGATGTGTTCTATTTCACTTCTAACATCCCCCTGACTCGTTTTCTCAGTTTTATTATATTTATAGATATTGTATATTTTAAGTGAAAGTAAAACAAAGTTTTGTTAGACAATAACATTATTTAAACCTAAGTACCTATCTTACTAATATAATAAAACTGTAACTAGACGTTGTCTATATCGAATTGTAATTTAAGAAAATTATTATAAGGGGTCTAAATATGACTAATAGAAGCCAAAACAATATTTTTCTGAAATTTTGTTTGTATGTTTGTTCCGGCATCACACAAAAACAACTGCAATCAAATTGTTTACGATTTTTAAAATTAGGTATTTCTCTGTTAGTTTGTCATGTCTAACAAGAGAATGGCTTATATGACAATATTCATTGAAATTATATGATATTGGTGCGCTCGATATTTGCTTTGAGACAATATGATTCAAATAATATACTTTCTGATGGAGATTGAGAGTTAAATAAAAAATACTCATATTTTATTATTCATTTTCATTAAATGGAAATAATAATTGAAAACTACGTTCATTCATTCAAATAATGCATTGTATTTGTAGCTGCTGGACAAAAAAATAAGTAGAATGATCTACAAAAAGAAATGAGATGTCATCAAAAACAAAAAAAAAATGTAAAAAAAAAATCCTCACTATAAGAGTTATATTGTGAGATCTCATGTAAAATTAAGTCAGTTTCAAATATTAGAAATTTTTATACTTATAATAATTATATTCACTTGGCCACTACACAGCACCATAATTATAAAAGAATAATCTAATACAAAATCTACTATTTAGATTAGGTAAATCTAATCACCAGAGGGGAAAATTTTAACGAAATAACGACTTTTGTACGAATGGGACAGAGTCCTAATGTATATGTAATTGTTTATCTACTACAATTTTTAATTTTTCACCACATAATTACATTAGTTTTGTCAAAAGTTGACTAGAAGAGAATGCTATATACACTAATGAAAAAAATTAAGGGATCAAAAAAATGACGAATTTTTAGGTGATATTCAATAGGCTGTAACTTGGAGAAAAATCATCGTAGAGACTTTTTAGAAAAAAGCAAATTGTAGCTCCAAGTGTGTAATTTTTGGGTCTAAACTCGAAAAATATTTCCACACAACCACACAAAAATAGTTAAAAATTTTTATTACGTCTATGGTCTTTTAAATTTTTTTTGACATAATCACCATATGGACCAGATAACTTGTTTATTCAACTTCAAATTACTTTTTTAAATCCTCATTTTCGCGGAGATATCGGACTTTAAATGAAAAAGAATCATTTTGTCTTTGATTAACAATATCTCTGCAACTATTGATCGGGCAGAAAGTTGAAGGTGGGTTTCGGAAACTTGAATAAATTTTCTACAATGATGAGCAATTAATTTTTTAAAAAAAATTTTTTTCGATTTGGACATGTTTTTGAAAATACAGCAAAAAAAAGAGCTTTTGATGTTTTTTGCAAAGTAAAGCGTTAAATAAAAAATATTGAGGAAACCTCTAATGTTAAGTGTGCCTTTTACAGTTCAATATACCCACAAAGTTTCAATTTAATCCATTCAGCCGATTCTTTGTTTTACTCGATAAATTTTTTGAAAAAATTGAAGGTTCACATTTTTCGCTCCAAAAAGCACATAATCTTTAAAAATGAAAAAATCTTGTTTTTAAAAATCTTTGAATTAAAGATTTTTTTATTAAAAAAATTTTTTTCGATAATTCAGAAAATTATTGATTTCCAATTTTTTAACACAGTTTGCAATAAAAATGTGCAAAAAACCGAGATTTTTTTTTCATTTTTTAAGGATTATGAGCTTATTGGTACGAAAAAGCACACTTAACATTAGAAGCTGACGGCCCACCTAATGGAAAGTGGTAACCGTCGCCTATAGACATGAGCAGTACCATGGACATAACAGTATACTGTTTCGCCCATGATAACCCCATGCGTTGCCATTTCTCAATATTTTCCATTTAGCGCTTTACTTTGTAAAAAACCATCAGAAACCTCATTTTTGTTGTATTTTCAAAAACATGTTAACAATGAAAAAAATTTTTTTCAAAACACAATGGCTTATCTGACTAGGGAATTTATTCAAGTTTCCGGAACCCACCTTCAAGTTTCTGTGCGATTATTAGTTGCAGAGATATTGTTAGTCAAATACAAAATTATCCTTTTTTATTCAAAGTCCGATATCCCCGCGAAAAATGATCGTATAGAGGATTTAAAAAAGTAATTTGAATCTGAATAAACAAGTTATTTGATAGACGTAAAAAAAGCAAAAATTTCAAAATTACCTGAAAAAAATTGGAATGAAAAATTTTTCGACTTTAGACTCTACAATTTTTCACCAAGTTACAGCTTTTTGAAAATCACCTAAAAGTTTGATTTTTTTTATACAACAGTATGGCTAACAAGCTGACGGTCCACCTGATGGAAAGTGGTAACCGTCGCCTATAGACATGAGCAGTACCATGGACATAACAGTATACTGTTTCGCCCATGATACCCCCCATGCGTTGCCATTCCTGAGAATATAGATGTTATTCCTCTGTACCCTGTAAATTCACGCCATATCCCACCCTTCAAACCGAAACACAGCCATAAAAACACAACTGCTTTACGGTTGAAATACGAATGGGACAGAGGTACCCAAGCAATCTACTTTTGTAGTCTCCCTCTGGTCATCCCTTAATTTTTTCCATTAGTGTAGTATTAAGTCCACCTTTTGTACCAGACATTTTTTGTAATATGTCAATAAAGAATAAATAAATAATCACTGCCAATAGTAGTAAAATTAAACACAGAAGTGTGGGACATATTACTCATAATATTAAAAATAATAAAAACCTCAATCTTCATTTAGAAAAACTATTACATGTATTTAATAGAAAATGTCTGAGAGCAGCAGTGGTCTATGAACCGGCACATTGACTATTCTTTTGAGACTTCATTCTTTCTTCACTAATTTCTGATTTTGTTAAGATTTTATAATTTTTAGGATCTGCAATTTTTTGGGATAAAAATATATACTAAAATGTTTTATATAATAAAACATGAATAAAGTTACAAAAATCAATAAATACTTTATTGTATCACAAAAGCTTGCTTATATTGCACCTTTTTTTGTTTCACAAATAAAGCTCAGTTGCCGAGTACAGTAAGCCATAGATTATTAAGTGCCACATAGTCACATCAAATTTCCTAATTCTCATATATAGGTTATCATGTAAAATGAGAAAACAGGCAATAGACATTTGTGGTATGATCTAGACTAAGTCAATTTAGGAAAATTTCTATATCTGACTGAGAATTGAACCTGGCATACTTTTTAAGCAAAGCAACACCCTACCCCTGTGCCAAGCATATTGTCACAACAAAGGTAGAATAATAATAAAAATTGATGATATTTTTGAAGATAATTTAGTTGGAAGCTGCTAAAGCCATCACAGTAAAACGAACTTCATTAGGATCACGAGCCATGAATTCTTTGCAAATTTTAGCAGCATCTTCTAATAGATTATCTGGTGTAGTAGGTCCATGATTGATAGGGAAAGCCTTTCTGCCATCTAATTCATATAATGCTCCATTTTTGTGTACAAATGCTACAAAATGATGATCAACAGGTTCTTCGGCACTGGGGGTATTAGTTTGACCCTCTTGAGCCAATTCTTTATGAGCATTGATAATGCCTTCAGTCTTTGCAAACAGAGTTCCTCGAGCAGCAGCATCTAATGGTTTGGCTTCTTCTATAAATTTTTTCATAGGGCCATCAGAAAGCTGGATTTTATCACAATTGTTGGCGACACTGTGTACCAGAGCTACAGTGCCACAAGCATTACTTACATTTTGTTTCATATAAAAAATGTCACTTGAAACTTCTTGGCCCTTAGCCAATATTTCACTTTCCTCTTTCTTTTTATGATCTTCATATGCAGCAGATACAGGAAACAGCAGCATAACAGAAATAGTCGGACGAGGAACCCAAGACAGCATCTCAGAATCTAAGCCCATTACATCGACTATGCTCCAATTAGATGGAACACCTAATTTTTGAAGGAATTTATTCATAACCTCAGGATTTGATTCTATAGGTACTAAGGTATCAGACGCCATTTTATCTGTAATTTGAAACAAAAAGGTTACCGGCAATTTGTTAGTGACTGCTTTAGGGTAGGTGTAGTTAGAGGAAAGTTAGTAGACTTACATTTATATTTCAACGCAAAACTTATGGAACACAATCAAAGGATAGTGAATTGATTAGATGGAATTTTAGCAACTAGAAGTCGAGAGGCAGAGAAAAATCAATAAATGAAATGAATAAACCCACCTAGGTAAGTACCTAAATTTCTAGACTTTCAGAATTTAAAATATACACAGATTAAAAAGAATATGATCAGACAAAATTTGACATTGACAATATTTGAAGTTGTTTATTGGGGATTTAGCATTTTTCTTTATGGCAATATAGCAGTGAATGTTGTCATCCCAGCTGCAAGCTTAGTAGGTAAATTGTGCCAAGAAGCAGATTTTAAGATTTGGAGACTTAGTTAATTAGTACATTAATAATACAAAATCATAATAAAAAACATTTTTTTTCTTTTTCTAGTCTGCTAATTGGCAATCTGTTCCTTATAGAACACTAATCCAATCTGCTGTTTGGATGTCAGGTTTAAATATTGTTAATATATGATGAGGGCAATCCATAACCAGCTCTCAATCTCTGTCTGTAAATCTTTCTACCAGTCCTTGGATACTATATCTTTTTAATCGAGAGAAAGTAATGCTTCCCGATCCCTGTAATTGAGCGGCCAATTCATTTCTGTGCTTATTCAATCTGGACTGATAGTTTTTACTAAATGTCTCGATTTCCTGTTTTATCGTTTTCAGTTTGATGTCCATATTCATAAATTTATTACTTATATATTGTGGCATATTAAACATGTTTCTTATTGTCTTACTTTGGAACCTTTCCAATATTTCTATATTGCTGTTACTAGCTGAGCCCAAAAGTTGTATGCCATATGTCCAAATAGGTTTGATGATGGTTTTGTATATGGTCATGCAATCATATGTCAGTCGGAATTAACGTTCTATAAGCTAGTACAGCTACAGATTTTTGTGACTAGTTGTTTACGTTTAGTCCATATATGCTTTTGCCAGGTGAGTCAGCGGTCTAAGTGCATACCCAGGTACTTAACATCATCTGCCTGAGGTACTTATTCATTGTGTAACAGGACAGGCGGACATATTTTTCTTCTCAGTGTGAAGGTTACATGAATAGATTTGTATTTGTTGACTTTAATACGCCATTTTTCAAACCATTGTTCAACCATAATAAGATGTCTTTGGAGATTTTCCGATGCTATTTTTGGGTCTTTGTGAACAGACAGGAAGGCTCTGTCGTTCGCATATGTAGCAGTGGTGGTGACATCTTTGAGTATTGGTAAATCAGCAGTGAAAATCAGATACAGGACTGGACCCAAAATGCTGCCCTGTGGCACTCCAGAAAGTATTTCATGCATTTATAAAGCTCGTCATTATGTTTTACTTCAAAGCATCTTTTATTTAAATACGATTTTATTATTTGAAAGAAAGAGTGAGGAAGCGCCTGTTTAATTTTGAATAGAAGCCTGTCAAGCCAGACTTTATCAAATTCAGAAATATAGCAGAGCAGTATTTTTTTCCAGGGCTCTGTTTATGGTGTCAATTAAACGATGGACTTGTTTGATCGTACTGTGTCCCTCCCTGAATTACATAGAAGGAATGATAAAATATAAACATTAAATCATATGGTTGCCTCTTTTCTTACTATGCTAATATCATTAGCAAAAAGAGGATGTGATATATATATATATATATATATATATATACACACTATCAGTTACTTTTTTCTCGATTCGTAGTAGGCTAGTATATAGAAAATGTTATACGACTGTATAACTCTATGGATGGTGCATCTTTCGTCCTGTTTTTATTAATTATATTTGCATAAGAAGAAAGGAGAAAATCCCGATTGGGATAACGCTCATGATACATACGTGCTGCTTGCTGAGCATTCCCATCACAGAGACCGTAAATAAAAAACATTTCTGCATATTCACGTGGAGTGTATATATTAGGAATTTTCCTTCAAAAAACCAAGTTAAACAATATCCACATCACAAGCAAAATCAAGGTCCAATTCAAGCGTACTTCAACAAACAATAATATCGTAATGACGGGATTGAGTTAAACACATATGTAGTTCCAAGCTATAAGCAAGTCACTGAAAGTGTTGAGAGATAAAGAAAGGGAGAGTGAGTTCAAGTGTCGTCTATGATTGATCGGAAATAATACAAAAGATTTCCAGCGCGCGCCCATATGCGCAATTATTCTCGAAATAATATAATGGGTTGACTAACTGATAAGTTCTAAGTTTGAGCGCTGTACGTAAATTAAACATTTTTTAAATAAAATTACCCCAGAATTATACCTTATTTGGAATAAGTATGAGATGTAGATGTATTGAAAATAAAGTTTCAAAACGTTACAATACATTTTTTCTACACCAGCTTTGTTTAAATTTCAGTTAGAAAACTTTTAAACGTAAAGTTTGCATCTAGTTTATGTAATAATTTTCTTGTTGTTGTTCAATATGCTTGAATCTCATTTTAATTAGGAAGACTAATGTATTCTTATAACTACCTTGAACAAAAAACAACAATAAAATAAAAAAAAACAAATATGGTAAAATTTAATATTTAGCTTACATGGATGATATTTTCACCACATTTTGAAAACACAGCCTAATTTAATAACTACAAGACCTAGGACTATAAATTTTAGTATTTTTGTTAGAACAATAAGTCTCACTACCGCCCATAACCCGTTGGTCCACTACTAACGGGACAGTCTGTATACTCTTTGGTCTTTCTAATCTGTGTTTTATATGTAATTTTTGATGTTTGTTTAATATTTTTATTGTTTTTTTACTGGTTATCTTTTAGACTATTAATATTAAAAGCTAGTTATTTAAATGCAAAGACATTAAACAGTACTATACGAGCATAAAGCAGAACATTTTAGCTCAGATATAAATGAAATAATGTACCTACCTACTCTGTGGCTGTGATGGCACAACTGTAACTTATATGATTTTGTATTTTATTCACCAATTATTCGTACATAAATTTCTAGTTTCAACTTTAAAGTATTATGTGAATTAGTGTGAGTCTAGAATGAAGAATAGTGATAAAAGCAATAAATTTTCTTGAAAATGGCTGTTTGTGGATTGAGGACTTTGATGCTGATAGTCTGTGTGATAGAGTTGGTAAGGGCATCATAGGAACTTTTTTTTGAACTTTTTAATAAATATGTAATTTATAATGCGTTCACTTTTTAAATTTCAGATTTTTACTATACAACGCCAAGTATTCGACTTTTTGGGGTATATGTGGTTGCCTATTATTGCTAACTTTACAAATATTCTGCTGATCATATTTGGATCTTTTGGAGCAGTTCAATATATTACAAATTACATTATAGCAGTAAGTATACAACATTACAAATATACAACACACAAAGTTAATTAAAAAGTAAAAAAAAATAAGTTTTTATTCAATAAAGTCGGTGTAAGTCAAAGTACAAAACTTTCACTATTCTAACCATGCTTACAGTGCTTGTTCATAATTAAAATTATAATTACAACTTCCAATACTTACAAAATATCTTTGATTTACACAGGTTATTGTCAAATATTATAACTAATTGTTCCCTGGGATTCTTCTCATGCACATCAATGTATAAATTATCCTATGTGTTAGGATATAACTTACTCATGTACTAAATTTCATTCAAATCTGTTCAGCTTTTTAGTATGATTGAATAACAAACATTCATCCTCACAAACTTTCGCATTTATAATAGTCATACTCATACATATAGTAGGAAGTTGAATACCATCTAACCTCCTTATTTATAAAAACACAAACTTCTAAGAAACTTGTTTTAGTTATGGTAGTGTTGTCTTTTCATTTTTTATATATAGAGTGAAATAAAAATAATTTCATTCTATGAAGTGAGTGTTCTGCAGGAGAAATTGCACATTTTCATTAAAAAAAAATGTGGGTCTAAATAGTGCATATCATTTATTTAACAATTACGGGATGTAGTTTGGGAAATACTGATATTTTCTTTATTTTTATATAATAAACAATTAATTGTAAGTGAGTCCATTAAAAAAGTTACATCCTTATATAAACTTTTACCCCTATATTTATATCCTTAGGGGTAATATTATGATAAATCCTTTCTTATCTTTACTGAGCTAATATTATACTATCTAATGATGGTTGTGTGCTGTTGTCTGAGATACAGGTTTTATAACCTACTTCAGACACAGATGATTAAACTGATCCAAATGTATAAATAAATTTGTACCTACTTTTACTATAATTTCTAGTGCTGAGTTTGTTATAATCATGGTTATGTAATAAAGTTATTATTATTGAGTAAAAAATTTTTTTTATACAACTTAGAATGGCAAACAAGCTGATGGCCCACCTGATGGAAAGTGGTAACCATCGCCTATAGATTAATTACCCTGTAAATTCACGCCATATCCCACCCTTCAAACCGAAACACAGCCATTCAAACAATTCAAACGAGACATGGGCGGTACTGCAGTTCCTCCAGCGGTGCCAGATTGTCTATATGTATATCAAAGTGTTGAAGTGTATATACAATAAGGTTACATTGTCTATCCGAGTACAGAACTAGAGTATGAAACCCATCCCAGTACAGAAAAGAGTAAAACAGGGTGATGTCATATCCCCGAAACTCTTCACAGCTGCATTGGAAGATGTTTTCAAACTCTTGGAGTGGAAAAGATATGATATAAACATCAATGGTAAATATATCACTCACCTTCGATTTTCTGAGGACATAATAATCATGGCGGAATCGCTGGAGGATCTGAATACTATGCTCAATGACCTCAATGGTGTTTCTCAACAGGTAGGTCTTAAGATGAACATGGACAAGACTAAAATCATGTCTAACGTCCATGTTATACCTATACCCGTTACGATTGAGAACACAACGCTCGAAGTTGTCGATGAGTATGTATACCTGGGACAAGTTATCCGAATGGATAAATCCAACTTCGACCGAGAGGTCAACTGACGAATCCTACTCGGCTGGGCAGCGTTCAGAAAACTACGCCATATTTTTTTTTTATCTAAAATAGCTCAAAGTTTAAAACGAAGGTCTTTAAAAACCAGTGCGTGTTGTCAGTGATGACTTATGGAACCGAAACATGGTCCTACATGATTGTTCGTATGCAAAAACTTCAAATTACTCAGCGGGCTATGGAGAGAGCTATGCTCGGAGTCTCTTTGCGTGATAGAATCCGAAACGAAGATATCTGCAAAGGAACCAAAATAACCGACATAGCTCGACGGATAAGCAAGCTAAAGTGGCAAAGGGCTGGTCACATAGCTCGAAGAACCGATAACCGATAGGGAAGAAAAGTTCTTGAGTAGTGACCCCGTACGGGCAAGCGCAGTGTGGGACGACCCCCCACTAGATGGGGACGACTTGAAATCCATTGCAAGGATTCAGTGCATGCAGGTAGCTCAGGATCATTCTTTATGGCAGTCTATGGAGGAGGCTTATGTCCAGCAGTGGACGGATAATGACTGAAATGATGATAGTGGATATTTATTTTCAAACGTTCTTTTATGTGTTAAAAATTGTTGGTACATATATTTTTTTCAATTATAGGACAATGTGAAATACAGTATATTATTTTATTATATTGTAGTATATTATAATGTTTTACTTCTTTTACAGTATGCAATATGGAGTTTTATGTGGCTAACATGGAATGTATTTTTGATTTGCTACTATCTAAATTTGGGAACATTGAATAGAGTAAGTTGTATTTTGTTAAGTTTCCTAAGTATATACTATATTGTAATGTAATTACTACGTTTAACTTACATGTAATTAGGTCCAGAATGCTCGACTAGTTTCGAGATCATTCGGGACTCTTAATCATGAGCGGCTGCAATTCGAGCACGAGCCTGACTGCATACCTCGTGAGCCACTCGCCATCTTTCTTAGCTGTGACGGTGCTGCGAACGCCTATAGCTCGTTCTTAGTGGGCCAAAGCGCACTGTCAGGCTTGTGCTCGCGTCACAGCTGTTCATCATTAAGGGTCCGAAATGGTCCCAAAACTAGTTGAGTTTTCTTGATTTAATTATATGTAAGTTAAACTGGTAATAATTATATTAAAATAGAGTAAGTTGTAATAAATTATTATGAATGACAATGTTTGGAAATTACGCAAAATCTATCTCCACAGCGTAGACAGTCTAAGCTATAGTTTATTGTGGTCTTGAAATCATAGGCGTATAGATGTAATTGTAGAGATATATAAAATTTTATAATTAGTCTGTTGCAAAAAATATTATTTTTTTTGTTCTGAAGGGTTTTGAATGTATATTGAATGGGTAATGAATTTAGATTTGTTGTCACAGGAGAATAATAAACACAAATACTTCTAAATGTAATCTCAAAAGTACTTTATTTTATATTACAGGAAAGTGGTTTGCTGTCTTTAGGGACCGACAGTGTAAGCTGGTGGGAGAGTAATGGGTGGGGATGTCAGCCAGTGTGGGACGGGGAAGAAAGGCCCGGTACTTGGCGACCTGCTCGTGTAGATGGTTGTTTCCTTCAGTGGTACTATGTTGAGCTTGGACAGTCCATTTTAGCAGCTCTACTTACTACTATTGCCTTGCCACTCGCAGTAATCTTGGCTTTTAAATCAGTTAACAAAAGGAAGACGGCATCAGGTATAGCTTAACCTATATTTTTTATTTGTATGTTTTAATGCATAACACGTTTCATGAATAAAATTTCATTTACTGTAACAATCTATTAATATGATATTAACTGAGCACTCTCTGTGAGAAAACGATATCATTTTGTTATTATTTAAATAAAGTTTTCATTTCAATGCTTTCTTCTCTTGCATAGGTGTATTAGTGGAGATACTATATATTAGTTTTAACAAAAACTCCATACACAAATCTTTAAAGTTGCATTTCCTTATCTAAAATGTTTAATTCTAATTATGACAATAACCATAAAACTTTTGTTACAGAGAAAGGGACTCTACAAAGACGTACTGTTTACACAATGGAGTTGAGTCCAACGGAAACAACTACAAGTGAAGGATCTTTAAAACCGATGACACCTCGTCGTGTAAAACGTAGATCTGGTTCAAGAGGAGCTGGCTCATCTGTACGCAGATCGCGTCGGTCATATAGAAATGCTGGATACTTAGCATCCAGCGGTTCTTTACCTCGTGAAGGGCGACCTTCTCGTCCTACTTCGGCACATTCTTCATATTCCAATTTTCATGGCGCTCGACCTGCTTCCTATCATGCTCCTGAAAGAGACGCGATGTCACGTACTCAAGATGCTTACGATCCATCGCAGCCGCCTTCTGAATCTGTTCCTATAAAAACTAATAGGTATGATACCGTGAGAAGAGTTCACAAGAACTCCGGTTACGACGTCGTTGGACCTTACAACGAGCCCAACGGTGGTTGCGGTCCTCCTAGAACTTACGATCGTAACTTATCGCCCTACGATAATATAAGCCGTGGATACGAGACTGCATCAAGCTACGACAACAGGATGGATATGGATGCGGTCACGCAATGTGAATCTCCATCATACGGCGGTAGTACATACGGCGCAGTGAATAGCTACGGGGCTGCAGACGGCGCCTGGGATGTGCCGCCGCCTGCGCCGCCGGCGCCCGCCTACTGCGCGCGCGCCACGCCGCAAGCGCCGGGCCCGCCCGCTTACCAACCAGTAAATGACGCTTATCTAGTGCCTTGACCTAGACCTTGCATTAACGACGTGCCTTATTCTCAGTGACATTTACTTTATAGAATGGATTAGATAAATTAACAATTCTTTGAAAAATATCTTGCACTATGATGAATTTATTGAAGGTGGTTGTGAAAGAAGTGTAAAATGTTAAATGAATAGACATTGTACTTAGCTCAAGTTTAACAACGCGTTATATTTATATTTTTTATAATAATATAATGTTTATTCATTTATATTTTATATCTTATAACAATCATTCTGTGTTAGACTACAAAATATTGTTATAAAATCTTACATGTTTGGGTATTTGTACTAAAGAATCTCATTAGTCTTTGTTATTGATGTATGTAATACATTCCTTTTTATAACTTAGCTTTAATTCTTTTTTAATTATCTCAATTAATTTTTTTACCATAGTTAAAATGTAGAATAAAGGATAATACTTAAAAGAAAAAAAAAAACATCAGTTTAACTTTTTTTGATTGTATGTATTTACACATTGACGTTAAATATTGTATTGTTCGGCACTTTTACTTATAATTCTCAGTGTACTTTTGTTATTTGAGATTAGAAAGTAGGCAATTGATTGACTTTAAATTGATGTTTGCCTATCTGTTAAATATTTAAAAGAAATGTCCGTCCTATATAAGTCTGCTATTTTATAAATGTATCATTATTGATCTGTTAATGATCATTATTGCCATTTACGTGTTTGTATGAATGTTTACATTCCAGTGTTCCACTCCACTATTGTAGTAACTATACAATGAGCTTTATTAGATTAAGTAAGTATTAATAAGGTTATAATTATTTAAGCCACACTTTTGGCAAAAAATTGTACCAAATATATGCCGACTACAATTTATTAACTGACTTTTGTATTTTTTTTATACAACTTAGAATGGCAAACAAGCTGACGGCCAACCTGATGAAAAGTGGTAACCGTCGCCTATAGATATGAGCAGTACCATGGACATAACAGAGTATACTGTTTCGCCTATGATACCCCCCATGCGTTGCCATTCCTGAGGACTCGGATGTTATTCCTCTGTACCCTGTAAATTCACGCCATATCCCACCCTTCAAACCGAAACACAGCCATGCAAATACAACTGCTTTACGGTAGAAACATGAATGGGTCAGAGGTCAATTGTCCTAATTTGAATTTGTCTTCTATCGCAATATTTTTTTTTAAAATAAGGTGTTACTGTCAATAAGAAGTTTCATGAATGAAGGTGATGTTTAGATAAAATTAAAGTCCGATATACCGAGCATTGAAATTGTATTTCAATATAATAATTTCTAAAAATACAATCCGACTCTTAGAACAATTGGAAAATTATCACAAAATATTATTTATAATACAGTAGTTCGTTAAACAAAATGCACTTATATTATGTTTCCGGTATCGCTTTATATAGTTCATTCACTCATCAAAAATCTCAATAAAACACTATCTAGGTGCCAATCTACTATTTACGTATGATTCAATAGAATAACAATTAAGTAGTCATAAATAAATATTATTGACTTTATTTTATACATTTGTATGACTACAATATTCCACTGTCAATATATAAATTACTAACGTGACTAATTATACCGATAATATTGAAATAAGGGTTAGTTTGAACAAAGTATACCGGTTATCATTCGACCACCGTCGACCATTCAATCCGACACACTATCAATATATACTGCTTATCATTTAAATGGATATCTATATAAACTCCTTTAAAAAAAAGGGGCGCTTACGTTTTCGAATAACCAGAAATGAAGTGAAATATCATTTACTAAGAGTAATATTTGGTCTGTAATTCAAACTAAAATTTGGCTCTTCTTGTTACTGTAAAAGTGCCCCTTTTTTTTTGCAAAGGAGTATATTATTATATAGATATGGCCCGATCCGAGGCGTCAGTAGATTGATAATTCAAATGCCACTTATATGGCGGGTAAAGTTCGCCTCTCGCTTGGTGTGAGGTCGGGGTGCCACACGTCTACGATGAGTACCAGCCTTGTGCCGGTTCCGTTGTGCCACACTTCATGTTCGAAGCTGTCGTCGAACATGAACACTTTACCGACTTGCCACTGCCTGAAATGTTTATAAATATAATAAATATCACTCCTTAATAACAAAAAAAAATATATATATTAAAATATATATTTTTCCAATGGCCAAGAGTGACGGATTCCGTAGGCATGTAGTACGTGAAATAAAAAAAAGAGGAAAGAAACCAAGAATAGATTTAATAAAAGAAAAGAATGTACTATTATTTTATGGTTTCATTGGAATAGTAAATACATTAATGGGTTGTCCGACGAAAAGTGCTAAGTATTACCTGTACACACGAACATCACTATGAATATTACAGAATAGTTAATGCCCGCGACTTTGTCCGCATGGTATTTGTTATTCTTTCGATAAACATTTTAACCTCTTTATTGTAGTGAAGACGTGTCGTTCTCATTCTTTGCCTTAGGTCAAAATGACTTTAATAGGTCGTGTATTATATATTAAGCTGTATAAGTTACTATAGTTTTTTAATTATCCCACGGTAACTCTAATTTTCCGTGATTCAAAATCTCTAAAACGTTGATCGTAGATGTTAGGTGTGGTACCTTACATCATGATGCTACATGCAAAATTTCATTTAAATTGGTCCAACGATTCGTAGTCCCGTCCAAACAGACAAACAGATAGGGAAACAAAAAATATGAAAAAAACTGGACGTTTTTTAATTCACTTCTAACATCCCCCTGATTCGGTATTTTAGCTTTTTTTTCTATGTACAGACATTCGACCTCTACATTTTTATTGTATGTATAGATTAGATGTCGGTTGCAATGAGTATAAAGAATATAATAATATGTTGTTTTACCTAGTTGTTTGGTCGACTCTTATAAACGTATCTTTGGTATTGCTTAGACCTAAGTGCATTCTCAAACGGCAATTAGTCGGGCCGACGTGCGGCCGTACATGTGTGCCTGGCTCAATGGCGCTGAACTTGATTTGCCCGCGGCGACAGCCAACTGCTGCTGCCTCTGCTCGCACTATCGAGCAAGTCACTGGCGCTCTCTTACATCTATTTGGGATTTCCTGACCCCGCACAAACAAATCTAACTGCGACCATTCGCCGCGCTCTTTCAGCCCTTCTTTTTCTTTCTCGTAAATAGCTTTAGCAGCTTCGCCTTCTTTTAAAATATCCCTCCATGACTTTTCTAAAGCACGTGCAAGCTTTGCGTACGGCGTTTCATCTATGTTCCACCATGGTTTACTTTTTAACCGGGGTACGTTGTATAAAGAGCGCTGTGCCGGAGATAAGAAATGCCCTAGTGCTGCTCCTTTTTTATGAACCTCATGTGCCTCTGCATGTCGACCGAGTAATAAGAATGTGTCACCATAGTGGTAATAGAAGCGAGGCTCGTTGGCAGCACCGGCGTCCCCTTCGAGGGCTTTTTGGAAAGCGGCTAGAGCTTCTTCTAGTCTATTATGTTGAGTTTTCAAAATGAATCCGTAATGGGCCAATGCAACCCGGTCATCTGGCCAAAGTTGTAAAGTTTCTTTAAGTACGCCCTCAGCTAAATCAGCCCTAAAATATTTATTTCCCATTATTATTTATTTATTCAAAGATTTATACTTTATTATATACAAAAATTACATTATTATAATTTATTTTAAATAAAGATGTACAACAGGCGAGCTTAGCTCTGCAAGAGTTCTCTTTCAGCAAACCCTGAGTGGAAAGGAGTATTCATTACTAATTATTAGTTAATATTTTTTATAACGAATATCCTATTCAATTAAAATTAATTATATAATGAAGTGATAAATACCTGTTAGCCATAAGAAAGGAGATCGTCAAGTTATTTCGGTACTCCAGCTTATCAGGGAATCTGCGTATTAATATTTTGTAAACAGGCTCTGCACTTAGGTAACTTCCTGAAATTGGTGTAACCAAAAAAATAATTTTATGAAGTAAAGTTTGATAACAGAACTGGTAAAAAAAAAAAAAAAAACTATAATCAAAGCATCCAACTTAAACATTGGCTTAATAAAGTAACTAGCTAAACCTATTATGACACTAACCTCTGAACTTAATTCGGTCCAATGCTCGGTTAGTAACTTCTAGTAGTTTCTTATCGGATAGGCGTTCATTCATTTTGAGCAGGTGTAGATATGCGGTGATTGCCCGTGACAGGAGGCGGTTGTCGCGGCGTGCTTCAGCCTGCAAGTCGAGCAAGCGCGCCACGAGCCACTGCGCGCGCGCACTGTCGCGCAACGTTGCCGCTGCTGCTTCTGCTCTCTCCGCAACCGCTGCCCAAGAGCCCTCCGCGCCAACAGTTAGTACACAACACTCGCACACATCGTACACACTCGTGGCTTCTTTCGACCACACTGATACTCATTTACGACATATTAAGGTGGAAGTAGACTAAAAGAACAAGGTATAAAACTTCGCCAATGTAATCGAGCAATGAAAGAACTTTTAAAGAATGCTCTTGACACGTTTACACTAAGTAAAAATTGCGAGAATTTGGAAATCCTAGTATTTCCTTGTTTGATCTAATTCCACCTATAGTAAAATTTGGAAAACATTGGAAATATATGGAAAAATTTTTGAAATAGATTTCTAGAGTAATATCATGCAAGATCTCACGTACACGTTTTCTAATTTCTAAGGGTAAAAGGCATCGGTGACGCCCTCGGGGGAGAGGTACGCGGGGTGCGGGCGAACCTCTCAGCCCGGTGGCGCCGCCGACGGCATGTATAAGGAAAATGGCACAACGAGCAAAGAATTGAAGTAAAAAATTATGCAAAACGAGTTAGTCTAGCCACTCCTGAAACCGGATAATATATATCAATTAAAAATCTATGTTCTTGTTTAGATAAAAAATATGTAAGTAAAAACGCCGTTGGTGTATTCGAATAGCGGATAGAGCAACAAGCGTGCAAATACTAAGATTGTAATGAGAATTCGATATAGAAATTTCCATGCATATATTTTCAAAAATAAAACTAGTACTATGATTTGACAAAATGTGATAGAAAGAGACATGAATTATCAAAAAAAAAAGACAAAAATTGAAGCTCTATTTCGATGAAATTTAAATGAGTTGTATCAAAATCTAGTTTATTATTAGATTTTATAAATATTCATGCAATTAGATGACAAAAAGTTAAATCTCAACAAGTCACACAAGAGAAGAGAATACACCAACAAGGTTTTTCCAAAAATAATATATAACAACTAATAATTAATAATAACAATATCCCATAATAAAGCTTTCAATAGGAATTATTTTCATTCAGTTTTCTTACGTAGTCTAATTGAAAGTAATAAATTAATATTGCAGACATTTCATCGCTAAATGCAAAGATTTTTGCACGTTCTCACAGTCAGAGTAGGTCTTGTTGTTTTCCTACGCAATTAAATTTTTCGCAAAAAGGGATTTTAATCGTGAGCACACACACTCCAATGAGTGAAGAGTTGTTTTGTAGACGTATTAGATTTAAAAATTTCGAATTTATTTGTAGAACGTGGAGTAGTGTTTCTATAAATAGATTTTGCTTTGCAATAATCAATTTTTTGTCGTGTTAAGAAAACCGACAATCAGTTGTCACAAAATAAAGTATGCTGCTAACGCTGTAGGAATGGGCCTATGCACTTTCCTAGGTAGTTTCAAAACCTTTGGTAGAATTCAGTATGATTCAAGTATTAAATAAAGTGGGTATCGGTTATTAAAATTAAGTACCTGTTGGAGTTGTTCCTCAACAGAATCGAGCTCTTGGCGCCAGAACGGGTCGCTTGGTTCACCCGGCCACTGGTCTTCTATGCTGTTACCTCCGTCTTCTAAAAAGAAAGATTATATTTTTTGTATTGTTAAAATATCTAAACGTACAATTGTATTATTGATAACTGTTACCTATGACTACGTATTTGTAACTGAACCTAACGTGTATTTAGTACGGCAAAAATAGAAATTCAATATATTTTCATATTGGCCTATTTAGAACAGAATACATATTCACTATGTAGTCTCTCAGTCAAATAAATAAATCAAAGAAAATGGGTGTACCTATTTATTTCGTATCATATGTAAATAAAAATTGCTCAGCTCTGGATTAGAGCAATTTATATTGTTTGATATTACTGTTGATCTGTCGCAGGATATTATTATTAATTAACAGACGACAAGATTAGTTTTTAGTGTGTTATAGTTTCTGGTATAGTGTGGTCGATCAGTACAACCAACAAAGCAAAATCAATCATTTGCATAAATTTCTAGATTTTTGTTTTCAACTGACTTATCGTCTCAACCAATCGTAATGAAATTTGGTATATACTTACTATTTAGGATGCAGGTTACTTTCAGCCAACTTCAAAAAGAAAAAAGTTCTCAATTGAGTTGTATTTCATGTTTGTTACTTCATAACTCTGTCAGTTGTAAATCCATTTGGAACTTTTTTATCCGAAATGATATATTTATAGATTTTATTGTATATGTTTTTTAATCAAAATAACTTGTTTTGCCACAATTGAAGTCGGTTTTTTAAACACAATATTATACAGTAAAATATTAGATAAGCGATTATCATAGTCTATGATTGTCCATACAAAAAGAAACCACGCATGCGCTGTCAACCTAAAATTTTTCCCTCTCTAAGATAAGGCTTCTTTGTCGAATGTACAATTGCATTTTGTGAGACAAATCTTTCTTATGCGGTTTCTAATACCATTTCCCTAGTGCCAGAATTATTATTGATATTGGCAGCTAACTTTAGGTAAAATGTAAAAATATATTTAAAATGTTGAATTTATGCTCTTATACAATTAAATAATTATCACTCACATCATGTTAGTGAAGCCACTGAGTATGTTAATTTGTTAATAGTGAGGTCATGCTTTGCTGTCGCTATGTAAAGGTCACACACAAAAGATACGCGTTTACTATGTTTTTGTCCAGGTCTCTCGGGTTCGGGCAGGCGACCGTATTTAGCTTCCAGACGGGTTAAAAGTTCCACGTCATCAACATCCGAGATATCATCCTCTTCCTCTTCTAGTTCTTCTTCTAGTTGCTCATCATCGATTATTTCAACATCGTCCGGGTCATCTTCTTGTTCTGTCTCTGGTTGAGGAATAGATTTTTTTTCGACTTTTGAAATCTCTTTTGCTGATTCCTTTTTTTCTATTACTACTTCTTCCTCCTCCTCTTCTTCGGCTTCTTCGTCGTCACTATACAGTTCTTTGTCTTTTTGTTCTTCAGACGTCTTGATAGGTTCAATGTCCTAGAATGAGAGTGAGTATTTCGATAGTATATTCTTTATAGTGATCAATTTAACAACTTCATGTTCTTTTACTTACCTCATCACCACTTTGTTTTTCTTCTTCTTCTTCTTCAACTTCCTCTTGAGGTGGAGGAGTTGGTGCTTTCAACTGTGGTGTAATTTTTTGCGCTTTTGCCTCCTCAACGATTGGCCGCGAACTCTCCGCAATTATTGTTTTTTGGGCTAATATAATAATGTGACGTTTAAGTGATATAATTTCAAACTATATTAAATTAAGCAATATAAAATAGTCCTACCAGGTGTACGAAAATCTTCTGGTATCAATGTCATACGTCTATCCAACAGAGGCGTCTCTTCCCTAACAGAACGCTCTTCACTAGCGGGTTCATCTGTTATAGAAAATATTGTTCAGTCTTAATACTATTTATATTCAAATCAATAGCAAAAATGATACTGTTTTACGCTAATGTGTTACCAAGAACAATATGGCATTAGCTATGCCTATGAAACTTATGAACTTGTATATTATTATTTTCATGTCAGACCAATTCAGCTCGTTATAAAACGCGAGCTTGAAAATTTTATTTGTAGTAAAGAATTAGGATATGGAGGCGTGTACGCACCGCGCGGCGCTGTAGCCCGCCGTATGACCGCGTGTGTGGCGACCAGCAAAGCGCCGCCCACACTCAGCTTCAGCCACACTGCAACACACGCGGCACACGCTTAGCAGAAGGCTACAGGCGCTACAATATTGATGTTTCAAACGAGGACATTTACGGTTAAAATATGGTATTTACGCATTTAAGACTGACTGTATCAAAGGTGGGACAATATTGCAAAAGGAGATCCCATTAACATGACTCTGAATAGGTAACTAGGTTAACGGTGTTTAATTCCAACGGAAGGATTTTTTTAAATTAATGAAGATGATATTCTGCTCTATCGGTTCGCTAAATTTAATTCAGCGGTTCATAACTATTTATTTGAAATAGAACGACAATACGCACGTGGACATGACAGCCGTGAGATGTCGCATGAAGGCTACATACAGGCTATTGTAATTGTTTACTATCAATCGGGAATTGGGACATCCAGGAAACCTATTCATGAGTTGTTATAACTGAGGATTAAACTTTTATGGATTTTGTTGTAAATTTTGAAAATAAACTAAAAAATAATACAGATATTGCATATTTGGATGTTCAGTGACTCCGAAGATGGTCAAGCAGCTTTAGTTACGCACAAATGTATAGTTGCTTTAAAGATAAAAGACGTAGAGCAGCTCCATTTAATACTTAAGAGTACAATCGTTAATATATATGTTTTACTTCACATTCTTTAAAAAAAAAATAAGTAATAACTAGCACTAGAGACAATCTAAGTTTCTAGTGGTTTGATTGCATTATGGAGCTCAAAGAATCAGTGTGTGTAGAAGTTTAAAATAAAATGCAATGATATTTAAGTTTAAGTTTGCTAGTCATTCAGGAATCGTATAAGTCGAAACTAAAACAGAGTCGAAAAGATTTGCATTAAGCATTAACAAGAGAATCTGAATGGAAATAGGCGTTTGCTAAATTTCGATCAATTTAATAACGTCATTACATATTTTAACATACAGACAGATTAAATAATAAGAGGTTATATATTATTATAATACTGAAAGTATTATAAATATTTGAGATAAGCAATTTTTTCTTAATAGAAACAAAAAATAGGAGATTTTTAAAAATAAGAAAAATGAAATCTCTCACTGTCGAAAGAGTACAATTGAATAAAATTTTCATTTTATTTTTTTATGGCATCAAAAGATGTGTGTTTTTAAGTTTTCGTAAATTCTTGAGAAGTTACTTGATCGCCTACAGATCAAATTGTTTTAAAAAATTACACAATACATTCTTATTTAAATTACTTATTTGTTGTGTACAAGGTAACACATTTTTGCCAAAAATTCAGATAGGATAGATTAATAAAAATGCAATTAAAAGCATTTTTATTGATTCACGAAATTGCTTGTAGTAGACAAGTAATTTCGTAATATTTATTACATAATAGTTTAAATTATTGGATATATTCCATTAATTAAATTTACACTATGCATGTTTATAGATTTGATTCTATGATTAATCCTATAGCAAATTGTGGACTTATAGTTACTGATACATATTTATTATCATTAATAAAATTTTATATTGAGGTTGGTCCGAGGTACCATTTTTTATCATTATTTTAGAAACAACCAGTAACATAATGTATATAAAATCATCTTATATATTTGATAGCCTAGTACCGCATTTCAATGAGGATTTTATTTGAATAAAAATTTTTAAAATTTGCAATTGTCTAAAATACTTTATTGCGCGTGAGGAATGTTCTTAATTTTAATTATTTTATGATTTATGTGTTAGTGCTTATGATACCATTGTTGTTTGTAGTTCGTGCAATAACATACTTATTATCTATTAATAAATAACACCCACGTTAAATGACAAATAGTATACTACTATTTGATAGTGGCCTACTAACACTTGTAGGTATACATTAATGTACTATCGAGGCCGGAAATAAAGCAATTGACGGTAGATTAACATTAAAAGTTGTAATGTTATTAATTTTTAAATAAACAAGGCCATTATTGCTATTTCGACATAGATTTGTATAGCACTTTTTTCCAATTTGCGTGGAAAGTGTAAAAGAGTTCAAGAAACACCAATAAAAGGCACGTGTCCTTCTTATTATTTTTTTTTTATATTTTGAAAGGAAATGCTTATTCGGTTTATAAATTATACAGAAAAAAAATTAAGTCATTAAAAATAAAAACACACGATGTGTTAGTGTGTATTTAAAAAAACATTAGGTACTAGCGTTCCAAGTCACATCGAATTACTTTTGATAACAATAAGTATTCAGCAATTTTCATTCTTGTTTTATTAGGAATTACTTACGCATTATTTCGTAGTGGATCGAAAAGAGTTGAGGTAGTTTTAATAATAAAGCAATTTCCAAGCAAATGGGAGATAATAATAATTCACGACTTTGTTTCACACAAAAAAAAAATACAGACTTCAATCCACCAGTTATTTTGATTTAAAAACCAAACTAGCGAATCGATTTTGATAAAATTCCTTTAGGACCTAAAAGTATACAATAATTAAAATACAATCGAATTCAGAACCTCCTCCTCTTTAGAAGTTGGTTGAAAAATGTAAGTATACAATCTAATTTATAAACGAACATTCAACTACTACAGTGTGTATTACATTTAGAATAAAATAATAATTATATATTCTTTTAATTAATAAACTTAAGAATATTAACATGTATATTTGCAGTGTAATAATTCATTGGCAAAAAGAAATTACATATTTAATTTAAAATTTAAAAACATTATATAGTAAATAAAAGGGTCGAAATAAAAGAATATTAATCAAATGAACATTTATTTTTACAGCTTTCAGAGACATCATTAAATAATAATTTAGTAATGTTTGCATTGTTAGTACCATTAGTGTTAAGGCTTGGCAAAAAAATTATTAGTAGGAAAGAGGTTGCATTGATCAGGCAAATATAGCTTGTCTTGTCACCATTGTTAAGCCACTTAGGTGTAACTAAGATGGGCATAAATAATTTATTTGGATTATAGGTGTATTAATTTGTATGTTTTAGGAATATTTATTGTAAAATTCAAATAAATTTTGATTATGATTGGCATGGCATAGGAATGTTTTTGAGGAAAAAATACATATATACAAACTAAGTACGTTTCAGTCGACTAGGACCCAAGATAGTTACACCAATGTTATATAAACTGTTAAAAAATTAAATAAAAAAATTGTACTCACGGTGTGATGACTTTTCTTTTTCCCGGCGAAGTTCTTCTTGTTGTTTCTCATACTCTTCTTCTTCGTTGAGCGTATCTGGAGGCTGCTCAGATGACACTTCTTCCTCTACCTATAGTCATATTTTTATTATTGTTATTATTAAAAGTTATTCCAAAATGTTATGTAGATAGAAACTGTTTCTTTGTTTTATGTATTTACATGTTGGGGTTGGCAATACAAAAATAAATGCTGTGGCATAATTTTATCTATATAGCAATATATCTATCTAATTTTATATTACGTTATTTTAGATTGCAAACAAAATTTATGTAACTCGTAAATAACGCAAAAAGTTTGCGCATCACCTGTGGCTCAGCCCATATAGAGAGTTATGACAATTTCATAGGAATTTTGGGAAATTCCTTTAACAGGTATGGATTCCACAATACCTAAATTATTTATTAACGCATGTTGAGTTTCTTTTTCTACATTCAACCGCCAATTTCGGTAGGTGGTAGAAAATGTCATTAACATTATAGTCAATATTTATATCGCGTTGTAGGGGTTAATAAAGTTTTAAATAAATACCTATACCTATAAAACGTTTGTGTAAGATTTCAAAATTGCATAGCATCAGTAGTTTTGTTTGTACAAGTAAGGTAGCTTCTTCCTTTAACAAAAATATTTTTAAGTAATTTTATAAACGCAGTTTTATTTTATATCGTTCACGTTCTCACAGATACAATAAATGGATTTTAATTTATCTAAAAAACAGTCCAGGATTTCGGGTTAAAATAAAAAAAATAAATATATCATTTTTGTAGTTAAAAATAATAATATAAAAACTTTAGTGCTTTTAAACATCACTTTAACAAACCTCCACATAGGGCTTTCCGGCTGGTGCAGTTATGCGTTCCACTGGGGGCTCATCATCGTCAGCTTCTAAAAATTCTTCTTCTGTATCAGGTTCATCATTATCTTCTTTGCTGGCTTCGAATTCTTCGGATATTTCTACAACAAATTTACATTACATTACATATTTAAGCACAAATAGATTTAAATTTCTGTAACACAATGATTATTAATTCATGAGCCGTTTTTAATCTCTGGTACAAGACCTTAAAATAGGTGGAAAACATTGACATTATTATAGGTTAGTCATACACCATTGTTTTTAGAAGCCTGATATTGGATTTAGGAGGGATATTAGGAGATTAGTTAAAATCAAACAAACCGTTATTGAATGCATTACGAGGGGAGGTCAAAAAGTTCGCGGAATGGAGGGGTTGGGTTTGAGTTATCGACCTGCAAACAAGCTCATATCTATAGGCGACGGTTACCACTTTTCATCAGGTGGGCCGTTAGATGTTTGCCATTCTAAGTAGTATAAAAAAAAGAAACAAATGAATCGGGAAGAAGTTAGCGAGTATGGAGAAAATTGAATACCGCGCCGTTATAAAGTTTCTCATCAAGCAAGGAAAATCTGCTAATATGATTTTTCAAGAGCTATTAGCAATTTACGCGGACTCTGCCCCTGATAAAACCATGGTTTACAAGTGGCATGGTCTTTTCAAACAAGGGAGATAGTCCATTGAAGATGATCTCAACTCAATTAATTTCACCCCCTTCCTCCTCATTCCGCGAACTTTTTGACCTTCCTTCGTGTATACTTAATCTTCTTATATTGGTTTATTATGTTGATTTATTATTATTATATAAAAATCCTAAAAAATATGATGAAATAGTAATTTATGACTTATATATAAACAAATCTGAAGAAATAATAAATATTCGGGGTTTCACTTTTGGCGTACTTACCAAAGTATATTATAAATTACATTATTACTAGAGATGAAACAGATATCTAGTAACTATCCGGTATACGGCCTATCCGGCGGCCTTAATACTGTCGAGCCGAATACCGGATAACTACTATTCGGCCGGCAGGCATCCCGTTGAATTAAATAAAATTTGGATAAAACAAATATATTTTGAAGTAATTATTTTTTTAGACAGTCTTAGTATCACTTAAGAAATATAATTAGTTTTAGTTTTAAATTTTTAATCATAATAGTAAATGAATGTAGAAAGAAAATTAATTAATTAGTACTCATACTGCATTAAGGGCAAATTATGATGAATAAAATAAATACTAATTTCCCTGCATTGAGAGGTAGTAAGTGGTTTTGCTTCTCGTCATAAATAAGGCCAGCTTCAGATAAAAGTCTTTCGCTGCACACACTGCTGCAAGATGCTAAGAGAGAGATTTTGGCAAACTTTGTTAAATTTGGGTATTGTTTGGCATTAGCTGCCCACCAAGAAAAAGGGTCATGATTGCGATCAATTCGCACTAAAATAGCCGGATATCTGGCCACATGGTTGGCCGAATATTCGGTATCCATCCGACCAAACTGCTATCCGTTTCATCTCTAATTATTACTATATTATATAAAGCATACATTAAAAAATGTATATAATAATAACCTTGGCTTTTGTCATCGTCAATATCTTCTTCAGGTAACGCCGGCAGTTCAGTTGATATTGGTTCTTCATTAGGCAATTCTCTCTCGATCTTTTCTAACTCCACTTCTGTATCCTCATCATTATCTTCTTCTTCATGTTCTTCATCCTGAGAATATATTTTTTATAATAATTATTTATTATTTAATTTTTAACGTTGGTTCTGTAATGAAAAATAAATAACAAAATTAAAATAAATTGAAAAATTTCATCATCCTAATTTCTAGATATTGATAAATCAATTTAAAGTGTTTGTACAGAAAAATAGATGACATTTAAAATAAAGCATTTGAAAATCATATAAATTGCCAAATGTTATCTTCACATCTGAGTAGACTGTATGTTACGAGGCTATTTATTATATGTTAAATTTAATACGTAAAATATTGCTACAAAACCAGATTATTTTATATGAATAAAAAAATAAACAAAAAAGAAATATATATAAAAAAGAAAATAGTCCAGTCAATAGAAAATATAAAGAAATAATATCTACGTAATGTTACAGATAATCTTGATCTTGAACTGCTCTGGCCAGTTTCCCGTTATAACTATGCCCGATTTTTTTTTATGACACAAAAATATTAAAATTGCAATTATTCATAGTTATGCTATATAACAGCAGCAGCAGGGTAGCAGCATTCCTATTAAAATATCTTCAAAGCCTAACTGCGGTTGCCAACCCGCCTGCCAAGCGTGGCAACTGCTGGTAAAACCCTCTAAGCGGAGGCTTATGTCCAGTGGACAGTTAAAGGCTGATTTGATGATGCTATATAATAAATTATTTGCAATTATAATATCAAAATGACAGAAGACGAAAAATTTTATATTTAATATAAGATTTTACTACTAACTAGTAAGTCTTCATTAAATGTTCCGTTAAAAAAAATATTACAAAAACTTGATGATTCATGCAATTTTCATTACAATGTAGATAAAAAGTCACAATTTTATCAGTGTTATTAAATTTAGATAAGCTATAGAGTTGTTAGTGCCAATAAAAATGTGTATTAGCTATTTAAAATGTGTTCACACCACACTTATTACGACTTTTTCTATTTGCACCTCATCATTCTGGCTGTTATAATTTTCTTGTTGTTCGTCTTCATTTTCTTCAATGCTTTGATCATTGTCAATGTCGTTATTATTTTCACTGCTGTCATTATCATCATCATACTGATTTAAATTAGTTTCTTGACTATCATCTTCGTCTACTGTCTGTAGATCGTCGTTTTCCTCATTATTTTCTTCTCCATCCTTATCGTCATCGTTGTAGACGTTGTTGCCTTCGAAATATTTGCTGTATATTGTCTGTTCTTGTTCGTCCTGCTTAAATTTACAATATTTTGTATTTGTTAGCTTTGTTTAACTTAATTAGCAACATACAATCCAGAACCTATTTTATAAGATCCCACCTCATCAGATTCTTCTATATTATGATCTTCATCATCCTCATCATCCTGTTGTTCATCATGGTCATCATCTTCATCTTCTTCAGTATGTTCATTGTCCGTTTCCTCATAATTATTCTCATCATTATGATCATCATCATGGTTTTCATCCTCATCATGATCATCATCATCATTGTGATCAAGTTCATGATCATCCCCATGATCATTTTCATCATCCTAGTTGTTAGTAAGTTTTATAAAATACAATTTAAGACATAACTAATAATAAATACATACATGACCTATTGACATATTTTAATACTTATTCAATAATTTTATTGTATTGTTTATTATGGTTTCTGGGTGCTTTACCAATAAATTCCTAACAGTACTTAAATGGAAGTCTATGAATGTTATATTTAAATCTTTACTAAGATGATACAGTCTCAGTAATATTGTAGGTATATATATCTATATTATACACCTGACATAAGTAAGAAGATACTTGTTAGTTTTTATTTTTATGTAAAATATTATTATAAGTGTCATGCACCAATACTTTACTACACTGTCTCACGATATATTAAAGATTGTAGGTTCAAACCTACTTAATACAAGAGATAGCATTACACTCAATCTTTACCTGTCTGAGAATATTAAGTAAGAGTTAGATATATAATGACTAATAATTAATTAACACCTGACTAGTTCATCCAGAATTGCATTTGTCATCATATTTAGTAACCCATCATTCACTATGGGACTGGTATGGGTCTCTATCTATTAGGAGACATTAATGTGCTGTTATTGCACTGGTGGTCTTGTGTAGGAATTTTTATGGAGGATAAATGTGTATTTGTGTAATTAATGACTGGTGTAGCATTTTATTCTGACTTCATGACTATACAGAGGTCATTGTTAGCCTTTTTTATACCATTACTTACAGGGTGATTAAGCTCTAATGTGTGCTCATCATGGTGATCATCATCAGGTGCATCTTCAAGCCAACCCTCCAAAACACCGGAATACCGAGATTCAACAGAATTGGCTTCCACTGTGATAAAGAGAAGTACATATTTTAACAAAAAATATTGACATCGGGTTATTAATGTCGTTCAGCTTTCTTTTTCTTTGATCCTAAGGAGAACTCTTATCATATATGGGCTTACTTTTATGTATGTTCAGTTATTTTTCAACACCTGTTGTTTGGTTATTATTGAATCTGTATTATTACATAAAATTATTTATATTTAAACTTACATTCTGTAAGACCCCTATTTTCCAATATGATCAATCCAATAAGAGTGATTAATACTGCCAATAGAGAAAAGAATATGATCTTGGCACACCAATGTCCACCAGTTCCATGATCATGCTGCGAGTGTATAAACACATCCCCTTCACCAAACACAGCTGCTGTCCCACGAGGCTCCTCTACACCTAAATCATCTATAACAGAAAGAAAATGTAAGTGATTTAGTACTACTTTAAAAATAAATGTAACTGATACTGTACTGACTTGTCTTACCTTTTTTTCGTTTTTTGTCTTTACGTTTTCTTGGTTGTACATCACCTGACATTGTTCGTTTCGAACTGGCGCTCCGTAAGCGACAGAGACTTGCCTATTGTTTCATAACCCTGTGTAAACAATGGAATTACAATGTAATGAACTTAAAAGATCACGAGACACATAAGGATCCAAATGCGCAATTTTCATGTATAAAGGAAGTTTTGGCGCACGATGAAATTTTAAAATAACCTACGCAAGAAAGTACGACCACAGCTTTAGGAATTTATTTTAGATTTTAACCTAAAAATAACCGGCAAAGACAGCTGAGAAGGTAGATGGGATTCCAACTCACAGAATAATATTTCTTACTCGTTCATTCGTCGTACACAACACATTTAGTAGATACAGCATAGAAAATGCAGAGCTGATCTGTGATCTGAATAGCGCCTCTGGCTGTAAATGATATAAATAGAAATAATAAAAAGAGCTACTATGGATAGAACACTTTGTAGGTATTAGTAAAAAATAAGAAATGAATTCACATTTATTTGTATTTTAGTTGGCTTTTAATTTAGGTAGGCATTTGCGTTCTTATTTTTATTGCTGTCAATTGACAGTGAGAGATGTCACATATGGCGTGTGTCATTTTCATCATTACTTGTCAAATTTAGTTAGTACTTCAATTCACAGTTTGTTACCGTTTATATACATTTTATTCATAGTCATTTGTTAGAAAATCTCTAGTATCGAATAATTTATTGTTAAATTTGTATTGTGCCGTTTGATTGCTTTATGTTTTTATCTTATCCATTTCCTTTGTTTAAATTCTTTTACAACTATTAAATTTTAATCTCGGTACGTTAAAAAAAAGTACCTAAGACTTTTACTATACATTATTCATAAAAAATATTGAAGGTACCTCTATAAAATTATTACTTATAAAATTATTGGCATAAGTTTATATCCAATCTACTTTTTCCTTTCTGGTAATAATTATATCGGTTAGGTACCTCTGTTCAGAAAATATTAATAAAAACAACAGTCTAAAGGAAACAAAAAAAATTATTTATAACATTTCAGTTCTACATCCTACTATGAGTGAAGTAATAGTATTGTTTGATGGATTTTCTGTTATGAATGGAAAAGATGAGATGAAAGCAAATTGTAGTTGCACACTTATAAAAGGTGACCATAATATTATAGTAGATACTATGACAGCCTGGGATTCAGAGAAAATAATAGATGGTGAGACTTGTTCCATTTTATAATGATCCTAAGTATGTAATCTACATTTTATTCATTATAAGAAGAATTTTAATTATGTTTTCTTATGTTGCAGCACTTCAGAAACAAAATATTAGGCCAGATCAAATAAATTATGTTGTATCAACACATGGTCACTCAGATCACATAGGAAATAATAATCTTTTTTTAAATGCTAAACACATAGTTGGATATAGTGTTTCCTTTAAAGAGAATTATTATGCACATGCATTTGACAAAGGTAAAAATAAATACTGAAATTAAATAATTTTAGTAGGTAGGCATGTATTTATGTAATTTGTCATTGTTTTTATAGGTGAAGAATACATAATCAACAGCAGTGTAAAGCTTATACCAACTCCAGGGCATACTCTCTCTGATGTCACAGTACTTGCTGTATCAAAGGATGCAGATCTTGTTGCCATAACTGGTAAATATTATATAATTTCGTTTTATGCAATTAAAATAAGTAGGTAGATAAATTATTAATTATTTTTAATTATTAGGTGATTTGTTCGAGAAACATGAAGATATAGAAAATCCCAGCATTTGGCTTGAAGCAGGTAGTGATGATTCAGTGGAACAAATAAAAAATAGATATAAAGTTGCACAAATTGCAGACTGGATTATACCAGGTCATGGTCAGAAATTCAAGGTCACAGAAGAAGTAAGAGAATTACTAAGAAGGCAGGCAGGTGATATTTTTTTAGTTCAAAAATGATTAAAAATAAAAAAAAGGCTATATAGAAATAAAGGTGTAGTTTTTAATTTGACAACCAATGGTGAATGATTTTTAGGTAATATGTAAATCATTAAAAGACAAATGGTACAGGTCCAACTTTATTAAAATAAATCCAATTGCTTAATAAATCAATGTTGTACAAGTTTTATAAGAGTGGCCTCCAAACTATGGCTTAAAGCACAATATTGGGTCACAAGCACCACAAATTAGAAATTACAATCTACACTATGCTATTAAGTTGAGCTAGCTAGGTTTTGGCCCTTGGGACTTAGTGGAGATATCAGTAAGGTATTTTTGCTAACAATTTGGAGACCTCTGCTATATATATACATATTTATATTGATAAAATAAGCAGACATATAATTAGAAAAACCCTGTGATAGCTATTAAAATATATAGTTTCTAATTCAAGTACTTTTAAATTCAGTATAATATACTTGGTAGTGACACACAAACTTTTGATACTGCTATTTATAAAGCTTCCCAAAAAATGCACAATTGTTTAATGTAAAAATATAAATTGTTCATATTAGGAAAGATTTTAAGTAAGTTTTACATACCTAGTATATTGTATAGCGGTTTTATAAACCATACATTTATTATTTTTATCTCCTGACATACTATTACAACCAGAGTCATTAAAACTTATAGTATGTATATATATTGGTACATCAGAGAAGTATGTAGTCAATAATAACAAAATATTTACATAATTTAGAAGCATAAACAATATTGTATAATTTAATTAGAAATATAGTTTACATTAGAATGAATTGTGATTGAAAGTATTATATGCATAAACGATGGACAATCTTCGACCTCGATTGTGCTTGTCCAAATAAGACAAATATAGTACAATGCACACAAGAAAAAAAATCCAATTTATAAATTCTGCTTCTAATAAACAAAGATATTGTATGTACCGTAAAAAAGTTGACGACGCGTGAAAAAACATTAATTAATACACAATGGTGAATAATGGCACATGGGCAGATATCGTGGTATTGTTTTAAATTTCATTTAGGTGTACTTTACTGACATATTTTGCTATATAAAAAAAAGGGTTCTGAGTTCTGAGACAGCTTATACTACTAAATTTTTATTAATTATCAATAATTTTACTATTATAATTGCTAAAAATATACTAATTAACAGTCGAAAATATAATGAAAAAGTGTAAAATATGTCATATATTTTATTATATTTACAACTCTAGCATTATCTGTGAGCGTTCAAATGACCACAAACCGTGTGTTACGTTCGTATCTTTTCTCCTTCATCTCTATTAAGTTATCCATCGTTTGCGCAATAAGCACAATTCATTAATGTCACTACGATTAATCAACTGGTAGGTAGGTTTTTTTAGTTTACACTGAAATAAAGTGAAATTCAATTTTATACTGTAGAGACTAGATTCAAAGCAATAAAAGTTAAAGTGAATAGAAGAAAAGTCCTCTAAAGAACTTATGTTTTCAGATCTAATGTTCACCTTGTATAACATCAATGCTTGATATATAGATAGAATTGTCAGGACTAAAATTGTTACTTCTATTATTTTAATACTGGGTTACAATAAGACATTGACAAATCGGTAAGAAACCATTTTTCAGTCTGATACCTGACAATCCTAGATATATGTAACAAGCGTTTAATATCACATGTTCAACACATATTATGATATTAGGTTACTTAGATAACTAATATTACAATAATTACTGTTCATTACCACTTCAGTGGTATAAAAGACAACATATTTTTGCATTGTTGATACAAAGTAGCACTTTTATAGTTACAATGGTCAGATTAATTTAACAAAGAAAGAAAAAAATAAAATAAAAATCCAATCATGGTGTGGCACTATGAGCGTAAAAAACTTTACTTGTATATGTACATAGTATGTAGATAGGCATCTAGATCTTTTTCAAAAGGTGTAACTGCTCGAAATAATTACAGCTATTGTAATGTGTATCTATCTATATATTACTGCCGGTGATACCTTCTACAGAAATCCTTGTATCCACGTGTCCAGGCCATAATTGCTGCGTGCAATAATTAAAGGTTTTGCCTATTAATAAAAAAATCTTCTATTTACTACCAATCTATATCACAGCCGGGAATCACTAAAGCTACAAAGCTTAGACATGCCCATATCCGTTTCGACCATTAACTGATAGCTGTAACCAAAAGAAACAAAAATAGAATATAAATATACTACATAAATATTAGAATATATTTTAGCAAACAAAAAAAAAATAGCAGTAGTTTCATAGATATTTTTATTACAAACTATAGAACAACTCTGATCAGATATAAAAATCTAATATATATCATGATATATTTAAGAAAATTTTAGAGATCAACACGATCAATGCTTAACGTAAACGAAAAATTATAATTAAATATATATTCTTTCTACCTGTGGGTCGATACTTGTTGGTACTGGTTGCGGTTCATCAATACATAAATCGGAATCCGAATCAGTTCTGCGAAGGGTATTATCCTGTAAATAAGAATAATTTAGTGTACAATGTGGAATTGACAAATATAAAAACGTGTAAGAATTTTTTTATGTAATATTAATAGCACGTCAAACCAATATATATACATTATAATAAAAATTGTAGAATAGTTTACAATAAGTTTGGGTGACGGCTATCGCTTTGTCTCGATTCAGATAAGCGTTACGCTAAACATGTTTCATCTTCTAGAGTTTTCTAAGTATATGTACGTGGGACACTCGGAAAGTTTTGCGATACTGAAAACATGTTCTATAGGTAAATATATTTTTATTACATCTTTTCAAAGTACTCTCCATCAGCCTCTATACAAAGTTTCATGCGTCTGAACCAGTTTTCGAAACACTTTTTCCAGTCCGCCGTAGACACCTGCTTTACAGCCTGCTCGAACGTTGAGAGCGATCATCCGGCGACGAAAATTGTATCCCTTTGAGTTGTTTTTTTATTTTTGGGAATAAGAATAAGTTACACGATGCTAGGTCAAGGCTGTAAGGAGGGTGACCCAGGAGTTTGACCGGTGTGCGGTCTAGGAAATCCCTCGTTTTGATTGCGGTGTGGGCGGGCGCATTATCGTGGTGGAGCAGTAGACCGAGCCCTATGTTTGGTCGCTTGTTGCTCACAACAGAGAAAACTTCTGCCAAACGTTTGGTAGTATACCATTCGGCGTTAATGTTTCTTTGGTTTCGTAAAGGAATTGACACCAAGTAGCTAGTCAAATTGAAAATACACTCATATATAAAAACTTTCTCGCAATACTTTTTGAGTGACCTGGTATGTTAAAGCCGAATTTTTAATAGATAAAAAGTACTAACTCCTTGTGTGTACTGGTGTGTGGTGGTGAGCACGCGCGCCACAGGTCTCAAGAAAGCCGGCAGTGTCTCTGTGAGCGGCGGTCTTGCGTGCGTCAGCAGTGGTTTGAGCAATTTGGAGTCTACCGCACCCCAGAGTCGTGCGAGACGCGCCTTATCACCACCGTTACGTGGCCCCTCCTATTATACAAATCAATATTTACTATTTATATTTTAAAAAATATAATTACATAATAAAGATTATGAAATATGAATTAAAAAAAAGAAACACATCGCAGACATATTAAGGATAGAATTTTAAAAAATTTATAAGTTTCTAATATGCAATACATTGTTATTATTTGAAAAAATATTTAAATACCAATGCACAATATCAGAATGTATCTAGTTTTTTTTAACCTTTTCAATGGTTCGATGCCCGTGCGTTTCGGTTGATAGTTGATTACATTTTTCAATTCAATACTTAGATTACTTAGGGAATCTAAATGTATTGTATAGGTTTATTTGAATTTTTCAAAATATTCTATAATTTATAATAGTAGGTAACAATTATCATAAGACATCACACGCAATCTTATAAATAAACAAAGGAATAATAAACAAAATATTGGATTAAATTGAGTTCTGCTGATGACAATGCACGCCATGCAAGTGTTATCTGATTATTAATGGTGTTAGCTGCATATTTACTTCATATAAAAATAATTAAAAGTGTACATACATTGTAGTCGTTTAGATGCCAAGGCAAAACCACTTCATTATCTCCTTTGTCCCATTTAACTATCATGCGGCCATTCTAATATTGAAAGGAAAATCAACAAAAGAAAATAAAATTACATGCAAAATTAAAATAGCATATCAAGTAGGATAGTATGTGAAACTTTATAATTTTTTGTCAAGACAATTTTGTTATAGTGAAATTATTACCGTATTTTAATACGCATTGATACGGTGAAACTAAAATAAAAATATGTATGGAATTTAAGAAATAGAACATACTTATAAAGACGAGTTAGGTAATCTTAGAATATAAAATTATTCCGGAATAACAATATGTTGATATTCTGGCTTAAATAACATTAAAGAATATTTATCAAAAATCAGATCACGTATTGAAGTTTCACATAGCATCAAACTTATGATAGAGGATTATGATTAACAGCTACAGAATACTTTTTAAAGAAAATTAATAATATAGAACTTGATTTTAATTTTTTTTTCTAGTAAAAGTTTTTATTATATTAGCGTGCAAGTAAACTATTTGAGTAGACTGAACGAATAAGTGTGAATTATTCATTATTAATTAATAGAAGATAGGTACATTAAATATTCTTATAAAAAATAAACTGTTTAAAATACATTAGTAGTTTATATTATTATTAAGTTCGGATTCTGATTGGAGAACTTTGTCGGTTGTCTTCACACAGTGTGACAACTATAAATAATATTCGTTTGGGTATATGGAAAATAATTTCGTATTCATAAAGGGAATAATAAAATTATAATTTAAAGAAAAACTTATATCAATTTGACATTGTATGAAATCAATATCATGAAAGTATAAAAAAACAGAATTATTTATATAAATTGAATAAAATCTGTGGAAGAAATAAAAACAAACAGTCAAAGAGAGATTAGGAGTTGTTTACAAAATTATAACGGATAAAAAATTCTCACATCAAAAACCGATTGTTAACTTCACAACCGGTTAGTAGACAAGCCATTTATTAATACGATGCGTGCAGTATATTATATGTATTAATGTCATAAAAATGCCGTGCATCGGTCTATTAGTCTTACTGTTGCCCTGTCGCAACTGGCCGGTTGCGTAGAATCCATATTGCGAAGACCGAACCCTATGTCAGCGGGCTGAACAATAAACACATTTAAGTAAGTGGATGTAAGTACAATGTATTAGTAACATCAAAGGAGATGTTTAGAACGGGCTGTGGTTATACATAACATACTATAACAAATAAAATGAAATCTCATTTTTGTAATATCATACTACACTAACGACACATTTACTGGATTAACAAATGGACGAGTACTTGTCCATTTCTTAATCCGTTAAGTATATCAGATGTTAATTTTAATTTTTGTGACAATATAAAACAATAATATGATTGTAATAATTATACATTTCATAAAATAACAAATACGTATTTAATAATTTGTTTTTCAGTAAGTTCTTACAACAGCCTGCTGGTAATTTTTTGGGTCAACCAAAATGAAGGCAATAAAAAGGCAAATGCAATTTTCAACTCTAGCGTTGTTGATATATTAAATACACTATTGGGATTTAACTATTCACCTGCAATAGTGTTGCGTTAAGTCCCGTTACTGTATTTAAATGAAATGTTATTCCTTGAACATGATAGATGAAAGTGATAAAAATATATTTTTTTTTTATTTATTTATTTATACTTTATTGACCACATTACAAAAAAAAATGTCTGGTACAAAAGGCGTACTTAATACTATATAGCATTCTCTCCCAGTCAACCTTTGGCTAAACAGAAATTTTAATATGCGGTGAAAAAAATTACAACACATACAATAGACATTATATAAATATACATACATGAATACATTAAACAAATATTCAGTGTATCCTATTAAGATATCCTGTAATAATTATAGAAAGAATTACATATAATTCTTTATATATTTTCAAATATTTAGTGCAGCTCAAGCCTCAGTAAAGAGTGAAATTATTCACAGATTAGATTACCGGCTTAGAAGTTGGATAGTCATTTATAAATTATTAACTATTTTTTTATATTACAAACACAATTTTGTATAACCACGTTGTCGTTCTATTTGGTTCAGTTAGGAATAACATTAAAACACTCAATAGTATGGTGGTACATAAATTAGGGAATTAATAAGTATTGTCATGTTAACTTTTTACATGGGGATAATCTAAATAAAACTATTTGACGTAGTTTTTCTTTATACAGTAGTTTATGAACATTAACATGACTAAATACTTATAATTTCTAATTTATAAGATTGAATAATATTTTGTACTATGAGTAATATTTTCCAATCACGCCTAAAATTGAATAATATACGAGTGTTACTTATACTTATTTCATTAGTGTTTCATATAAAAAAATATGAAGAATTGGAAAATATTGATTAGTACAAAGATCCTGTACCGTATTAAAGCATATTTAAGAATGAGAATGGGATGATACGCCGTGAAATTACAGCTCACAAAGCTCCATACAAGTGTGTTCGTATTTACAATACGTACCGATCCGCCTGAGTCCGTGGCCTGGTAGAGCTGCCACAATAATCTCGTATTAATTACATTCCGCATGTGCATTATTTACCCATATGCGCAGTTTCCATAGTGCTTTGTCATATGTGACTACAATGGTGTGCTACTTTTCACAAATTTCTTCATAGAGCAGATTTTGAATAATACAATTGTACATCCCAGCCAGAGAAATGGGAAATTTAAGTTAACCCAAAATGTTTGGGTTAACCAAAAGTATAAACTGATAAGTGTTTTGAGTTAAGAATTATTTATTCATTTAAATAACAATATCATCTTTAATTTGTTATTAAAATAAAGTGAACACTTTTCTGGCTGTTTGCACTTGCAATCGTTGGCTATAATCATAATTATTGTATAGGTCATACAAAATCATGTAGGTACAATTTATCAAAAGCCAGAATTTGCATAGAAGCGTGTTTAATGATTTTCGAAAGAATGGCTAACGGACAATATACTAGGTGTTGCAAATGCAATTAATAATATCCGTAAGTAAATTTCAGAAATAATTGGATGAAGTGTTACATATAAGTACATCACAATACTGAAGACTAAGGAAGCACTCGGTATGGTGATTACGCGCGGACAAATAATAAAGCAGTAAACAAAATGTTAACGTACAGTTAATCACATTTTGTTAGATTAATTAATTCATACTAAATGCTAGCGTTGCCAAATTTTGTATAAAAATTATTAAATTTGTGTAAGTATAATTGAGTTAATTTTCATTATAAAGATTTACTTACACTCCTCACGTCGCGGTAGGGAAGAGCTTCATTTTCGTCACTCTGACCTTGTCTTAAAATAAAAAAAAAATATATATTTGCAAAACTATTTAGAATCATGAAAATAATTCAAACCTATCGTGAGAGTTGGTACTGAATTAGTTGATTTGTCAAATGTCAACTTTTTCCATTTCCTAAATTTAAATTGTAAATATTAATACTAATAAACAGAAAAAAATTATACCTTTATGTGAATAATCACTAGCATCATTATTCCTGGATTATTTCTACTGTGCTGAGTACTTACCCAGTGGGAATGCGTAAGTATGCGAGTGCATGTGTAGAGGCTCCACCCTGCAGAACTACAGTTGCAATCACTATTAGCGATGTAGTTGTCAACATCGCTTGCCTCGCTTCAGAAACCGTGTTGCGGATCGCTAAAGCAAATGACATAGCACCTCGGAGACCTGCAAATGATGAACATATTCCTTTTATTATGGGAGTGGGTAATGTGATCAATTATGGTGATTATTTATAAATAAACCATACATATTCAATAATTAATCTAAAATTCCATAATCTCACCCGCAAAGAACAGCATATGTTGAAAGTTCATAGGTATTGGCGGCTTGCGTCCTAAGTTTAGCAAGAATGACAGTGGGTAGATATTCACGGCACGTCCTAGAGTTGATGTAATCTGTTATACTGATAAAGGAGATAATTTTAACTAAGAGGACTTCATTATCACACAAAAACATTTGATTATATTTTCTGTGTGGAAAATCTGTTAAGATTTATACACTTAAAAGGAAGCGTGTGAAATATAGAATTTCTACCTAATCAAATGCATAATTTGGAGTGATAAGCTTCTAAGTAAATACGCCAGCCATAACATAGAAAAATACTATTGCAACTTCAGTTTCTGTTGAAATAAGATAAAAAAAATGTAATAAAGTGTAAATAATTAATTTTACTAATATTATGTGTTATTAATTTTAATATTATTAGTTAGAAAAGTTGCCATCAGGTGGATCGTATGCTTGTTTGTTACCTCAGTGGTATAAAAAAAAAGTTTGTAAAGATGTGTTCGTTACTCAATCGCGCTTAAAAGGCTGCGTACGGATTGGAATGAAATTTGGTACACTGGTAAGTTATATCGTAATTTAATACATCTTTATTTTCCTCTTGTTGGTGCAATTAATTCATGCATTCTAATTCAGTTAGATTAATTTAACACAAGAAACTTTATATACTTATTTACGCAGCAAAAGTCGCAAAAAAGGATACAAATCCGGCGATGATGAACCACGGGTCGAAGTGGTGTTTAGGGAAGGTGAACATGGAGACGCCGATATATGTGAATATGAAGTTCTCTGCTAGGAAGTTAAGCAGCTCGAACAGTTGCTTGGTCCGGTTCCGTGAGTCCGACGACAGGTTGTTGTAAGTGTAGTGTGCTTGACATATACCACAGAAGAGAACCGCCACCACTCCTGAAAGAGTATACGATACTTCATGAGACCAGAATAAATTTATATTAGTGTATATACTTAATAACAAACGCATTTGCTATAAATAAGTCTAAAATACACAGTAGTAACAAATCTTTATAAAAGAGAGATTCCGAATGATTATTTTGTTAAGATAAACCCAGTTAGACAATATTTGTATTGTAAATATCTTTTATTAAAGCATTTTTTTAATTCCTATTTAAGCAAGCAAATATATAGCTGAAAAATCCTTAACTTATGGAAATATAAAACATTTCCTTGTGTTATCACATAGTGAAATTTGCTGTTATATATATTATGAATAGGCTTTTGTTCCCGATTTAATAATTTGCTTTTTAATGATGCACACTTTTAAAGGAGAATATTATTCTAACATACAGTCACAGTGAGAGTAAATCACCAATAAAATGCGCATTGATCAAAGAACCTGTACAATATTTATTTTTCAAGATATCAAACAGGAAAGTTGATATTTAGCTTGAAAGTACATTTAATATGTTTGTCAGGTTTCATTATATTTGACAATTAAAATGTATAAATTTGCTTGCTTGTATACAGGCTGAATACACTGAATGAATGCTATATTATTAAGACCTTTTGTAATACTGTATTCTGCAAAAAAATTATTCGTTTGGATTTGAATATTAAAACGACCTATCGTTTATTATATTTAAAGGTTACTTTTTGTAAACTATTAAAAATACTATGTAATAATTCTATTATTATCCAGATTCTTTGTTCTGTTATAAATTACCTCTATGACTATATATAAAATAAATAAAACTGCATAATACCTAATCATGATTATATTAATATTTTTCATTTACCTGTTAGTTCACACACTTCAGCAATAAGGAAAGCTGCATATGACATGAGTACGAAGAGTGATGACTCCAACAAAGGCCATTCTCTCACATGAGTGAATTTGGTCATGTGTATAGCGATTAAGGATATAATTATTAATAAATAAGTATATTTTGAATAGGGGTTGTGTTTTAACTCTTTGATTTGAAATTAACTACAGACAATGAAGAAAAAAAAAATAGTAATCATGTAAAAATTATTAAAGATATCGTGTGAGATAAACAAATGTACTCTTTATTAAAATAGGTTTAAAGTTTATATCATATTTGTATGGTGAATTGAATAATGATGAATGATGGAGTAAGAATTTAAAATGTTTTCATCTTCAGTAGGTACATTGTAAGACAATAAGAAAAAAATATAACACATAAGTGCAAAAGAAAAAAAATTAAATAGTAACTTATTTCAATTAACTATATGTGCAGCATGGTAATACTTCTTTGATAAAACTTGTGCTCAGCTATGGCATATTAATGGAGTAATACATTTACCCATATAATAGTAGTATAATAAAGAAAAGGCAATAAAAAGGATATCAGAGCAGTCAGGCAGCCCATAAAAGCACCAACGAGTAACGACAGGCTGAATATCCCAATGAAGTCTCCAATAGCACCTAGAAATGCTGTTATTTCAAATCCTCCATCATTGGAGTACCTTTCCTCATAATTTTGTATTGCCCTGTAAAATAAACATACAACAAAAATAAATAAAAGGTAAAATAAATTGATTTAAGTAGGTCAATAACGTATTAGAAGATTCTGGTTACCTTAGGCCCATATAATGATATTACCAAAATAAAAATAACATAGATACCAGATTCATTATGGTAATAATAAAATAATGTGTAATATGTTTAATAATAAAAATCAAGGTTATTACCCGCTAAGAACCAAAGCCACTGCATCATTAAGAACACTTTCACCAAATATCAAAGCGTATAAGTTGACATCTACCTAAAAACATAATGCACCAATCATAATATTTATTTGAAGTTAACATAAAAGGTACATTGAAGGTAATCAAAATTTGACTATGAAGATATTTAATGTGTATGGTCAAATAATATAAATAATAGTAAAGTTTAAAAGAAATTGTCTGTCATTGCCAAATTAAAATGAAGCTGAAAATTACAAATATTCTTGACATGATATGAATAAACATTGCTTTGAACTAGATTACTATTATTTTTTTTAATAACCATTAACATAATTGAAGTAAAAATGTAAATCTCCCCTGCCCCCCTCTGTAATTAGTAAAACTCAATTGGTATGAAAATAAAGTGACTGTTACTTACCTTTAATTGTGAAAAAATGGCTAATATAGTCAGGGGATCTGTTGGAGAAATTAATGCACCAAAATATAAAGTGTCTAAAAAGGTGAAGCTTGAAGCCAAAGACGCTGGCATCAATTGTACACAGCCGTACATAAGAGCACCAATAACTAATGCAGATAGAGCTGTTCCCACCATAGCAAATGTCAATATTGCACCCAGGTTTCGGAAGAAATATTTCTGAAAATAAAAAGTTTGTATGCCATAAAGAAATAGTTAAAGTTTATAAATAAATAATTAAAATAATTTAAACATAATTATAACCCCAAGATATATTTAGAATAGGATATAATTCTGTCATATGATGTAATATAAATATATTAATATCCACAATGACAAAAAAAATGTTTCATGAATTATCTTCTCACAATTGAAAAGTTGTAACTTAAGAGTTTTTATTTAAAACGCTGTTATATAGAAAAGGTACCCTGTTTTGTTTTTTAGAAAAAATATTCATTGAAACTTACACGTTTGAGACAATATCCTGCATGAAATATTATGGGAGGTAGAATTATATTAAAAAATATTTCTGGATCAAAAGTAGCTTTCAGGTCTATTTCATTTTGTTCTATATTTACGATTTCTCCCCTAAAGCTGTATGCATAAGTTTTGTTAGGTACTGGGACCTCTGAAAAAAATTAACACTATTATGCTATTGACAAACATGGTTCAATTGTATTTAATGAACATGACATTATAAATATAAAGAACAAGTTTAAATTACTAAATAGTCATGCCTTAGCGCTGGTAATTCTCCTTCTCTATTATTTCTATAAGTCAATAGTAAAACAACAAATAAATTTTTTGTATCTTGTAACTTGGCCATTTGAACTGTTTTGTGAGGCATCTTTTAACTCATACTGTGGATCAGTGGTAAGGAAAACACAATCAGATCATAGGTAATTAATTATAAGTTTAGCTTACCACCAGATGAGATTTGTATTTTATCAGGGAAATGGAACCACAGCATGTCTGGTGGTACTGAGAGGTTATATTTGCTGTCTGGAGCGGGATGAGCATCAATATGGGTGACTTCATTTGTAGTACCTCCATATCTGATTATTGCCCCTACTATTAATCCTGTGGAATATAAAGCAAACTTTAGCAATAAAACAAAAAAGAAATACTGTTATTTGCATTAGTGGTGTTGAAATTTTACTATTACGTTTGTTTAATTTTTCTAGTGACAAACCACTGTAGTTTGCCATTCTAAGTATCATAAAGAAATAAAATAGCTATTTTATAGAAACTAACAGAGGAATAACATCTGAGTCTTCAGGAATGGCAAGCATGGGGGGTATCATGGGCGAAATAATATACTCTATTATGTCCATGGTACTGCTCATGTCTGGTGACTAGGCGACTGCTACCACTTTCCATCAGGTATCAGTATATCGGCTGTCAGCTTGTTTGCCATTCTAAGTTGCATAAAATAAATTAAAAATAAGAAAAAGCTCATTTTTTTTTAATTATTATTACAATGATTGGTACTAAAATATTTTCTTCTCTTATTTGAACCTATCTACAACTGGATTCCATATCATAATTAATTTTTGCCAATGTTTGTCAATTGGCTGTAATGTTATTTGGGAAACTTCACTATGAAATATTTTTAGTGATTTATCACAGTAAATTTTAAAATAATAGTACACAATATAAAAAAATACCGATTCCATTATAAAATGATGAAGTTGATTCTTTTAATACTAATTTTAATTACAAACTATTTCCTTAAAATGTACTTTTTTTATATATGTGACAGATTTAAAATTAGTTTTAACATTAATTCAAATTTAGGTACATCCACTGGCTATGTTCTTTAATATTTATTATGATGGCTCTCTCACAATCCTTGTGGACCCATATAGCTCTGACGAGCACATTTTGAGTATATTTATTCTAGAGTATTTTAGAGAATTTTTTAACCACTTTTAACTTTAATTTTAATAAAAAAATCAAGGTCTTTTAGTCACAAGACATAATGCATAATTAAATTGAAAAACAAAATTGTATCTTACCATATATTACAGCTAATCCAGTTTCATTGAGCCAGCTCACCCGACGATGTTTGAACACCCAAATAGTCAGAACGGTCAGAGTCAGAAGACAGGTGTAAATTAATAGATTCAAACTATCGATGCGATGTAATAAAGTGGCTTTTGCATCGAGCGCAATATCCGTGCCTGAAGCCCTACATACTCTAATTATATATGAAAAGAATCCAAGGAAAGTCACAAAAGGTATACGTGCCATGGCAAATGCAAATCCAGCTAAATAATATCACTTTACATGGATTACCTATTAACAATAATTATGACGCAGAAATGTAAGACAAAATAAATTAATTTAGAGTTTGTTATTAGAAATGATATAAACAGTTATCGAACACAAATAATGTACTATCAAAATGTACAAATATCAAATAGTAAGTAATTTGTAATTTTCGTGAAAATTCGTCGTTCATTGTATTATTCAAATAATACACAAAGATTTAAATTGTTGATATAAATTTCCAGTACTCTTTAGACATAAGTGCTTTTCTCATGACAGAAAAAGATAAAAGATAGCAATTGGTACACATGTATTTTTCTGTATAATATTTAATCTACTGTCAAAGTCAACACAAACGTCAGTGTTTATTATTATAAATTTTCCTGTTCCATGTAGGCAAAAACAATACAAAGTACAGCCATATTGTTTTGTATTTTGCATTATTTGAGGTAATCTATCTAGTAATAATTAAAATTGAAATATTACTACAATTATTATTATAGGTATTTAATATATATCTTAATCTTATTAGACATTATAACAGTAAGTTGATAAATATAGGCCTTTAATTAAAAGTTAAATATTTTACTTTTGCATAGCTTTATTTAATTTTTTTTTAAACTATATTTTCTGTCGCTATGTTTCATGCGACAACCTTTTAGTCTGTATTTATATATCTGTGTATGGAACTGAGGATTTTTTTCTCCTTTTTTATATATATAAGTTTATGTATATATAAATTTGTAAAACTAGGTGTATAAATAACTAAGTAAATGTATAAACTTTATCGTCTCCGGTATTTAGTCCACTCTTCTTGCGTTGTTCTCCCTTGCCACGATCCTCAGCAAAAAATGCAAAGTTAAATAATATATCCCTAGTTTGCTTGTTTTCAAATATGTATTCTATATTGTTTTCTGATAGTGCTATTTACATTCTGATTTCATACTCATACTGGTTTTCAGCAAATCTTTGGCAGTCAAACAGTAAATGCTGTATGGTTTGTTTCATTGTCACACTGACAGTTGGGGCTATTCACCAATTTGAACCTATGAAGATATGATCGGTTTTTTTTTATTGGATGAAAATGGAATGGTAACCCCGTCTGCGCTAATGGGATACGCTGGCGGGGCACCAGTGAAGGGTGATCGATGAGGATGAAAACAGGCCAGTTAGCCCATCATGATGAATTCATCTGGAATTAATCATGATAGTTTCCAGGGGAACCGCGAGGAGGTCGACCTGGTTGGGTATATTGCTAGCAATGGGATTCTTAGTCTCCATTACTAACAATCCCTTACCCCCCAATATGATCGGTTTCCTCCATGTCCGGTGAGATGAGTTATTGTGTTATCTTTATTTATAATCTTGACTATTTTATATGCTTTGCGGATATCAGGTAAGAACATTTTTGTTACAGCTGCTGTATTCGATTCTGTATATAAATTTTGCTAAATATCTAGTGATTTTTCTCTCATTAGTTTTTTGGCGTACGTTTGAGGAAACCGATCATATATAGGCGTACGTTTGAGGAAACCGATCATATATAGGTTTTGTTTTCTTTTTCAAGGCCGCAGTCTTGGCAAGGTCGTCGACGCGTTCGTTACCATTTATGCATATGATGAGATACCCAATAGAATTTGACTTTTCCACCGCGTTCCAAGAGATTCTCGATTTTTTGACAGAGTTCCATGCGGATGGAGTGGAGATGGATCAGCGATATTTTCTAAAGCTGATCTTGAATCACTTAAGATATTTGCGTTTTGAAATTTGGGCTTTTTGCACATTGTCTCAATGGCTTTGAGTATGGCTGCTAGTTCTGCTTAAAAGACGGAGCAGAAATCTTCAAGACAAAAACTGGTGAAGTAGACTTCTTTACCGTCGAGCCAGCATATGACAGAGCCGCCGATTTTGTATTCCGCTGTCATTAGTATGTGCGTGACTGCCAACACTCGTATAATAATTTGCCTGAAGATACCTCGTTTAGAGACGAAAAATGTGTCGCAAAACGTGTGTGAATCAAAATGGCAGTCGGAGATAAATGTATGTGTCGGAAGATTGTGGAATTTCTGGTAGGGATAATAAGATAATATCTTAGTTTAGCAAAATATTCATAAGATATAGTCTTATAAGCGACGGTTGGCACATGGCTTTAAAAATAGTATTATTAGAAGTAAAAGTTATTAAGTAAAATAAATATATAAAATAATATCTAATTATGGTACGTACAACAATTGTTACAGATAGATTAAACAGATATGAGGGTAATTACTACAACTGACTCAATTATCTGCTTTAGCTAAGAAATATTGTATGCACAGTTCGTATATAAGTATTTATTTATTTTGCACTTTATCTTATTTAATTAAGCTGTAATAATGTAGATAGGTATTTAATTAAGTACGAGAACAATCAGTTATGATTAGGTACCTGGGAAAAATAATAAGATGCATTTATTTGATATCTGCGTATATGCTATTATTTAGATAAAACCATTGATATGCATTATTATAATAAATTAATATTTAGTTTATAATATAGTGAACAAATAATTACTTACAGGTTGGTATACTTATTTACTTATATTCTATTGTTTATTAAGTTCTTAGCAAAGCTTTTTGTCATGCATTAGAAAAATTTCCAGTTAGACATGACACGACACAACATAGTTTCCAGACAGACAGACACGTTTGTCCAATTCTAGTGTATTTTATATAAGCTAAAGTCATGGAAACGACCTTCCTGTCCTTTCAGGTGAGGGTTGAGATAAGGCAGCCCGAGCTGAGGTTCAAACCACCTCGTGGTGCTCTTAGATAATATTTAAGTCGTATCCGGTGGGCAGGAGACGGCGAAAGTCCGCTCCGTAAGTCCTTCCGCGGGTTCGAAGTACCGTCAGCACTGGTTCTGTTTCATCCGGTGAACCTGTGAAGGCCATTTGCGGCCAACAGCAATAGTTAGTTCGAAAAAAAAAAAACAGCAAATCTGGAGAGAGACTACTCTTCCCATAGAGTCATTTTCTTTTTTCTTAATTTTTCCTTCACAATACAATTATACAGAATGTGCCATTTCGTGATATGTAAAAATTTGATAATGTTCAAGATTCGATAAAAAAAAAAAACAACTAAAAGTTTTCTCAAATTACTTTTTGTGGGCAAAAAGGCCAAGACTATCAGAAATATTGAGGTATCTCTTTAGCATTAGATTTTTACTATAAACAAATATTTTCTAAGATGATTACACATAGGAAAGTAAAAGTATACATACTATTCAGTCTAGATTTTTAACTATACAAAGAATAATTGTAAAATCAATAACTAAAAAATTACCAATCACTGCGGAGGCCATGTCTCCACTCCACAGCCCTCAATGACTGGGTCATGGTTTATACAATCATTGACTACTTATTTGATTTCTGCTTTGTCTCTATGCATATTGTTTATTGATTTAAAATTAGATTTTTTTTATTATGACTGTTCGGAATTTGATCGAGAAAAAACTCTCAAAGCGGGGAGTGGATGAAGTGAAAGATCATTGAATAAGTTTCCTATCAAGGAAATATATATATAATGAACTACTAGGGTACTACACAAAAGATGTAAAGAGATTTTTTAAGGGTCACTATGTCATTGGTATTGCAAGCGTCTATAGGTTAAACTGCTTATAATCGCGGGCTGGATACATTTTTGCCAACTGTTGAGTGTTATAATATAATTGAGACAAGTCTTTTAAATGATAATTCGTAATTTAAACAATCATGCGAATGACAATTTTATGACCATACGTATAAGATAATATTCGATAAGTATTTATTTAAATTGAAAATAATCACATAATTTTAAAGAGAGACATACCTTTTTTTATACTACTTAGAAATATTAATTAATTAACTAATTACAGGTGTTATTCCTCTGTACCCTGTAAATTCACTGCCATATCCCACTCTTCAAACCTAAACACAGTCATGCAAACACAACTGCTTTATGGTAGAAATATGAATGGAACAGGGGTGCCCAAGCAAACGACTTTTGTACAAAGTCTCCCTCTGGTAAATTAGTAATTATTATCTAGTATATTTATTTATCTTTAATCTATTTCTGGTGATATGCGTTTTATGTTATGAAGTATATAGCACGACTTATAACGTTAGATACTAAAAAAAGTATAAAAAATTCCAATGGGTGACTTTAACCCCAAAAGTAATCATTCAAATGTGAAAGTGACTGGATATTAAGCTGGGTATATAAATAATTTGATATAGTATTTGATATTTTTTTTAGGCCATTGTTATATTTAAGCGTTTTTGTTATTTACATTTTATTTATATTGACAGTGTTGATTTTATTGTATTTTGTTGTTGTATTTATTTTTGAGCCATAGACTAATTGAATAACGTAACTGGATACTTAGTTGTGCCAATGTTCAAACAATTCCCTATTACACAACTTCTTATTTATTTACGGTCTCTTGATTACAAATTAGATATTGTCATAAAAGGTGTACTTATTGCTCTAAATTAACAATTGGTAAAGGTCTGCAACGAATAATAAAGTAGATAAGGTACTTTATCAGTTTGTATAGAAAGTGTAGATAATTTTTTATAGACATTTTTGAGCTAAAGTTGAAATAGAGTTTAATAACTCTTATTGGTTCACAGATGGATTCTTACACATAGGATACTTTTAATCTAATTTTAAAGAGATCAGTATTCTGATAGTTAACTATATTTTAATGTAGTTTTATAGACATCAAGTATTTATATGCATTATTTAATATTTTTTAGATGTCAGTTCAGTTTGTTGAAGATACTAAAGTTACTTTTTATGAAGCGTAGTGAACTATTGTAACTACGAGTTACAATAGTTTATTACGATTCGTACTAATACGTGTACTCCTAATACGTGTATTAGGAGATTGTTTGCACTTGGTGAAATTTGTAATTGAACGGAAACCAAATTTATTCGTTTGTTAGTCAATATATATTATGTCAATATATTAGGTAACTTCAAATTATAAACATAAGTTAGTGATCTTGTGATGTAGGCTAAACACGCTATACTATTAAAATCATAAAAAATTAACTTATTATTTATATAATTGTATATTATGAAATACATTTTTAAAAGTAAATTCTATATACTTAAATACGTTATTCTGGTTACATATGCCATAAAACTTGATGTAACTGAAACTTGAAATAGTGTGCAAACAGTAGTATGTTTTTAGATATCTATAGTCTGAATTGTACAGTATGATTTTATAATAGTAGCGTCTGGTATATAAAATA